TCAGAAAGGCCCTGGTCCAACCGGGATTTGAACCCAGGACCTTCTTGCTGAGAGGCGAGAGTGCTATCCACTCAGCCACCGTGCCGCCCACGGAGTCCCCGGGCGGTGCACTGTCCAGTACCCCTCCCAAGGACTCCAAGAAGGCCGGGTACTCTGCACTACCGTTAGGCCCGTAGGCCGTCACAACAGTGAGAGACTTGTCCCCCACCCGGAGACGGAGGGACGCGACCCTCTCATTCACCGGGGAGAACTCCAACACGTGGCGGCTGAGATGGGGGGCAATGATGGGGGGGTGTAGGAATTATGAATGAGATGAGGTGCACTGTAATCAGATTTGAGTATGTATAAAATGGATGTGGATCGAAATCGGGTACAAATATGTTGGTTCAAGTACAATGTTTATTCAGCCTCAGCAATTATTAACTCACAGACTAAATATATTTAATCAAGTTTCATTATCAGACCTTTAAACAATGGATCTTTTAAAGCTAAATATGACATGTTCTCTGACATTTCATATATCTTTCATACATCAAAATAAAAAGAGCAATATTTTAGTTGTTTGCACAGTTACAAAAGCAGGATTAGCAGGATTAGTCAAAAAATTCCCTCCTGTGGGCTCACCACCTGCAGAGGGGTCCGTGGTGGCGAGGTGCAGAGAGGACTGGGCAGCAGTCGAAGGCGGAGGCCTCGACGACCCAGTCCACACACCCAACATCTGGCTCTTGGGACGTGGAACGTCACCTCACTGGGGGGGAAGGAGCCCGAGCTTGTGGGGGAGGTTGAGCGATACCGACTAGAGATAGTCGGCCTCACCTCCACACACAGCTTGGGCTCTGGAACCCAACTCCTTGAGAGGGGTTGGATGCTCCACTTTTCTGGTGTTTCCCGCGGGGAGAGGCGGCGAGCTGGGGTGGCCATACTCATTGCCCCCCATCTCAGCCGCCACGTGTTGGAGTTCTCCCCGGTGAATGAGAGGGTCGCGTCCCTCCGTCTCCGGGTGGGGGACAAGTCTCTCACTGTTGTGACGGCCTACGGGCCTAACGGTAGTGCAGAGTACCCGGCCTTCTTGGAGTCCTTGGGAGGGGTACTGGACAGTGCACCGCCCGGGGACTCCGTTATTCTCCTGGGGGACTTCAACGCCCATGTGGGAATTGCCAGTCACACTTGGAGAGGGTGGTGATCGGGAAGAGCGGCCCCCCTGATCTGAACCCAAGCGGTGTTCAGTTGTTGGACTTCTGTGCCAGTCACGGCCTGTCCATCACGAACACCATGTTCGAGCACAAGGGTGTCCATCAGTGCACGTGGCACCAGGACACCCTAGGCCGGAGGTCGATGATCGACTTTGTAGTCGTATCATCTGACCTTCGACCGCGTGTCTCGGACACTCGGGTGAAGAGAGGGGCGGAGCTGTCAACCGATCATCACCTGGTCGTGAGTTGGATCCGCTGGCAGGGCAGGAGGCCGGTCAGACCTGGCAGGCCCAAGCGTGTAGTGAGGGTTTGCTGGGAACGTCTTGGTGAGCCCCCTGTCAGACGGACTTTCAACTCACACCTCCGGGAGAGCTTCTCCCAGGTCCCGGCAGAGGAGGGGGACATCGAGTCCGAGTGGACCATGTTCTCTTCCTCTATCGCCAATGCGGCGGCTCGTAGCTGTGGTCGGAAGGTCTCTGGTGCTGGTCCCGGCGGCAATCCCCGAACCCGGTGGTGGACACCGGCAGTAAGGGATGCCGTCAGGCTGAAGAAGGAGTCCTATCGAGCAATGATGGTTCGTGGGACTCCTGAGGCAGCTGTCCAGTACCGGCAGGCCAAACGTGCCGCGGCCCGGGCTGTTGCAGAGGCAAAAACCCGGGACTGGGAGGAGTTCGGAGAGTCCATGGAGCATGACTATCGGTCGGCCTCGAAGAGGTTCTGGCAAACCGTCCGGCGCCTCAGGAGGGGGAAGCAGTTCTTTGCCAACACCGTGTATGGTGCGGGTGGAGGGCTGCTGACTTCGACTGGGGATATTGTCGGGCGGTGGAAGGAATACTTCGAGGTTCTCCTCAATCCCCCCGTCACGTCCTCCGTCCAGGAGGCAGAGGCTGAGGATGTTGGGGCGGATACTTCCATCTCCCTGGCCGAGGTCACCAAGGTGGTTGGCAGCCTCCATGGTGGCAAGGCGCCGGGAGTGGATGAGATCCGTCCTGACTATCTAAAGTCTCTGGATGTTGTAGGACTGTCTTGGCTGACACGTCTCTGCAACATCGCGTGGCGATCGGGGGCGGTGCCAATGGAGTGGCAGACCGGGGTGGTGGTCCCTCTCTACAAGAAGGGGGACCGGAGGGTGTGTTCCAATTATCGTGGGATCACACTCCTCAGCCTCCCCGGTAAGGTCTACTCCAAGGTACTGGAGAGGAGGCTACGTCCGATGGTCGAATCTCGGATTCAGGAGGAGCAGTGTGGTTTTCGTCCCGGTCGCGGAACACTGGACCAGCTCTATACTCTCCATCGGATACTCGAGGGTTCATGGGAGTTCGCCCAACCTGTCCACATGTGCTTTGTGGATTTGGAGAAGGCGTTCGACCGTGTTCCCCGGGGTGTCCTTTGGGGGGTCCTCCGGGAGTACGGGGTCCGGGGTCCTCTGCTGAGGGCTGTTCGGTCCCTGTATGACCGGAGCCAGAGCTGTGTTCGCATTGCCGGCAGTAAGTCAGACCTGTTCCCGGTGCATGTTGGCCTCCGCCAAGGCTGCCCTTTGTCAAGGTTCTGTTCACTGTATTTATGGACAGAATCTCTAGGCGCAGCCAGGGGCCGGAGGGGGTCCGGTTCGGGAACCACAGGATTTCATCTCTACTTTTTGCGGATGATGTCGTCCTGCTGGCTCCAACGAACCAGGACCTGCAACATGCACTGGGACGGTTTGCAGCCGAGTGTGAAGCGGCTGGGATGAGAATCAGCACCTCCAAATCCGAGGCCATGGTGCTCGACCGGAAAAAGGTGCCTTGCCCTCTCCAGGTGGGTGGAGAGGTCCTTCCTCAAGTGGAGGAGTTCAAGTATCTCGGGGTCTTGTTCACGAGTGAGGGGAGGATGGAGTGTGAGATTGACAGGCGGATCGGTGCAGCGTGCGCAGTGATGCGGTCTCTGTATCGGACCGTTGTGGTAAAGAGGGAGCTGAGCCGAAAGGCAAAGCTCTCAATTTACCGGTCAATCTTCGTTCCCTCCCTCACCTATGGTCATGAGCTGTGGGTAATGACCGAAAGAACGAGATCGCGGATACAAGCGGTCGAAATGAGCTTCCTCCGCAGAGTGGCTGGGCGCTGCCTTAGAGATAGGGTGAGGAGCTCGGTCACACGGGAGGAGCTCGGAGTAGAGCCGCTGCTTCTCCACGTCGAGAGGAACCAGTTGAGGTGGCTCGGGCATCTGTTCAGGATGCCTCCTGGACGCCTTCCTGGGGAGGTGTTCCGGGCACGTCCCACCGGGAGGAGGCCCCGGGGAAGACCCAGGACACGCTGGAGAGACTATGTCTCTCAGCTGGCCTGGGAACGCCTAGGGGTCCCCCCGGACGAGCTGGAGGAGGTGTGTGTGGATAGGGAAGTCTGGGCGTCTCTGCTTAGACTGCTGCCCCCGCGACCCGGCAACGGATAAAGCGGAGGAAAAATGGATGGATGGACATCTTTTTTTTTTATCCTTTCAGAACACCAGGTTAAGCAAATAACCAAATACTGTATCTTTATAGTATCCGATTATACATGTAACCACTCCAGGTTTAGACCACTCTTTGCAGCTTGGATGTTTTTGTATTAAAACTCAGAAACACAAACCAAGTGGTAACAGGGTAGCACTGCATCATCTTCTGCCCCTAAAGTGACACCAATTCTCATGTTAATTGTTTTGACACACAGTAATGTGTTTGCTACAGTGGAGCCACACCAGTGAGATGGCAAGCTTCTCCTCCCCCAAACTGACATTACAGAGATATTGACTTGGGAAAAATAAATTATCAGAAGTTTCACTCAAAAACTCTCAAAAGCACATAGTGTTCAACTGACTGAACTTTTGACATTTTTAGTGCAATTCGAGTTACAGTGGAGACTTAACTGATATTTTAAACATTAAATAAAACAGATTTTGATTGTATTCAATGGATGCTACACGTCTACCCTTTTCTGTCTATATGCTAAGTTATAATTACAGCTGGCTAATTCAAAAAACACAAATGAGGACCCACATACTGCTTTTCAAAGATGCATTCACACTTTCCCTTAGGTATGTTTTCAATTTCAGTTTGTCGGTGAAAGGTGACCATTCTGTGACAGGCATAGTGGTACAATAGTAAAGTGACTCTCATTTTTTGTTTCCTGCTAAAAGCATGAAATGGTAACTTCTGTTCTTTTCCATTGCATGCATCTCTGAACTGAATATATATTGTTATCTTGAGGCTGTCTATCTTTTGCATTCTAATCGACATCCTGTAGGTGACCCCTGTATCCTAGCATGAACTTGCTCACTGTCATTTCTAATATGTTCATGGACAGCTCTGCAAAACTTAATCTGATAGAAAGATTCTTATTTGTCTCTTTGTGTTTGCGTGCCCCATGAGGTCACTGTGCTGTCAGCTCCTCGTCTTCCTCAAGGCTATGAAACACACCAGCTACATTCTGTGTGTGTGTCTGTCATTCTATGTGTGTGTGTGTGTTGTTATTGGCGTAAGGTCAAGGCCTAGTCCGTTTAGCACCATGCCAATAGCAGAAAGAGCAGTTTGGTCAGCAGTGATTAACAACAAAAAGATTCAAAGCATTGAAGGTGACAAAACACAAAGCCTGTGAAAGTCAGCGCAGCCAGCCAGGACACAAAGTTTACTCCAAATTTGTCCCCTGCGCCTTTTGCAACTTAAGCATTCCAGGCCTCTCGAGATGTTTTCTTTATGTATTTCACTGAAGACACCTACTATAGCCCCGCACTTAATAGATATGTATTCTCAAGCCTGCCTAACAAGTGCATTTATCTTTGTGTCTGCCTGCACAGGGGTGATTTACACAGCTGCTATCCTGGACTGTGAAAGCAAGGACTCCTATTGGCTTACAGTGGATGCCACGGACAGGGGGGTCACACCTCTGTCTGCCTCCATCGAAGTCTTTATTCAGGTATGCACACTTTGCATTTCAATATCATACACTTGTCTAGCGTGCTACACAGTGCATACTCAAGTAGTTTTGCCACAAGTTCCATGTTTTCACTGACAATAGAATAATGACAAAATTACTGCGTCATGTCCTTGGGGTGAGTCAATGAGTCAATACTTCTTTGCAAATTTCCTCGCGAGCAAAAGTAGCAATAAGCTTCTATTGTGAATACATGTAATACCATTGTACCATTGAATGCAGAAAACATTTGACAATTTCTGGATGTAAAATGTTAATGTTAGAATACAATGTAAGTACTATCCTCTAAGGGTGGTTGTAAGGAAGTTTTTCTAGTTTTTTACTTGTGTATTATACCCTGTCATCAGGCCGATTGCCCACCAAACCACAACTGAGAGGGCTACCCAAGTACCTCAATTGAGTCACTTCAAAAGAAAAGTGGCAGAAAAGATGAAGCAGCACATTTCTGTTCTATTATTTATATTTTAAGTGTACTTACCACTGTAAAAATAGTGAAGCATATTCCTCATAAGTACCATGCTGCACGCTTATACATATTGCATTCTTACCCCACATGTACAAATGCAGTCTCAAATGCATTCATAGGAAAGATTATCTCATAATCTGTTACTCAGGTACAGAATAGTTTTGGTATGGCATTGTTAACTCCACAATGGCAGCTTAACATTGGCAGTGGGTGGTGAGTTTTACTCCAAAGGTGGGACGGGCGATTCGGTGCAGAGTCTCCCTTCAGGACTTTCCCTAATCCCACCATCACCTTTAATATGAGCTACATCTGTGAAATCACTTCTCCTGACAGGTGTCCCCTAGGGCCCAGCAGCTTTATGGGTCTAAGGCAGAGGACAACATTCTTATAGGGTACCTCAAAGTTGGGATACTTTTTCTTCAAAAATGATACATTTTGTCTGTCCAAACAAAGTCTTGTAAAGGTATTTTGTGAACACATCAGACCACAACGTGCTGTCGCCTTAGAAAAGATGTTGTCTTTTGCTTTTGAGCTGATCTAAGCAAAATCGGCAGGACTGAGCAAGTGTGGCTCTCTCTTTTTCACTTTTCATTCTGAACCTGCCCATCTAAATATCCATCCATCTAAAGATGCCACCCAGTGCACATGGCACCAGCCCCCTCTCTGATCCTAACCAGTTTTTCAATTGTAATAGTTTTCAAGGTTATAAAGCTTGTCAACTGTACTTTGAAAATCAGAAGTTGAGGGAGACATTTTGTTTGAGCAGACCTGCTGTCTAAAGATTATACACACATCTCAATAAAATGTACATTTCCAACATTTTTTGATGGAAGCCTTTTGTGACCCTGGTCTGTGAAAAGCGCTATTCAAACCTTACTTACAGTGCATACATAAAGTTATCATTCACATTAAATTCACAATATAATATTTGGTAGAAAGTGCTGAAGGTTAGTAATTTTTATTTTTCACCCAACCTTGTATTTTAGTAGAATAGCTCATCAATCCAGTATTCATTTTGACGAAATATTTCTAATTAGTTTTAGTAATATGAATGTCTTTGAATTTTTAAGATAATTTTAATTATAAGAATTTACAGTGTTTTACTCAAATCTAGACCCGAGGCTACAATAGACACTAAAGTCATCGGGCCATTTTTTCTGGGAACCAAGACAAATCTTTTTCCCACACGGCAATTTACTGAGCGCCCTCTCTGCTCTTGACAGGTAATTCAAAGGTGCCGGTTATAGAATACATAATTTTGGGCACATATTATATTCCTTTGTCTGGAATCTTCCACATGATTTGAGTAAACTAACCTCTGCTGCATTAGAGAAGGTATAACATGTTTTTGTTCTTACTGCCAGAGGTTCTACAAATCCATTGAAATGCATATGGCAGTCTCTGGAACTCCCTCCCCCTCCTAAAAGTTCAGATCTTCCAGGGTTTATTGCATTGGTCCTGATTTGAACTTTTGATTTCAATACTCCCCAAATCCTCTAATAATTACACTTTCTTGTTATTTTGCATTGTAAGCCTCTGTCTGAGTTAATAGTCCAGTGCTGCGTCCTTTATTAGCACAATGAAGCAGCAGCTGTCATTCTCTTGATCTAATTGCATTCACGGTGATGTATAGCTTTGCTGTTTTAAGAAAGTGGGCTATACCCGGGGGAATGTGCGGCTCAGTTTGTGTTTTATTTGCTCCTAAACAATCTAGATTCTAAAACGCACACATCATTTCTCCTGCCTTAACCACAGTTCAGTCTCCTCCAGCCCACAGTTCAGCAGTGTATGAAAACAAAAACCCGAGCGCCGCTTGGGGGAATTCAGGTGTGGCGTGGGGATCTTGGCCTCTTTCTTTCCAACAGAACTAAAGAGATTAATCAGACGCAGGTGCCGTTGCTCAAGTGCACCGGCGCTCACTGCTCCCAGCAAACACTCAATCAATGCTGCGTTTTTGCCATAAATATCCTAGATCTATGTGGCACAAAATAAATGAATTTGTAGTGCATTTAACGCTTGACGTCTGTGGCATTTTCTGCTAAATAAACTTTCATTTTGTGATTGATAGTGAAGCAAGTAACCAATGCGGAGTTAGAGTTAGTCTTCTTATTACAGATAAAAACAGATATAAGGCATGTAGCTATATAGTTCACTGAGCCCAATTAAATCCCTGAAAATTAACTTTTCCTCTCTGTGGAAAGTGACATTAGTTTTAGCAGTAGAAATATTGAGCAGTGAATGCAGTCGTATCTTTAGTGCTCTTGATTAATGTATAGAAACATCTATTCTGTTCAGCATCGCGATTACCATTATATCATTACAGTAGAGCAAAATATTGCAATATCTAATAAATGATCTGTTTCACTTTTGTGTTGTCTCTTAGTTTACTCTGATAATTTACATCTGAGGTTTATGTTACTCGATTATGTCTATTTTGTTAGACCAGTCTGTTCTATTTGAAGAATTTAGGTGATGTACATTAAGGATAAAGTTTTTGCACTTCTGTTACTGTGCAGACCATAATAAATGTGGCATTTGAGTTGAGCAGTCTTGTTTTTTACAACTCTTGTTATGCCTTTAAATAATAAGAGGGACATGAATCGCAATATATCACAAAATCAAATCGCAATACGTGCTATTTTTGCAAAGTCCCACCCCTGTTAGTGCATACATGAGTACATGTATAAAACTGATTGATCACACATGACATTTTTTATATTTTTTTCAAAATTAATGAAATAGTTTAAACGCAACATGTCGTGGCAATAAAATATACTTCATCTAGCTGCGAGTTACTTTACGCAGAGGCCGTCATTGCTGATTGCTTTGAGTCGACACCAGCTGCTGGGTGTCTTCCCGTGTCACTTGGTGAAATATTTGGCTCATTTTACCTGTTTAGTGCACACATCCAATTTATTTTCCTCCAAGCGACACCTCTGCGGCACAAACCCAAACTGCGCCTCTCTGCTCTCATACTCGTTAGACACTGAGTTATCTCTGCTCACGCATGAGGCCCGAGTGCTGGATCAAAGTTAAACACATTATGCTTCGAAAAAAACATGTGGCTTTGGTCAAAACAAGTGATTTAATGAATTCATAAGATTAAGAGATTAAGATTATTCGTCCCACAGTGGGGACATTTCAGTGTTGCATCACCAGTTACAGAACAGTAGGAATGAAGAGCACACAGCCCAAGATGAATTAAAAAGTCATCATAAAATAAAATACAAAATCTCTAACTTTAGCATAATGAAAAGCAAGAATTAAGTATTGAATCTCTGAATTTAACTTAATAAAGAAGCAAGTATCAAATACTGTATACTATATGCAAGAAATATAGAGTTGTATGTATATATATATCTGTACAGGTTAGCAGCCTGAGGGGATGAGGCAAAGGGACGTAAGTAAGAGGACAGTGGAGACATGTTGTGGCATAATGCACTTTCTGTGAGGCTTGTGAGGTCAGGTTGGCAGTGTTCTTTAGTTCTCATTGTTCGTTTTGCAGTCTGACAGCAGCAGGAAGAAAATACAATAACTACCTAGACTTTTCTATAATTGTGTGGTTCGGTATAGCAATTATTTAGATAAACATTATCTTATTATAAGTATTTACAGACATGCAATACAAAAGTACAAAGGTAAATATGTGAGGTGTTTGTATGCCTGTGTAAGTGTATGTGTGTGTCTATTGTGTGGTTTGTTCCCCACCAAAGAAATACAAAGGGGAGGAGGCAGGGAAGAGATAGTTAATAATGTTTTTTAGAGCTACATCACTACTACATTGATACTACTACATTCCAACCTCCACTTATAAGTGCTTTATTGTTTAATTTCTAATTTAAATGAACTAAGCCATTATTTGGTTGGGTTTTATAAAAAAAATCATTATGCTGTCGTTATCTACACTCCTGTCCCATTGTATCAGCGTATCTTTCAATCCAGATTTGTATCGTACCAATTTGCACAGACCACTAATTATGTTCAATATTTCCTCTCCAAGGTTGAAGATGTTAATGACAATGCCCCACTGACGTCAGACCCCATCTACCATCCCGTGGTCATGGAGAACTCCCCCAAAGACGTGTCCGTGATTCGAATCCAGGCACAAGACCCGGACCTCACGGCGATGCCCAACCGCCTCAGCTACCGCATCAGCGCTGGCAACCCACAGAACTTCTTCACTATTAACCCCAAAACAGGTAAGAAGGAAAACCAAAACTGAGTCATGTAAAAGTAACACCGTTTGGTCCGTTGAAATCACTTCAAATTAGTTAGATATTATTTTTTGGTTTATTTGAAATGGACACCACAGTTACATTTGACAGACAGATGCTCTGCCTTTAGTGTAATAGCTAATTTTCAACTATAATAATAATAATAATGCATCGGTTTTATATAGCGCTTTTCTGGACACTCAAAGACGCTTCACATGTGTCATTATTCATTCACTCCATACACGGTGGTGATAAACTACTACTGTAGCCACAGCTGACCTGGGGCACACTGACAGAAGCGAGGCGACCAGTATGTGCCAGCGGCCCCTCCGACCACCACCAACCATTCACACACACACCAGACTCATTCTAGGCAATGGGGTTGAAGTGTCTTGCCTAAGGACACAACGGCAGTTTGGCACTTTACAGCCGCAGCCGCCCCACTGTGGCTGGTGTTCCCAGAGGTTAAGTGTCTTGCCAAGGACACAACGACAGTAGTCAGTGGGAGTCGATGGTGAAAGTCTTGAGCGGGGCTTGAACCCACGACCTTCTGGCTCAAAGGCCAAAGCTCTACCAACTGAGCTACTGCCGCCCAGCTCAACTCTTCATTCTTGTTTCTTACTGTAATTTGTATTTGTATTTTGTATTTGTATTTATATTGATCTCCATTAGCTGTTCAAAACAGCTATTCTTCCTGGAGTAAAGCAAGGTGCATTAACAAAAATTCATGACAATATGATACAGATGAGGTTTTACACACACACGCACGCTCGCACACACACGCAAGCACGCACGCGCACACACACACACACACACACAGACCCAATTTCAATTGTCAATGGTGGTTAGGGAGATTACAGCACAGTTGTAATATCACATGTTTATACTAATTTATCTATAGATGTCTTTTGAATTGGTATTTACTGTTTGCATTAATAATGTCATTTGGAAGATGATTCCAGGCAAACATTGACCTGTTCATTACAGTCGCTTTTCCATAAAATGTCTTTACTTTGGGTAACTTGAATCTGCCTTCTCTGGCGTGTCGGGTTTCCTAATTGTGCTCATCAGAACTAAAACAGAGCTCTTGATGGAGCACAGCTGGAATTTTGTTCTCAATAATATTTCTTGTGAAATTGAGTAATGATGCCTCAAATCTCTCTTTCACCATTAACCAAGGCAAACATTAATGCATCCACTTAACATTTGTTCTGTATGTGCATCGAAGAGCACATCGAGCTGCCTTGTTTTGAACCATTTGTAACTGCCTAATATTTGATAAAGCAGCAAACGACCAAATTTCAGAACAATAATCCAACTGTGAAAGAACAAGTGTTTTTATGACATCTGCTATCATGTTGAGCAGTAAGAGATAGGAGCATCTTCTAACCATTGACAGACTCCTACCCATTCTTTGTGCTACTGTGTTCGTATTTTATCAATTTCCACTCCCAGTAGTTTGATCTCATGAATTTGCTCCACACTTGTATCGTTAACAGTTACATTTTATTTAGGCTCGTCCAACAGCATACATCTGGTTCCAAACACAATACTTTTTGTTTTGCTAATGTTTAACACTAGTTTATTGTTTTTGACCCACTCATTAACACAATTTAAATATTCCATTAATACAGTTTTGAGTTCTTCAATAGTATTTTGTGATGAATAAATTGTGGAGTCATCAGCGTACATAGTGGCTTAAGCTTCTAACAGTAGAGCACCTGCCAGTCTCTTATTGTCTAATGCACTAAGCCAGTTGGTCGTCATTTGAGCCATGGCTGTAGTTGTAGAATGCCCTTCTCTATATGCATGCTGGAAGTCAGTGTTCAAATGATTATCTGAAAAATATATCTGTATTTGTTCAAAAACTATCCTCTCCATAATTTTGCTCAGGGTCGGCAGCAGGCTAATCGGTCTACTGTTAGGCCCACAAAAAGGTCTAGCAGAGCTCTTTGGTAATGGTACTATCTTTGCAGCTTCCCAGGCCTGTGGATAGATACTTAAAATCTCAAAACTCAAATTTAGGATGTGTGTAATTGGCAAAGCAATTAGATTTGTGCTATATAGTCCTTTAGTTCTGCATCAATCAACCAGCTCTTTGTTTCTTTACAGTTCTTTTTATTAAAGGGGCATGTTTATTACTTACTTCTAAAAACAAATTATTGAAATCTTCTACAGCAGCCTCAGGATTATTGCTCATTAAAACTACACCCCAACATGTTTTCCATACATCCTCAATGAAGAGTTCTTCATTTAAGTTTTAAAGTGGTTCTCACCCCCGCTCCTCGGAGCTTACGTTACTCACATTTCCTGTTCAAATCTTCCTCTAAATGTGCGTAGCCTGGAGGACTAAAGGGGGCGTGAACGAGACTGGGCCGTTTACATTGCTCTGGGCGGGGGGCTGCTGACGTCAGGTCCAACTTGCAGACGTCAGGTCCAACTTCTGTGCCAGTGTTGGCGCCAGATTCAAAATTCAAATGTAGTAATACAGGTCGCCAGCAGATGGCGCCTCACAGACGGTTTTAGGCAGAAAGTATAACTTTCAACTAATTTGCACCAAAGTGACAAGATTATGACCAGGATATGTAGACAACACTATTGGACACTCATTTATACCGTTTATCAGCAAAAAAAAGTAGATTTGAGGGTGAGTTGTCCTTTAATGGGATCTTTTTACAATGACTTTGGGTCCGTCTTTAGGAACTTTTGTTTTTCTTACCAAGGCTACAAGGTTATGATCACTACACCATACGGGGATTGATATGTCCTTGGTGCAAAGGTCACCAGAGTTTGTGAAAATATGATCGATCAAGGTGGATGCTTTTGTGCTATCACTTTGACAGCATATTTGAGTTGGTTTTGTCATGAGTTGTGTTAGGCCACATGCTTCTGTGGTGGAGTGATGCATTGTCTATCATAACACATAATTTGTCCAAATATTCAGAACTTGCATTGGGCGGGCAGTAACAACAACAAAGTAGCACTGGTTTAAAGTGTGGAATGTGCACTTGAAGCCATAAAACCTCAATATCAGGTAGCATCAAATCTGTTCTAGTTTTGACTGGTATATGTTCCTGTATGTACAGTGGTGGGCACTCCACCACCCCTTGCATTTCAGTCTTTCCTATATATGCTATATCCTGGTACTATATGTAGTGAAGAATCTTCAAAAGAAGGAGTCCAGATGTGTCTCTGAGATTGCAAGAGTATGTAGGTTACTTTCTGATATGTTTGATATGTCAGCTAACTTGTTTCGAAAGCTACCAATATTTAAGTGTCCCAAGTTCAATCCTTTTTTTGGTAAATTAGCAAAAGTCATCATAGCCGTTTGTGGCACGTAATACAATGGGATGTATTATTTATTCCACCAGCATGCTGCAATCTATATATATCACATTCATAGAAATTGGGTCCAGACACACACTTCAAGCACACCCGCTCATACACATTCATACAACATTGTAAATTATATAAATCATTAGAATTCGTGATCCCCAGTTCACCCTGCTCCCTCAACCCACCACTATTGTAATTTACTGTTATAGTACAATAGGTTCTTGCATCCGGATGTAAGTGTTTTAGTATATACAACTGACGAGTTATAACTGAAAGAATATTACAAACATATTAAAACCTACAGGTGAAGCTGGAAAAATTTAAATATTCTTCAAAAGTCAATTTACTTCTGTCATTGAACATACAGATAGAAAGATAGATAGATATTTTATTGATCCCCGTAGGAGAAATTCAGGTGTCCAGTAGCAGCAAAAATAAAAATGATCATTATAAAAAGATAACAATAGTTATAATCAGCAACAGCCCTTCAGGTCACGGCAGTAGAGATGGAGTAGCCTCTTGGTGGAGCAGGACGGGTCGCAGCAGCAGAGGTCAAAAGGTGGAGTAGCATCTTGGTTCGGACCATTTTCTCTGCTCTAGTCCAAAGTAAAATGCTAATGCTTCATTACCATTTTTTGGTCTGGTCTGGACCAGTGCAAAACTATGCACACTGTACTGCAGCAACATCTCAGGCAGAAAAAAGCTAGAAAAATAAAAATTGTAAAGCACAAAACACCAACTGTTTCAGAGCTACTTAGGACTTGCAGCCGTTTCCCAGCGCATCTTTCTTGCAGTGCATCTTACAATGCAATATTAATGTATCATATTTGCCTCACAGCTTGTAAAATATATATATATATATTGGCTATATTGGTTTCTCATTTTAAGATGAATTACAGAAAGAAATGAACTTTTTACCTGTGTCAGTAACCTGGATTGAATCATTGTGCTTTTGTATAGCAGCACATTTGTATTGCTAGAATTTGTTATGTGGGCAAACAGTCATATAGTTGGACTGTGGCAAGATTTTTAGAGGTATATTTCGGGAAAAAGGTTTCTGTTGCATCATTCACAAACACTTGGATTAACAAAAGTCCGCCTACTCCAAATAAAGTTGACATCTGTACCCGCACACACAGTATCTCCACAGACCTTGCTGTAACTAATATATCTGTTGTCGCATGTAAACACTTTGCAGATTCATTTGTTGCGCTTTGTTTTTTATTAAAACTTTTGTGGGTGAGTATTTTCTAATCAGACTTTGAAGTGCATTATGAGTGTGTATAATATCCATTGCCATTATCATTTTTATTACTTTTGGTCCCTAGAGTGCAGCCATGGTGCTTCTCATGACAAATTGCATGAGAAAAACTAGCTTTTCTTAGTGAGATAAAGATGTAAAAAGTGCCGGGCTAAAAGTTGGTTAAAGGTTTTCTGGAGTATTAGATGGGCTTTGAAATACTTTTGAGTCCAAAGTTGTGCCAACTGCCCCTGGGTTTACCATAAGCCCGTGACTATAGGATCAGGCTGACTTACGGAGTGTGAGCTTGTAATGTGATGTTCACACAGCCCCGGGGAAAGCATCATTTACACTGACACCGTAGAAATACATGTGGAATTCAGACGACATCTAAGGTGAGGCGTAAATATGTTCTTTTACCCATTACGTGATTTTTCTCCAACACAAAAAATTAAACATTATTTTTAAAATATAATCATGTTATTGGAATGAAGAGAATGAAATATAAATACTCCAACAACACCGTGGTTCATGCGCCACATTTCAACTCAATCCACCCAGTTCACACACCTTCACACACACATTCTCTCACACACACTTACAAGGAGGTTGACATTGATAGCGGAGAAAGTTGATGAGGTGCAATTTATGATATTAATGATACATACTTACTTGAGATTATAGATTATATACCTTTCTTTCGCTAAACAGCTATGCTAAATGTTTTTCCACTTAATTAATCCTCCACAGGTTGTTTTTTGATCATGATTTGGTTTGTGTCAAATATTCTTTAGTGAAACTGGGGCCATTTAGCAAACTTTGATGCTTCCACCTCCAGCAGCTTTGGATGATAGCAGCACAAAGACTCAGGTTTCAGACCGAGCTGCCAAAGTTGATGTTCAGTAATATCCCAATGTCTTCGCTGTGTGCGCTCCGCTTGAAGGTTCCATGCAATAATTATTGAAGAGGTAAAATGTTTTATTCAAATATACTGCAAGAGAGAACGTTGTGAAGACTCTGCCCTAGATAATGACATGAGAGTTTGGGGAAACAACAAAAGGCTCATATTTAAAGTTAAGCAGTTATTTCTGTCTATTTTCCGATACAAAGAAACTTGTCCTGTCAAATGTTCTACATTTAAGTCATGAGCCAGAGACAACTCACAATGTGTAGGCACTGTAAAACAGACAGTGTGTAAAAGTTTGTGTTCAATCACATATGTTAATGAACTAAAAATAATCCATCCCGATACGTACCCATTCTTTTTCAATCAATCAACTCTTATTTGTATAGCGCCTCTCCTACACAAGGCAACACAAAGCGCCTCACAACGCACATCACATCAAGCAAATCATAGACATTAAAATCTACATATACGTAAAAAAAACCCCAAAAAATACACAAAAAATTAAACAGAATTAACAGAATAAAATTACAAGCAATTAAAAACATTAAAAACACACACGGGATTAAAATAATAAATAGCTACAATGCATAAAAAAGAGTATCTATAAAATCCTTCAGTTGTATGCACAGCTAAACAGAACTGTTTTTAACCTGGATTTGAAAACTGCCAGAGTAGATGCCAGCCTCACATCTTCAGGAAGATTGTTCCAGATTTTAGCTGCATAAATCTGAAATGCTGCCTCCCCATGTCTAGTTCTGACTCTTGGAACCAGCAAGAAGCTACCTCCTGTGCTCCTGGTGCGGGGCTTTTTTTCTTTACTATTGGATATGATTAGATAAGCTATGCATTAACTCAGGCATGTCTATCTTAAATGTTACTTATTATTAACTTGCAAAGTGTATGGCCTCTTATACTGTACATGCTTTTAAATCTTATTATCACAGGAAACCCACCACATCATAATAATTGAATTCATAAAGTTTGAACCACATAAATAAAGCTTTACTGAGTCGTCAATTACGTTCTTTCTTTATATTTGGTCCACTTTTGGTTCTACAGTACACTCGTTTTATTCATAAAAATCTACCAGAAATGGAATTCCAAATTCAAATAATGTCAAATCAAAGTAATGATGTCCTTCATACTGTAGAAAATGATTATCTATCCATTTTCTTCTGCTTCATCCATTGCCGGGTCGGCAACACTTTAATACATGATACATAACAATACATAAACATTATCCATCACATCAATTATTTTTATTGGAACATGTTTTTTATACACATTTATGGTATGAAGATGCATCCCTTCATTTTTGATTTACTATTGGTTGTTATCTGTTGTCAGTGTCCGCTAAAACATTTGGAACTGAAACTGACAGGTTCGAAATATGACTCTAGTGGACTTGGAAGTACTGACTAATTATATCAAGAGTCGTTTTTGAATTCCAATTATTGGCGACTTTGATTTATTAAAAAGGCAATGTAGTTTTACAGTGTACATGACTCACTCTAAGCCTCTCCTGCCTGTGCGTACACACTATTGTTTATTAAAGCTTTTCAGATATTCTATTGGATATGTAGAGGAGCAGAGTGGCACAGGGCAGATGGGCTAATATTGATTTAAAACAGGGCGCACTGCTGTTCCTTTTCTGTTTTTAATGTGTGAGAGAGCGGAAAGCATGTGGACGGAGCAGGGTGGCATTTTAATCAAGGAATTAATTGGTGGCAGCAGTGTGTTTGAGAGGACATCTCCATAGAGCTAAATTAACTATTCTCTCTATGCCGATGTTTGCATAGCGTAGAACATATTCTAAACCAGTGTTTCTCAAACAATGGCACATGGACCACTGCAGGAACTCGAGTTTCTCTGCTCAGAAGGTGCCAAGATTATTCTGTAGTTTTTTTTAAACTACAGAAGTAAAGTGTACATTCTACTTAATGTTAATCCTGATTTACAATTGAATTAGTGTAGTTTAGTCCCATTTAAGACCTGGATTTGCCAAAATGTTATATTTAGTTTATGATGTGGTTCAGATTTAGTTTTAAATAGAGGTATCTTCAAAGCTGGTACTATGCGAGAAAACATTTATTTTTCACACAAAGTTTTCCAAGTTGCCTCTAAATGTTGATTTAGTGTGTGATTCTGAACATTTCTAAGTTCTGTGCTATCATCCCTGTAAAATGAATTACAATGTTGTTATTTTTTATTGTGTGACAAGAGAAGCAATCTTCTCTTGTTTACATTGTTTTTCCAGTTATTTCAACCAATTCAATTTGCATGGTCAATAATTCCTATTGAATAAACAAATATATGAAACATTGTTTTTTATGTAAATAACATAAATAATGGAGAAGAGACTCGTCTCCATTATGGGCATTGCCCTACTTCCGCTGACATTACTTAGTATACTTTCAGAAGTTTTAAAAGGGTAGTGCTCTCAATTTGAATAATAATTACCATAATTTTCACACCAAAGTGACTGACAGTGCCACTCAATTAGCGTGTAGAAACACATGCACGAGTGAGGGAGGGGAAGATGCATTTAAAATGATTAATACGCCGCACCTCACAGAAACACTTTGTAGACGGTTGCTTGAAATAAAAATCTATTGATTTATGTTTATAAATTGACAGCATGGAGTTGTATATGAGCCCAGAAGATTTCAAAATGTCATTTTCATTCTCCAAGTGTCAGTGTGATGGGTAAGAGATATATTTCAAGATGAGGCGCTGAAAAAAAACTTTCTAAAATGTTGACTTTTCCTTAAGATATCTTTTTAAACACGTATCTGCGATGGATGTTATCTACATTGTATCTCTAAATATAGACATATATGTGCTGATATTTTGACCATTAAAGTGGTTTAGTTTGGGGTGTGTGTGAATGGGTGGTGGTGGTCGGAGGGGCCGATTGCACTTAATGGTTTTGTCAGTGTGCCCCAGGTCAACTGTGGCTGCAATAGTAGATTATCACCGTGTATGGAGTGAAAAGATAATTTTCAAAGATAGTTTGTTTGGATACTTTAAAGATGTCCTTAGCTTTAACAATGTGCCCCAAATGCATAGTGTTGTAATTCAGCAGTTTGCTGATTCACTCGGTGGCTGTATGACCTTTGCAAGCACCCTTTATTTGACTCTATTGGTTTTGTCGTACTAACAACAAATCAATGCCGCATAGTTAAGCTGGTTTTACGACAAAGGCCAAGTTTCTAAAAAGACTGGAACCAAGGGCTGTTTTAAAGACTCTTGGCAACATCATGAAACCATTTCATACATTTTGACCACTATATTTCCAGCATGAGTTCTTACTTTTTACTTCTTCAATTTAATGACACTTGATGCACTTCATAGAGCTTAGATTGACTTTTCTTAACTTGCATTTTTCATGTACGGCTGCACAGGCTCCGCCCCTGCTCACAACTCCTCATTTACTCCTAATTTGCCTAATTGAAGTTAGCTTGCGTATCCAGCTCAAGGTGACATTTAGATACAAGTGTATCAGACCGACTAAGCATGTGGAACTCCCATGAAGATATTCAAAGATGTGACATGTGTCCATTGTGTGATCTCATGTGGAAGGAGATACTATTTGCACGATATGTGCTGCTCTTACTTTTTGATGGGTATAAATGTATTGGATCTTTATGATCTGAACTAGAAGATTCAATTATTTTAAGACGAGAACATTTCTGTAAACAAACTATATCATTATAGGGTGAGCGTATATAATAAAAAAAACGTGTTGAAAATAAGGTACACATTCACTTTGGAAAATACAGACTTCCAGTTTTTTAATGGGGTCATTTTTAACCATCCAAATATAGCTTACAAGTATATGGCACTGACATAAACTGGGCTAATGATTTTGTATGTCATCTTTCCATCGGAATCATCTAGTTCTGTCAAAATGTTATCAATACTGTTCCCCTGTCCCTCTACCCTGGTGGCTCCTGTGACCTCCTATGTCGCACATGAGCAAACACGAAATGTCAGCGCTGCTATCATCGCCCATGGGTTTGCTTTTCAGCACAATATGAAGTGAATCTGAAAATCTGAACACACAATAAGTTTGTTTCAGCCACAATATATACAATGAGATAGCAGATTGCAGCTATTATTCTTAATCAAAGATTGATCTAAAGGTTTATGTTTCTAGGTCTGATTACCACAACGGCAAGAAAATTGGATCGGGAACAACAGGCAGAGCACTTTCTAGAGGTACAGTAAAAAAAAAAAAAAAAAACTGGTGTTCCCTGGCTCTTTATGGTGTTATTATTTATGCTGCCCTGACATCTGCCACCGCCTACTATTAACAGAGACAGGGTGGAGGACATCCGTGGCAGGCCCTGAAGGCTCCATAAACTGTGATGAATAGCTGTAGTTTGGAGCCCCCTGGTTTAGGATTTTCTAAATGTAATCATTCATCATTTGGTTATCTGCTCTGCTCAGGATGGGGAACAGGGGAGGAAAGGAGTCGCTCTTGCCCAGGCATTTGATAAGCACAGACACTGGGCATACAGATAGCCGGGTGATTACCATTTTTGGTTGCTCTCTCCGCTCTGAATGCAGATTAACTAGATAATCACACATTCAACTCTTCAGAGGAAAACTTCTTCCTTTTTTTTAGTTCCTTGCCCTTCCACTAAATGCAATGATATGACCCCAAGTTGAGCCTTTGTGTTGCTCACACTTGCTGATGTTTTCAGAAAAGGTATCATTTACTTTTTGTATTGTTTTTATACTAATAACATTAAGAGTATAAACCATAATAATAATAATCTTTATTTGTATAGCACTTTTCAAAATAATGTTTACCAAACTTCTAAACTACACATACGCCTTTGTCCTGCAGCATCACCACTTTCCAGATTGAGATCCATGTAACTACTTCTTAGCCCTCAAATCAAATTGTCTTTGTCACTAGATTTCACATGCATCTATTTTTTGGCCTTTGTCACATCTTCAAGTCAGCTTGTAGACAGAAATGTAAAAAAAAAACAGGAAGGACCAATCAGCTCCTAGCCCAAAGCGTCAGACAGTGAGTCACAGGTCTCTTTCTCACAAGTGTGCAAAAGATAAATCCGATGCTTCCAATGTGATGAAGACAGGATGTTGTGGTCAGATTTGCTCACATTATACTACCTATTAAAGCTTAGTTGTAGCCTATATTCAGCACAAGGTTAAAAGCTACTTGTTGTTACATTTTTATCCTGTCTCATTTAAGTAGCCAAAGCTTGCCACGCGCCACTCAGGATGCCAGTCTGTGCAGTAATTAATAGTCTAGTGAGCAAGCCGGCTGGCAGCTGCGCTGTTCGTTCCTATCTGTTCCAATTGATCAGTGATCAGACCTCTGCCACCGCCTCCAGGGATAAATAATACACAGATTTCTCATGCACACTGGTCCTCGTGGCACTAAACTCTGCGACCACAGTCAATGCAGGTATATAAGATTATGAGGATGGAAGGCACTGACAAATCTACACACGGATTTGACACAGTTATTGTTCTGTGATTGTTACCAATAGCAAACCAATAATTTCTGTTAAAAAGCAACAACAAAAACTCCCCCCAGGCCCCTTCACTCTGTCTGTCTCTACTGCATTGGACCATGACCATTATGGACATGCCTATTTAGAGCTCTCTTGTTTCTTTATTTGTTTCTGCCCTGGAGCAGTGTGTGTGTATGTGTGCGTGTGTACGTGTGTGTTTTTGTGTGTCTAGAAAAAAGAAGTGGTAAAAAGCTTATATGTGTTATATTTTTCATTTTAAAGTATCCAATGCTCTTATCTTCTTCAGGTTACTATCATAGATGGTCCAGTGACATCTCGACAGTCCACAGTCTGGGTTATAGTCCACATTGAGGATGAGAACGACAACCCGCCCACCTTCCCAGAGCTCATGTACCGCATCCGGCTGCCTGAGCGAGATAGAAACAAACGTGGAGAACCAGTCTACCGCGTATTTGCTTACGACCGAGATCTGAGGGCAAATGGCAACATCACCTACAGTATTGTAGCTGGAAATGAGGATGACAAGTTCACGATCGACCCCCGCACTGCCATGGTTTCATCCAAGAAGATGATGGTAGCTGGCAGCTTTGATATCCTCACGGTGAGACTTCTGTACACTACATACAGACTGTGATCAGGCGAGCTATTAGCACTTATTTTGAGAATCATTAAAGGTGGTGGGTACAACTTGAACTATATTTAATTTGTAAACACTGTCGGTTTTCTTCAACCATAATATATTTAAAGTAGTCCCACTGCTTGGAACAACTATGAAAGATTTTCTGGAGGATAATAGTTGAACTAATTTGACTTAATTTCAATCAGGAAGCTGCAGCTCTTCAACAAGTTGCACTCTCTCTTCACAATTCAGAAAGTTACTGGCATTCACTTCTAATATCAAAGTCTTGCTTCTTCATTATGCTAAAAGTTAAGACTTCTTTCCTTATTTTGCCAAAGATAGAGATTTTATACTGCTTCTTTTTATGCTAGAGTTAGATATTTTATTTTGTATTAATATACATTGTTATATATAGTGTTCTCTACATTCCTACTGTTCTGTAATTTCCCAGCTGTGGAACAAATAAAGGATAATTTTTAAATACCATTTCATTCATCACCTTCTCTTGAATTTGCCATGTGGCGAGTACATTTTAGGTCCAGATCAACACTCCACTTCAGTTATTAGAGACTCATGGATATTGTAAAAATGAAGTCAACCTGAAGTGTGTGGTGAGCTGTGTGGAAGCTTGTATATACAGTATATCCGCAAGCTAGAAGAGCAATATAAGTGAACCCCCAAGAAAACAAAATAAACTACCAAACACAATTAAATCCTTTCACTTCACTGCAGGCAAGTCCTTTTGATCTTTTCTGCAAATTGCGTATAGTCGTCTGTTTGGTAAAATGACAAACATATACAGATTTTAACAACACTTAAACCAATATATTTCAGTCTAAACACAATCATCACATCGCTATCACATTTATTTAGTTCATTAACTCATTTAGTACACCATCAAAATATATATTGTGTTTTAATACACCTGAGTGCCTGGGTTTATAGTAAAGTTCACTGCTCTGAAAACTGCTTTTTGCCTTTAGTGTTGAATTTCCCCTGAAGGAACAATCACAAAGAGAGACATACATTTTATACAATGACATTCTTTGACAACCTCTTTAGTACAAATAATGTGAACACCTAAATGAAAACATCTTGGGCACATACAAGGTTTCCTCATCTCTCAATGATAGTAAGAAAAATCTGTGTAATCTTGGGCAGCTGGGTTCATCCTGGGCCCTGACTGCAGCCATTTGATACCACCTCCCTCAACACATTCCTTCTGTTTTGCTTAATGACGTTTCTATTTGTTATATGAAAGAGAGAGCGTGCAGCTGTCGGGGACAGCTATCCCATTATGCTGTGAGTGCTAAGATCAATTTGGAGGTTGGAAAAATATTATTAATTGTCAAGAGTTATGGCCTAGGGCTATGCAGAACATAAGTGATTGTTTCTGCATTGTCAGACATACAAACATTTCATTCATAACTTTTTCCAGAATGGATCTTAGCTTTATTTTCTTTTCATCCTTTCTTTATGTGGTTAATGATTTGAGAAAGCCCCAAAGGGTCATTCTAAATAAATTTAATATTTGAATTAATAATCCAAACAATTACAGACATAATATGGCGGCAACCATATTTTGTCACAGAATATAATTTTTGTAAAATGTTTTCAAGACTTACAGTTTTAAAAACATATGTTTGCTAAATAAAAATTAAAGTAGTGAGATAATACAAAATACAAACTTTTTTGTCATCAGAAAATCAGTTGTTTCTCATTGTTCCTTCGTCTACTGTTACAACATGCCACAGTGACTGAAAGCTTACTGAGCCTGTATTCTTAAATGTATTTATGTCGATATACTCTAAGTTTTTTTCCTCACTGAGTTTTTCCCTGGTTCAGTAAAGGTTATTTCATTATTTGTATTATATATCTTATAGATAAAAGCTGAGGATAGCGGCGACCCCCCTCTATGGTCCACAGTCAAACTTTATGTTGAATGGATTCGTAAACCAGTGCCGTCCACTACGCATCTGGTGTTCACGCAGAGGTACTACAACTTCTCTGTCTCGGAGACAGCAGCTGTGGCTCAGCCTGTGGGCGTGGTAGCTGTGAGCCAATCAAACACCCCGGTCTGGTTCAACATAGTTGGTAAGAAACTTTAACCATTCAGTTTTGGAATAATTGATGAATAAACAATTCTCTGCGGCTCAGTGAAGGATTCTAAATCAAATAATAATGAATAGAAATCCTTTTTGCCGTGATGTATTATCTTTCAAAAATGCCCAAAGGTTGACATAATAGTGCAGCTTGTTCTCATTTTATCTGGCTGCCTAGAGAAGTTGTTACAGCAATTACAAACGCCTAACCACTGAACCATGTTTTATTGCTCAGATAATGTAGTAATCTCAGTAACTTTGTTAGGGCTTAAAGATAATCACATTGAAAGCTTTATTAAAAGATGTTCAGCTATGACTGTTTAGTATTCTTCTCATCATTTTACTACTAGCACAAGAAGAGGTGACGATTTTTCCTCTTACATTTTCCACTGTGAGCTCCAATAATATATTAATCACATCTTCTTTGCTCGGCTGGTGTATTCTGGGGAAAAAGCCAACTTCTATTAGTTAATAGATGAGAGAAATGTTAAACGTGTCAAGAGGTCATCTTTTTAGAGTGCTTTCTACAAATGATTTGGATCTTTGATCACACAGATATCTCTCATTATTTGAATAATTAATCGTGTTTTCCTCTCTTTGCTGTTTTGTTGATGTCAAGGAGGGCGCCTTGCCAGAGAAATGTTCTACATCCCACAAAATGCATGTGGAAGGAACTGCTCACTGGATACAGGTCTGGTCAAGGCCAGTTTTGACACAACTTTGACTTGCATGCTCTAGATTTGGAAGTTGAGGAAATTGGGAACCAAAAACTTGCTCGCCTCCAGACAAAGCTTATTGATTTTAAGTTTCTTCTTTATATAATTGAGAATGTCTGAAAAAGGAAACTCAGCTTTTACTGTTTCAGCTGTTTATATCGCCAAAGTTTTCAGCACCACGGTCAGCTCTCATAATTCTTGTATGACACACCATCACATACTACAGTCATTCTTTATTCGTAAAGAATGACTGTATGGGTTTTGGAATTCCACCTGAAATAATCAGGGATCTTCTTGTACGGGTGGGACTGTAGCTTTCACTGTACGCCCCTCCTAAAAAAATTGTTGGGATCTTACAATTTTCAAAATAAATTTCACACCAATATGCTCAACTCCACTTCCCCTACTTGATCATGCATATGAAGGCTTATAACTTATTATGTGTGACAGATTATAAGAAACCAGCACCACCTGCATACGCTGTGTTAATTCATACGCCTTGATTATATCCGCTTGTTTGGGACGCTACACTGATTTGTTTGGGAGATGCTCACATGAAATAGCTGTGACAATATCCCGACAACCTTATTTATGCTTTCCTGGGACACGCCATCAGACTAATGTACCCTTCTTCCACCCAGGGAGTTGCTATGATTTCCTGCATAGACTCCACTGACTAATTTGTACAGTTTTAGAAAATCTGTCAGCATAAAAATACAAATCGGACAAGTCTCAAAGTAACTATAGTCTTTCCCCCAGAGCCTTGTTTCTGCCAGAGACTAAACTGGATAGTTCAGCTTATTTGTTAGAAACTACACACTCTTGGTTTTGTCTTTTTTAATATTGTCGTGTGTTTTCACTTCTATAGTGTATTATCAACTATACCTTTCTTTAGTAAAACGTATAAAGTGAATCCCAGTGGCCTGCTACAACTCAATACGCACCAGTGACTCTCTGAAAAATGCCCAATCAGTATTCATATGTCGAGAAGCGCCCGGGTTCCCAGATATCTCCAGAGAGGAGCGGGAATGAGACGAAGGATGGTGCTGAATACCTAACACGTATCAATCGTCTTCCTGGCTCTAATCTAACATTGCGCTTCTAAACTGTACACTGGTTGCCCGTGGAAATGACCCGGTTGCAGGTTTTTGATCTTAGAGATGGTTGTGTTTGGAAATGATAAGGCTGCTGTTTGTGAGGCTGTGTTCGCGGCTTTAGGCCACTGAGTGCTACATTACATGGCGGGGCAGTTCATTTTATTTCACAGAGCCCATCGCCTCAGACATAGGCACCTAGCCAAAACAATTACACACTAATAACTTAGAGCACCTGAGTATCATACGCAGCCTGAATACTTAATGAAGGAATCTCATACGTTGCATTGTGGGTCTCGCTTGCAGGGAGCTTTGACATGCAGTTTGACCTCCAAGTGGGGGTTGGGACGCTGGTGGTGGCCAGGCCCCTGGACGCAGAGATGCAGGCGGTTTATAACATGACTATCCAGGTGACAGATGGCACCAGCCTCGCCACGGCACAGGTTTGCACCCTTCTGAATTGTTATGCACTGGCACCTGCTCTCCTTATACGCTCATGACCCATGTCAAATCTAATTATTGTTAGTCCTTCCGAGGGAGAGGCGTTTACTCTCGCCTCTCATCCTTCCTGTGCTTTCTTTTTCTTTTTTTCCAAAATGATCTGTTGCTGACTATGAAATGTGCTTTTGTCAATCCCTGATCGTTCTGCTTTTGATGCCTCAGAAGGACCGCAAGGACTGACTTGAAAAGAAATCCTGATAACAGTGGATTAATGGGATCAGCCTAGACTTAGAAAGGTCAAGTGTAACAAGGCTAGCCCAAAACATAATTTTCCAGTGTAATACTCATATAAATCATTTCCCAGAGTCTATAGCAGCTTCACCTTGTAACCTCCAAAACATGAAAAGGCAATATTTTTCTTTATGCTTTAGGTTTTCATCCGGATTTTGGACAGCAATGACAACCCTCCAGTGTTTTCCCAGTCCGCGTACGATGTGAGTGTGTCTGAGGACGTTCCGGTAGACACTGAGCTTCTGCGCGTGCGGGCGACAGATGTGGACGAGCGAGCGCGTCTAAGCTTCTCTATCTACAGCTCAGTGGACCCGGCCAGCATGAGGCTGTTCAAAGTCAACCCTGGCACCGGGGTGGTTTACACTGCGGACAGGCTGGACTACGAGGCGCGCACTCAGCACATACTCAATGTTATGGTAAGTTTATACAGTAGGTCTAATAGAAATAGTTTAGGGTACTCCAAAACATATTCAAAACTTTCTTTTAGTTTTAATTTAGTTTTCTAAGTTTTGTATGTATTTCATTTGGTGTTTTTTGTTGGCAAAAAATTGAAAGTAACTAGTTCCTCGCTCATGAAACAGTTGTGTACATTCACTAATTTTCACATGCATGTATTTTTGGCATCTTTAAATCAGCTATCTCAGACAGAAAAGAGGACCCCCCTCACTCAGCCAATCAACTCTCAGCTCAATGCTCTCCAAAGATAGTAATAGGATTTATAATAGGATGAAGCCCGTTCAATTTGGTCTGATTTGTTTACGGAATTTATGTTGAAAAAAAACAACAAAAAAGTTAGGTCCCCCAACTTTAAATGTCACTTCACATCAACATAGCGTACTGACACAAACTTGATTGTTTGTCATTGACCTCCTTTAACAAACCAATTTTGTAGTTATATCTGAAAGAATTTACAGTACATGGACAGTTACTGTAAATCCTTGTGCTTAAACCGAGCTTTGAAAATGAACTATACCACAGGCTAAGAAATTCTCTTTGAACACGATTTGTCATACTGGTCTGACGGCAAAATTACCAATCTACTAGTATGATGCTGAATTCGTTTTTCCCCCTCAAAAGAAAGCGCCCTCTCCCCACACCTGGCTTTGTTATGTGCCGTATACACTTATACAGTATACTGTATGTGTGTCCTTGTGCACTCTACCAAACTACGCGCCCTCTGGCACTTCTGACTGCTGTGCTAATTTTAGCTGATTTCAATTAGTGCTTTTCTACAACTCCATATTCATCTCTCATTTTCCCTGATGTTGCTCCAGGTCAAGGATCAGGAGTTTCCATTTAACCGTGACCTGGCGCGGATCCTGGTTGCTGTGGAGGACTCCAATGATAATATCCCATACTTCACTAGCACTGTGTATGACGGCACTGCCTACGAGTCGTTCTCTATAGGCACCTCTGTTCTGCAAGTCACAGCTTTAGACAGAGACAATGGGATTAACGGGCAGCTTGCATACACCATAGAAGCAGGTATATTACCAAAAATAATTTATTTATGTTCACATTGCCATCTGTGATTATCATATTTTGACTAAAGATAGTAGATTTATGTTTGCTAATCAGCTTTTTGGATTTGATAGTAAATAATGGCATTGCTATTCCTCTCAGGTAACACGGGTGGTGTGTTCAGCATAGATAATGGCACAGGCCTATTATCCATCGCCCGGGAGTTGGACCTCACCTCTGTCGGCTTCTACACCCTCACGGTGCGGGTCTCCGACAGTGGATTTCCTCCTCTAATGGCAACAGCCACAGCTCGCATCGCTCTGATCCTTTCTGAATTCTCCACACCCAAGTTCACACAGGAGTACCAAGCCGAGGTAAAGACTTGCTATTACAACAGTCAATTTTGATGATCGAAAAGACACGAGTAAATCAATAGGTAAGGTGAGAGAACCTTTATTCGTCCCACAGTGGAGAAATGCAGGTGTTGCAGCACATGTACAGGGCAGTAGTGGTTTGTTGTGGGATTACAACATTCTCCTCAAAACTCCGTAAGGGGAACGCGCCAGTATAACATCCATTGTGCTTACGTAGGTCCACCGCAACCGCTAACTTAAGCCACGCCGCGCAAGTATACACTAGGCTTAAGACTCTCACAAGGAGCATACACACATATAGAGATAGGTCGCTGTAAATGCAATAAGATGCACTTACGCCATGCATTCTTAAGTTTGAATGTTACACTACTTTCTGCAACTTTCTGTTGGTCAAAATGAACAAGCTCTTGTGAAGCCCTGAAGGCAGCTATTTTTGAGAGTCTTTGCCAACATTTTTATTGAAATTCATTAAACTGTGAGGCTAAGGTTCCTGGAAGACTTTATAAATTATTCTAATGTGGTGGTGAACTGGTGACTCTTGGAACTTTGGTTTTCCTTAAGTCCGATGTCTCTTATATAATCATCTTTCTTATGGGCCCTTTTTCTCTTTCTTGATACTTTTTACATGGATAGATCATGGAGAACAGCACTATTGGGACTCACGTGACCACAGTGAGTGCCATAAGTCGCTCATCTCTTGTTTATGACCTTGGCCGGGGAAATGAAGATAACTGCTTTGACATCAACCATCACACTGGTGTAATCATGACTCGCAAACTGCTTGACTTTGAGGTTTGTAAAACGGGCTTTTATTCACCTTGTGCCATCAGTGCTGTGAATGATGTTATTTTAATGTATTCAGATAAGAGTGCTAAAGCCACTTTATACTAATGGCATTTTTGTTGTATTTGGCAGCAAACAGCCTCTTACCTTCTGGTGGTGAATGCTTTGAGTATGTCTGGAGTAGAAGCCAGCACTCTGGTCATCGTACAGGTTGGAGATGTCAATGACAACCCCCCTGTATTTCAAAATCTGAGGTTTGTGTCCCTGGCTTTGATATGCTCTTGTGCTTTCTATCCTCGAGTCCCTCAACATATTATCTTGGTCCTTGTTTTCCAGGTATGTTGGTGTAATCAGTGAAGCGGCACCAGTCAACAGTGTTGTTCTGGGAGAGGATGGGACACCGTTAGTCATCCAGGCAACTGACAAGGATCGTAATCACAATGCCTTGTTAGTGTTCCAGATTATAGACGACACACCGCGCATGTTTTTCAGTGTGGACTCTGGGACTGGGTCGATCCGGTAAGACAGCTTTAATACGGGAGACTTACCGTAGCTTTTAGACTCCACGGTGGAATAAACTTGGATATTAATTATGCATACATTTTTAAAGTTCAAGATTTTTTTACCTGACATACATCCAGTACATACTTTCAAGTTAGAAATTAATTATCATTAAGAGAGAAATAGGGGTGGGAACACATTCTTGTAGATGTTTTTTGGGGCTCTTGGCAATCTGGAACGGCCTGATGGGAGAAGCTCAAAACCCTGGTTCAGTGGGAGGGATCAGCTGATTGCCCTGGCCTTCCGTTTGGCTGCTTGAAAAGTGGGGTGAAATTGGCTTGAGTTGTTTCTGTCTTCTTGTTTCTTGTCTCTTTATTCTTGACTGTTTGTTTTTTTGTCTGACAGAGATGGGTGTGACACAAAAGAGGATGCTGTAGCAGACTCAATGAGGGTTTTGTAGACAGTGGTTAAGATGTCACGGCTAACCTGATCACTTCTCAGCTTCCTCAGTAGTTGTTCCCTCTGTACACCACCCTTATGTGTTAGCTGAAGGTCATGTGGCTGTCCAGAATGATTCCCAAGTACTTGATAGCTTCCAACTGTTCTTTGATCTGTCCATTTAAGCTCAGAAGCTCAAAAAGGCGACGTGGGGAAGTTTAATGTTGTCGACTGCAACACTGCTCCATTGTTTCAGAGACAGAGCTGTTCTCTAACCAGGTGATTGTACAAGGACAAAAAGTTGTCATTCTTGATGTTAGCCATGAGATAGATAGACATGTCATAAGCATAATTGAACAGAGTAAGGTCTCCACTTTTGCACATAATGTTGTTGATGTGTATAGAAAACAACATGGGTGATAAAGCACAGTCCAGAGGGATGCCTGTATTCATGCCCAGGTTGTTAGATTTCACCCCATTTGCCACCACATGCTGACCTTGGCGGTTGTCTTTGATCCACAGAATGTGTAATGGTTTGACTTGCATCTGCAATATCAATTCTGAGAAATATGGTGTCATAAAAGATATGGTGTTTTGGAATAATTATTATTTCTTTAGCAATTCTTTTACTTTATGAAGCCAATTGAGATTCTATAATTGTATTTTTACTTAAAGTCCTGGTACGTGTTTGTAAGTACATATACAAACATTTGTGTGCAACAGTTTACCATAACCTTTTGATTCTTACTTTTCAGGACAATTGGTAGATTGGACTTTGAGACCTTCCCTGATTTCAAGTTTCAAGTCAGTGTCCAAGACAGTGGCCAGCCTCCGCAAACAGCCGACAGCCCTGCAGAAGTGATTATTAAAGTTAGTTCATCTTTAATCCTTGCCTCATTTGATTTCTCAGATGGACAATACAACTGCATTGTTTTGGCCTTATTAAATCTAAATGGAATTTGCTGTCTTAGGTGATCAACATCAACGATTCACCTCCAAAGTTTGCTCAGGACACTTACGAGGCTGTGCTTCTTCTGCCCACTTATTTGGGGGTGGAAATTTTGCGAGTGGAGGCCGTTGACCCAGATATGACCGCTGAACCTGACAGCTCCATGACATCACAGTTAATTTACTCTCTCGTGGATGCCGATTTTTTCTACATCGAACGCTATAGTGGCATTGTGACTGTCGTAAATCCAAACCTCAATAAAGAGCGCTACCGCTTCAATGTTAAGGTGAGTTATTGGCTATAGGCTTAAAGTTCCACACAATAGACAGAATTATAATAAGTTTTGTGCTCAAAGGTTGGATCTAAAGGAGACAATTGGCCCACAATAGATTACGTATGAAAACGATTTTTGAGGTTGGATTAGACTAGACAGGACAGACTAGAATACATAAGAATGTTGTGAACAGACTTGCCTCGATGATCTGCTGTCATTCTGTTGCCTGTTGCCCTTGTTTTACTCATACAACACAGAGAGGGCAGAGTTTGAGACATGATCCAGCAAAGTCTGGATGTGACTTTTCAAAAACACAAAATCTTAATCTTTCGGACAATGTAATACTAAAATAATGAACTATGACTTTTTGCCCATTGTAATGAGGATAAAACCGGACGTATGAACGTATGAATAACATACCTTGATTGAACCCTAACCCTGATCACAATTGTGAACATTAGTGTGAAAAGCACCGATTGCTTAGAGCAGTGTCTCCCAAAGTGGGGTCCGCAGGGGGGGCCGCGGGAGGTCATAAAAAAAAAAATAATAATATTATGTTAAATTTATAATCTTTTGTTTGTAATATTGAAATATTTGTGTTCATTATTTGACTTGAATAATCCACTGTAATCATTTTTGTATTACAATGTTTGTAGCAGAGGCTATTTCCCCAAAATAAAATAACCAGAAGAGCCTATTCTTAATGTTGTCTTCTTGGTTATTATTTTGGGGGGCCACGCAGACCCGTCAGATTTTTAAGGGGGCCTCGGTGTTACTGAGTTTGGGAATGGCTGGCTTAGAGGTTAGTTTTGCACTCAAAAATAATGTTACTTATTACTGTTACTTTTTACTAACTGTGAGTTAGTAAAAAGTTAGGAGAACTAACTCAAAATGTTGTCCCATTGTCTTTACTCCTTAACAATATGGCATTTAACCTGTAATTTCCACAGATGGATTACCTTAGTATGGTTTTAACCTTTTGTACCCATTGGATTGCATGCAGGAGATTTTCATTCTTTTTTTAAGTTTGATTTTGAGCCCTGGACTAAAATTATCTCAATTTCAATAAAATGAAAACGCTAACTATATCATTTGATAATATCCATGACAAATCAAGATCAAAACAAGGCTGAAAAGCAGTATTTCCCACCTTTCGAAGTCCCCATATACATTGGTTTTGCTCTATCTCCCACGAGATGCCCGTTAGTCGAGTTGGCCTGTAATAGGGGCTTGCTTGGGTCAGTAGTCTGTATCTTAATCCGGGGTAAAATATCTTAAAGCACTGTCACTGAGTTTATTTATTCTGTTCAAAGGTTTGGGATGGCCGTTTCTCCAGCATGGCTTTGGTAACAGTACTGGTGCGTGAGGCTCTGGACAGTGGACTCCTCTTCACGTCACCGGTCTACTCTACTTCTGTCCGCGAAAACTCTGCTAATATTAGCGTGCTAACTGTGGTGAATACAGTGGGCCATCGTCTGAATGAGCCCCTCAGATACTCGCTGTTGAACCCCAGTAGTCGATTTGAGATCCGGCCGACCTGTGGAGCGCTGCTGACCACGGGGAAGCCCTTCGACAGAGAGGAGACCGCCACATATACACTGGTGGTGGAGGTACGGCGGGAGGAGGAGGTCCTGAGGGTGGCCAGAGTCACGGTGCAAGTGCAGGTGAGCTTTGTGCTTTTTAAGCTATTGGTTTGTACTGTGTGATTATTCCACAATCCAATTTTACAGTGTTTTTTAAGATCTCCTTTCTCAATATAGAAACGACATCTGGGATACAGAATATGTCTTTGAGTTATGTACAATCATAATTACTTTAGAAAAATGCATGCATCAATGGTGTTTTTAGATAGTGTGCACTAAATTGATAAGCTGGTGATATTTACTGATATTAATGGATTTTCATTGTAATCTAATTTCTTTAACTTGTAATTCTCATTACTCAAAAGCTTTACACCTTTTGAGATCTGTACAGTGTTTCTTTAATAAACAATATGAACTTGTCTTTGCAATCTGTAAGATTTCTCTGTTGTTCATAAAACAAACTGATTTTAGAGCCTAGTTTAAATATATGCAGTATAACATACTTTAACAAGCTCTGAAAATTATGTTATAAAAAGTTTTAGGTCACAGGTCAACAATTTGAAGAAAGCTAATCAGGCTTTTTAGCTAAATTGGACAGAAGGAAATCGGGCACAAAATTACACTGACATTTTGTTTCTATAAAGCTAGTGGGCGTCATACTCAAAGATAGAGTCTGAAATGCATGCCTTGTTGCTTCAATTACTTCTCAGAACGGCAGCAATTTCTCACTTTAACCATGCCTTATTAAATATGTTTCTCTGTTCAGGTGGACGATATGAATGACAATGTCCCAGTGTTTATGAACCTGCCGTACTACGCAACCGTCCAAGTGGAAGCAGAGCCCGGATCTGCCATCTTCACTGTGTCTGCCTCAGATTTAGACAGTGAGGTGAATGGAGATTTGACTTACAGCTTAAAGGAGCAACACCGAAATTTTCAGGTATAACATCTTAGAAAACAGTATTGTTTTTAGGAGGAAGGAAGATTCAACTTGACATATTTTGGTTTTGCATTTTTAAAAAGTATTTTATAATGAGGTTTTATGAGTACAAATGCCTTGCCCCATTTCATCATGGCTTATGAATGGATGGAATGTTAAACCTCAATCTTTGGGAACAAACCAGAGAGAAGATATGACCCTTTAAATCTGAGCAAATTCTATGATGTTGATACTCTCTAAAGACGGTTAAAAATAAGAGGTACCATTTGTATGCATGTGTTTCAGCTTCCTGTTATATGCAACATTTTAGGGACTGTTTTCTCATTCAAACGATAGGCTCTTTTGTTTTGAAATGTCTATCACTCTGGTAATGGCCCTCATCTTTCATCATTTTGAGACCCATGGCTAGTAGAAACGACTTAAAGAATAGATATTATGCATTATCTTTGGCCATTAAAGTGATAATGCAACTATTTATTTTGTCATTTCATGTTTTAGAATGTCAAATATTATATTATGCAGAAAATAATGGTGAAATAAGTACAGTATGAAGGGTAACAAAAGATTCCCTATGCTACCACCAGGGGAGGAGTTGAATTTGTTCATTTTTTTCTCTAATTAAAAAAATACGCAGCCATGTGATTGGAAAGAATGTCGTTTCACCCAAGAAAATGCCTAAACTAATTTATGAATAATATTTTTCTTTGTCATTATGTCACAGTGGTACAATTACATTATAGCATAGAAAGGGGCAAAGTTACATGTTTGTACCAGAATTGGATGGATATAAAAAACAACATCTACTTTTGATAATATATCCAAAAATAACATGTCTCCTAAAATTCTTGTATTTGTGTTGCCTTTAGGTGAACCCAGTCACAGGCGAGCTGACGCTACAACGAGCTTTCAAATCTGACCTATCCAACGCAGAATATAAACTAACCATTGTGGCCACAGATAGAGGTTTCCCGCCTTTGTCCAGCGAGGTGGAGGTTCCCGTCAACGTGGTGAACAAAGCCATGCCGGTGTTTGACAAGTCCTTTTATGGAGTGACGGTTCCAGAGGACGTTTCTATCTCCACTTCTATCTTGAGCATCAACGCCACCACTCCGCAGGGCCAAAATGTCATCTTCACCATCGCAGACGGGGACCCTTCTCTGCAGTTCGACATCGGTTTTGATAGTGGAGTTGTGTCTGTTATTTACCCGTTGGACTTTGAGACCACGCAGTATTTCCGACTCACGGTGAAGGCCACAGACACATTGACAGGGGCCAAGTCTGACGTGGATGTGGATATAGTGGTGCTCGACGTCAACGACAATCCGCCATTGTTCCAAAATAACTCCTATTCTGCTGTTGTGTCAGAAAATGTCATGATTGGAAGCACAGTTTTGCAGGTTTGTCTTTCACCATACAGAGACCACACGCTCACGATAGGACGATTAGACACACTGAAACAACGATATGTTTTATGACCATTTGCGCATTTCATGGACCATTGTCACACAAACTTAATATTACCAAAATTAAATGTTGCCTGGTCAAATGTGCAGTTTTAAATCACTAACTGATATCCAAAGTTACTGCTTGCGAAGGAGCATTTCAAACACACAAAAAACAACACATACAGAAAAAAAAAGTGGACGTTTTTAATAGAATTGTTGGAGATTAAACCTTCTGTGAGAACCCTATTCTTGCCAGAAAATGGAATACAAAACTTAATTTGCTTTTTCCACTTGCTGTTTCTGTACTGCTTCAAACCGCATCTAAAGAAACAAATCAACAGCTTTTGAATAATTCATGAGATGTTTTCTCTCGCTTCGAGCTTCATATTGTACTTATTTTGTAGGTGTTTGCTCTGGATCAAGACACAGAGAAGAATGCCTTAGTGAGTTACCAAATCCTATCAGACTTATACAACAGTTCAGACTACTTCCAGATTGACAGCAGCAGTGGCCTTATATCCACCGCCCGCCTCCTTGATTACGAACTCATCCAAAGGTACAACTTTATCGTCCGCGCAACTGACAGCGGAGAGCCGCCCCTCAGCAGTGATGTCAGTGTGACAGTGACAGTCACAGACACCAACGACAGCCCTCCGAGCTTCAGCCAAACTCTGTATGAGGCTTTTGTGAGCGAGTTGGCTCCGCGGGGGCACTTTGTGACATGTGTGCAGGCCTCTGATGCAGACACTTGTGATGCAGATAAACTCAGGTGAGGAAAAGTGCACCGTTATCCAGTTTGTTCAACCAATTCAATCTCCAGTTGTACAAGTTTGTATTGTATGGATAACAATGGAGACCAAGATGAAACTATTTAAATGAGCTTTTCACTAACTTCATTATTATTTTCATACATTTGAAAAAATAAATAATAATCTAAAGTTCACCTCATTATGGCCAATTACAAAAACAGCATATTTGCTCTTTTTGATGACCATATCTTTGTTTGTTTATTTAATTGTTTTAGTATTAAAAACACACTGTTGTGGAATTTCTGCACATACCAAGAGTAAAATAATGTAAACAACTCAGAGCTGTAATTCCAAACAAAGTGTGAGTTTATTCATTAGTAAATGAGCACAATTACAATGAATAACAGAACCGATACCAATACCACCGGGCAGCCGTCCGAAATCGACTGCCCCGATTGAGGAAATGACTGTACATTAAATAGACCAGAGTAAACAAACACATATCTACTCTAGATATTACATAGATGAAGTCAACATTGATATGTGTTGCTCAAGGCTTCTCTTTACGCGTCCTAACGCTGATACAACTCTATGTAACAATCTGCTTATTAACTGAACATATTGTTCTATGACCCAGGTCAAAGACATGATGCAGCACGTCTCCATCTATCACTGACCTGAGCCAACAGAGCATTATGGCCTGTATCTGAATCCAGAGTTCACTGTTAGTTAATAACTTACACTCATAACTATTTGGTGTTAATTCAGGCTGCTTTACTAAAATATTTCTATAACAACACAATACGCTCAAAAGGAGTGGGCTGAAGGGTCAGTCTTCAAACTATACATATACCAGGGACGTGCGGTGAGGTTTGTGATTGGGGAGGCACTGACTTTAAAAGTCAGATTTACAATCATTATTCAAATAAAATAGCATTTAATCACCAATGCAATGACATCCACAAACTTTATATACTGTAAAGATAAGAGAACCAGCTTCTTTTAATAATCTCACAACAAATCTAGCTGCTGACTCTGCTCCGCATCAAACAACATCTTTAAGAAGCGCAGGTGCGAGAGACGCGAGGAGAGAGAGACGCGAGGAGAGAGAGACGCGAGGAACATAAACAATAATTTAAACAAGTTGCAGAACTCTTGAGCAGTGTTTGAATCAGTGTTTTTCGGAAAAGCACTACTTTGCCGGTATCTGTCAATGTTCAACATAAAACACAGATTAACAAACTCCTCCCCCGCAGCCGGACTAACCTCGTAAGTCCAGTGGTGGTCTCCCAGTCTATATCAATTCTTTCTTTGTTTGAAAGTCCAATTGAGAAAAAAAATCTTCATTCAAATCATCCATTTTCCAGCAAAAGAAATAGCATTTTGGGCTGATTGTTTGTTAGCAACTCTGGTATGAACTTTATGCTCACTATCACCCCTAGCGGTGAGGCACAGATACCGCCTGCCTCACGCCAAGCTTTTTCCTTGTGTGTTCATCTACGATCAAAAGACTTAAACTAAATATAAATTGTACACACATACGTGCAATACACTACTAAACACTAAGAGGAGTTTAAAAAATGTTTTTAAAGCAGGATATTTGAAACAAACGGTGATATATCAACTGCACGAGCTGAGTGCACTCAGACACACACACACACACTGTGAGGGAGCGGTCTGGGGTGAGGCACGCAGGAGCGCTGCCTCACCTCGTCTCTTTGAATAGGAATAACGGGATTTCGGCAATTTTGACTTCAGAAATGATCAAAACTGATGGGAACCGTGCCGAATATACATTAAAAGCATAGGACAGTGGATATAAATTATATATTTAAACTAAAATAATTATTAGTTTCCAATAATGGCAGGTGAGGCTCTGCCTCCCCTGCCTCCCCTGACTGCACGTCCCTGACATATACATAAGCATACTGTATGTAATAAATAAATACATACAGTACATACGTATACATAGCTTATGGTGGTTTGAACAAAAAGTAATGGAAAAAAATAATGACGTTTCCTTAGTGACAGTCATTGAGGAGAAACAAATATCTTTTACTTTCATACCCATTTAGATTCTAGCTGAGACTGGGGGTTATAAAGTATTAAATATCTAGTCCTCAAGAAAATGTTGTAGCATGTCCGTTTGTTCATCAATCTTTTCACAGGTTTTGATATTTTCATTTAATAAGAAGTCCAGTGACACGCATGCTTTTAAGAGTACTCCAGTAAAATATGTTATGTTTGTTTGACCTCTCAAGACGTACTTGTGAAAGTTCATAATTTGCTGTAAACTTGTTGGTTCTTATCTAGAGATGCACTACTTCCAATTATATGAAACAACATTGCCTGCAGGTACACCATCCTCTCTGGAAATGAGCGCATGACTTTTATGATAAAGCCCGATACCGGAGTGCTTACGCTGTCTAACAAGAGGAGACAAGGCATGAAACCGTCCTATCAGCTCAATGTGTCCGTGTCAGATGGAGTCTTCACCAACACGGCCCAGGTGAGAAAGGCCATATCCTACTCTCATTTACTTCTGTCAAATCTCTGGATACAGTATGTTTTCTATTTTTGGTGTAGATTTACTAACTGCTCTGTGTATTGACCCATAGCATTTCGTTTAATACATGGTGCTACATTTAGAAGTGTGCCGCTCACCAATTGAATGCTCCCGGGAATACACGTGTTTGGATCATAGCAGAGGCAAAGCGACAAGCTGACAAAATGGAAAAGGAAATTAACAGTGTGAAAGTGGCACTACCTAAAAAAACCAAAAAAAACAAAAGGCATCACTTTGATTTACCTGTTCATGCATTTATACCAATATTAATATAATTACAGCATATAATATAATTATACAGTGAGGCGGCTGCGGCTGTAAAGTGCAATACTGCCGTTGTGTCCTTAGGCAAGACACTTTACCCCCATTGCCTAGAATGAGTCTGGTGTGTGTGTGTGTGTTTGGTTGGTGGTGGTCGGAGGGGCCGATGGCGCATAATGGTTGCCTCGCTTCTGTCAGTGTGCCCCAGGGCAGCTGTGGCTACAGTAGAAATTCATCACCACTGTGTATGGAGTGAATGAATAATGACATGTTAAGCGTCTTTGAGTGTCGAAAAAAGCACTATGTAAAAATGATGCATTATTATAATATAAAAGCTGGGGTACTTCACAAGTATTACATTGTGTTTAGTAAAATGACACTGTTCAGACCACATCATGTTGTCTTCATCTTATTAGAAGATATGGCCAAACTGTTTTGAGAATGAGGAACTATAAGGATGGATTTCATTACATATTTGTTGTTGTTTTAAAGTTAGGTACCCCAACTAGCAGTAGTGGTCTTTATTTCTAATTTTGAATTATTCCTTGTACAATACTATACAATTCAGTTCAATTCTTACAAAACTTAAAAACATTAGAGATTTTCCATTTCCTTACCGTTAATAGTAATTTATTGTAGCTGTATAATTAATCATGATTAAATATTTGAATGTCTCTGCATGTCTTGGACATAAGTCTTGGACCATTGACCATTGACTATCACTTTATACTTTATAACTTCTGAAAATAATCACAATAGTTAGTCTGAAACCACTTTTTTTTTTTATGGGCGGGCAATTGTATTTAAAAGTATGGATTATTGCCATAGAGAAATGATTTCCACATGACTGAATGCTAATGATTTTCTGCATTGACCTCATGAAGAAAAACCGTACTGGATATTGCTGATAACTTATCACAGGATTAATGTAAACATATTTATACTTCTCATTTATGATAGTTGTATATCAAATGTACTGTATTGGACAACTGTTGTTATGATATTGTTGTCATATTATGAAGGTCAAGCTGCTTATGTAAAGTATGCTCACAACATAAATGCGTTTTATAGCCTTTTGCCACAGGGCTTGTCGAAACAGCTTCATTACCATGCAATCTCCTGACAGTGTAACGCATTGCTACTTTCCACTCGTAGCAAAGAGCAAATTAAAAGTGGTGTTATTTTCTTTCCAGGTTATTGTCCGTGTTTTGGGAGCTAACTTATACAGTCCTGTTTTTAGCCAGCGGTTTTACCTAGCCGAGGTCAGTGAAAATGCACCTCCAGGATCAAGGGTCATCCAGGTACGGCCAATGCAACTTACTCCGTACACAGCTGTAGGGCTAAACTCATTGGAAATGCTCTGCTTGCTCTCAAGGTCCTGGCAACTGATGAGGACTCTGGATTTTACGGTCAGATCACATACTCTTTTGTGAATGACCTGGGAAAAACTCAGTTCACTATTGATGCAGATGGAGTCATATATTGCAATCAGAGGATGGACCGAGAAAACCCTCTCAACAAAGACATGGTGCTAACTGTGATGGCGCTGGACGGAGGAGGTGAGTGTAAAATCCGTATGACAGTACGCACAAAATAAAATAACCGAGAACAAGTTGTACTATAAGCGTGCTGGTGTCAAAGCTTCAGTGCAGTGGTACTCTGTGCAAAGAAAAATAATCCCAAATGAACCCAGTGAAAAAACATCTCAATGAATGGCTCAAAAAACAAATGACTCCATCACAAATATATAAAACAATGGATATAATATTATTGTAATTGACCTTTAATGAGCAGTGTTGGGCACGTTACTTTGAAAAAGTAATTAGTTATAGTTACTAGTTACCTCTCCCAAAAAGAAACTGAGTTTCTAACTGAGTTACTCCACTATAAAAGTAACTGGTTACCAGTGAAAGTAACTATTGCGTTACTTTTTCGTTTCTCGCCCCGTAACCCGCCCTGGCTGCCACCTTCTCTGAGCGTGTTTCATAAACCAGATGAATAGAGTGCACGACTACAAACACAAGTACCTGCACAGAGGTTTGCATTTATTGCAACTCAACATAAACAACAGCGGATGGACATACACTTCTCAAAACTCAACGTGCACATTTTTACCTTTAATCTCAGTGAGTTTGAAATAGTGCCGATATTTCCATCTGGTAATGGCTGTTTTGCTGCTGGAGTCCTCCTCACTCTCCATCTTTCTCTGTGTGCTGTAACCACTACTCACCCGCCACTGTGAATGCGGGAACACCCACCTACTCAATTTCTCTGATTGGCTGAAGACGTAATCTTACTTTACATCAGCCAATAATTGCTGAGAGGTTATCTCATCCTCCCTCCTCTCATGACAACACGCGCACAAGTCCTATCAGGAAGTTAAAAAAAACGTTCATTGTGCAACTTGAGTAACGTGCAGTAAGGGGGTGTCAGCAATGATAACGGCGTTATAGTGACAGTCAAAGTAATTAGTTAGATTGCTCGTTACTGAAAAAAGTTATTTCAACACCGTTATTCCCATCACTGAGTGTGTTATTTGCCCTGGTCAAGTGCCTCTCTATTGGTTTGAAGAACACACATTTAATTGCTTTTTTATTTAAATCTAATGAAACTATTATCAAATGGCCGCAACCTACACATTTTTTGGACATGTATGTGATGTTTTAAATCAAAGGAGTATGGATCAATTTCAAACAGGAATCCATGGCTTGATGATGGACTATGAAGAATTTCAGTGAATGGTTTAATTTATATATTTTTGAAACTCTATGTTTTAGCATTACAGAATCTTCGCATCTACCCAATGTTCTTTTAGTCTAAAAAGATGAATCTCAATGTTAAATACTGTTGACAACTTTTAGCTTGGAGCTTCCTATTTTTATTCACTGACATTGCATCTGATGTTTTGCCTGATTCCTTCAAACTCCCCTTTTTCTGTAATTTAAAAGTTTATATGCTAAGATAGTCTAAGAAGCATCCTCGCATAATCACGTCTGAAGTTTTGTCTTGTCTCAGCTCCCAGGTATTTCATTGTTTTGTCTTGACATTTAATGCATAAAAATACCAAAGCCGGGTCTATCGGATAAACACACTTCTGTGGCCTTTTTGAAATATCAGAACAAAGTCAGTTTCATGTTTTTTTTGTTATTTTGACAAGCGCTTACTTCTAAACGCCTTTGTTCTCTGTTGCAGGCCGTGCTTCATTCTGCACAGTCAGGGTGGTCCTCGCTGATGAGAATGACAATGTTCCTCGCTTCCGGGCTGTGGAATACAGGATGAGCATCAAAGCCAACGTGGCTAAAGGGTCTCTGGTCACTCAGATCCAGGCCACGGATCCGGACGCCGGCTCTAATGGACGCATCACCTACTCCCTGTACAGCGAGGCGCGGCTCTCACTGGTCGATGTGCTGGAGGTCAGTGCATCGAATCTTTAATGGACTTTGATATCAAATTGTTGCCACCAATGATTTTGGCAGAGTTCTATCGTCACCAGGATGATAGGTGTTAATTTTAGTACAGAACATTGTATTGCAAATCTATTGTGACATTTGTCTGATGTGACACTTCTGTCCAGTTCCAATGGTGAACTAGATCATTTCATAACCTTCATTTTTCATTTCGTTTTAGGCTGACCTACATTCAGCTAAGCAAAATTACAATCGGTCAACTATACTCAACCTACTAACAAATAATATTTGTATTCAAGCATTCTAGCTAGTTACTGTTCTGAAGAAAAGAAATGCGGCTAAAATATTGCTCCTTGACTAAAATATTAGGTGTAAATAAAACTGTATAAAGAGGCTGGTGATTGTTTTAAAATAGGGGTATTAAATCTTTTGCCCCATTGATATCAACTTTTACAAATATAACTGGAAGACAGCTCCTTTTAGAGTTTGCATTTTTTTTAAATTTTTAGCAATTATGTTTACAATTTACGTATGAGAAGCTGTTGATGTTATCTGCCTACAATTTCAGCCATTGTCAGTTTACACAATGAGCCATATGAAGTGAACATGTGTAATTAAAATTGGTGCATTTTGGATAAACCTTGAAAGTGGTGGTCAGCAACTGGTTTTCTGAAAGTTATCAACTCAATGATCTATAATTATACTGTAAATCAGGCTCTCAAATGTCATTTTGATCTTCTTCTCCTCGAGGAAATGTATTTATCCACCAGATATTTGCTCACATACCTCTCTGCCTTAACCAGGTGGAGGCAGACAGTGGATGGATGATGACCAAGAGCGCAGTGGACCACCTCCAGGGAACTGTTTTGTCTTTCTTTGTCAAAGCTACAGACAGCGGCTCTCCCCCAAAGCACTCGTTGGTCTCTGCGTTCATCCATGTCGTCCCTCCTGATGCCTCAGTCCCGTCCTTCAGCCAGCCACAGTACTCCTTCACCATCCAAGAGGACACTGCCATCGGGACTGGTTTGGGGTCGGTTTACATGGGCGCGGGGCAGACCGGATTTTTCACCGCCATCGCTGGTGAGACAAAGGACAGTAACCAGGAAGGAACATTTTTAGTGGAGAAGGAGACCGGGCTGATCCGATTGATTCAGCCTCTGGATTATGAGGAGGTCAGCATCTACCGATTCAAGGTTTCTGCAACAACGAGAAGAGACCTGATAGAGGCTGTGTCTACTGTGGATGTGGAAGTGAAGGTCAGTTATCCATGAGTCATATGTAAATGTAAAAAGTTATACTTTATACTATATAACAGCAAGGGTAATGATGGAATAAGCATGATTGATAAGATACATAAGTACAGTAAATCCTGTTGAACATCTTAACTATCATATGAAATATGGGATGGATATTGGAAATTGCTGTGTTGGCACTCGCCCATTCAGACATTGTCTTAAAGTGAAGCCTACTGCTGACAGTGCTTCAGATCATGGTAGCATCATATTGCACAGCAGGTTCCCACCCCCCATTCGGCCCAGAGTGCCTAATGTGTAATGGGTTTAAACAATTCCACTAACAGTTGACTAAAGGACAGCGATTAATAAATTGGCAGACGGCCACAATTACCATGCCATTACCATTACCAGCCATGTTATTAGTGTGATGTAAGGTGAGGTACTTAATAGAAAGGGGCAGATTATCATAAAACAGAAATGATATTGAGTTTTGAAATGATAACAATTATTCCAAATTAAGGCTATAAATTGATACATTAAATTGATGCTGATGAAAATGAATAGATCAGTATGTACAATTGACAGCATATTGTAGGAATCTCATATGTTATTATTGTCCAATACTTTATTGATGTATTAATTTTGTTGTTCACTCCAAGTGCTGAATTATGAATGTGTTATCACAATTAATTGCTAACATTAGATAAAATAGATACATAATATTATTGTAATGTTTTTTGCAGATAAGATTCTATTCTATGTTATCACACTCCCTATCTGTGCACCTGTGTGTCGTTAATCGTATGTAAAGATGATTCAAATGCATCTAAGGATTTTGAGGAGACCCAAGGAGAATAGCCATTGTGCTTCAGTGGTTAATGAGAATCTTAATTAACTAAATGAAACTTGCAGATTTTGGACATCAATGACAACAGACCGATTTTTGAGACCAACCCATACGTTGCCACGGTGATGGAGGGCATGCCTGTGGGGACCAGAGTGGTGCAAGTACGAGCCCTCGACCCCGACTGGGGATCTAATGGACAGGTCTATTTACTATTTCCTCTGTTCATTAATTATGGCTACACAATAGTGGAAAAATATATCCACAAGCACTGAGTTAATGATTTATAGTGCGATATTTCCTTCCTTTCCCCTAAGAAATCAATATGCAAAGTTGGAACTGCAGTGTTTGCTCATCTCTTCTCCCACTGAGTTGTGTTTTATTCTTTCTCATCCCTGTAAGATCTCCAGCAACTGGAAAAATCCCACATGGTTTATTGCAATTTGCTGCAATATCAATATTGCACTTGCTATCAACCATATCTGTTGCAGTATATTGTGGGTCTGGACTATAATGGGAAAGGCGCTATATAAATAAAGATTACTTACATACTTACTTACTTACTTAATGCAATATTCTGCATGTAGCATACTTTGTTGAAATTGAATGTGAATATTTTGTGACTACAGGTGACGTACAGAATTGGGCCGATGTTAACCAAACCAGAGATAACCAAGGAAATGCGTCCGCTCAACGCCACAGACAGAAGAACCTCCTTTTCCATTGACAGTAAAACCGGCTGGATCACCACTTTGACCCAAATGGATCACGAGGTCTGTTCCAGCTACAGCTTTGAGGTTGTGGCCTCAGATTTAGGGGAGGCCCTGTCGCTGTCCTCCACAGCAGTTGTAACTATCACCGTGTCGGACGTCAATGACAACCCGCCTCAGTTTGAGCGGGAGTTGTATCGAGGGGCAGTGAAGGAGAGCGACCCGCTGGGGGAGGTGGTGGCTGTCCTCAAAACCAGAGACCGCGACGGGACGGACCAAAACCGAATGGTCAGCTTTTACATCACTGGTAAGGAAATGAAAGCACAATACCCATGTAATCAAGCCTGATACACCAGCAGCTAAAGCCATCATTCACTCTGCAGTTAGATAAGGTTGAGCTACTTAGCGATTAAACCTCGTTCTCAATGAAAGTTTCAGCAAAGGTCACATTCTGAATTAATGCTAATATTTCTAACCTTTTTTTTCATTTTATTGGAGCGCTAATTTCTTGATGAAGTTCCACAGAGCATACAAGAACCTCTAAAGCAAAGGCAGACATCCATCCATCCATCCATTTTCTACCCTTTAATCCATTTCTGGGTCAGCCCCCACTGAAAGATCAAGGCTATGCTCACACTCAGAGAGCAGCCGTCCTCCTGTGGACTCACCACCTGCAGAGGGTCAGTGAGGGGCTGGTGCTATGAGAGGCAGACATTCACTTTTTAAAATTGAAAGCTCAGCGTTTTCCATGACTGTGCCTCTACATATTTATCATAGCTGTGTGCGTGTGTGCAAAAGTGATTAGGTCCCCTTCACAACTGAGCAAACTGATTTATCATGCACATGTCCTATAGAGCTGAAGCAGGGACGATGCACACGCAGTTTAGCATCTGGATTCATAAATATACCACTCACTGCTGTGTGCAAGATCCTCTATTGACTGATAATAAATTATTATTATCAGTCAATAGAGTTTACATTTATTTATAAAGACACAAACACTACTAATTGTTATATTTAAAGTAAAATATGTATCCAGGTTCACACATTGTTTAGTTATCTTCATTTGAAATTGAAATACAAGCAAAACATACACCTATGTTTTAAGATATTCCTCACCTCAAGCTAACTTAGTGTAGTACTGTACAGCGTCTGTGTGAAACAAGGTTAGGGACATTCAAGAGAATGTCTTTTGTATTCATGTTGGGCTTCTGAGCGTGACTGTGATTTAAAACAGTGATAAAGCCGTTGTTATAAAAGGTCAATTTTTATGCTTTGAAAAGCTGCTACCTCGATCTGCGATGAAACTTGTGAAGATGGATGTTTATTGATTGGGACCTGCATCATGTTCGCACTTGTTGGCAGCTGGAGAAACGCTAGATCAGGTTTAGACACTGTTATATGAACTGAACATTTATATCATAGCTCAGTTATTGCTCTTCAAGCCTTTTGTGCTTCAGTCGACTCAGGTGGTCAATGGTGACTTTTTGACCATTTTTTTGACTTGGTCTTATAGCGATCTTTTGAAGTTCAAAGGAAGCTCTTGGGTTAGTCAGGGTACCTTTTGTACGCACATCAGATACATGGTCAGGTCATCTAACCATTGGATAGCGATGGATTTCTCCCTGTTTCACGTCTGGCTCATAGTTGCTTGTTGATTGTTAGTATATTGAGTAATTGCTGCTTTTTGATTGTGTAAAATACAGTAGTTTTTACTCAAATTAATTAAGAAAAATGTAGCATACAATTTATTTTGTATAATACCTTGATATACCATGAAACCCTTCTAGACAAATGAAGGACTATTGATATTACAGGACATACAAAATGTTTTTAACATTTTAAAATCAAACTCTTCTCCCATGAGTTGTAAAATGTATATATTTTTTCACATGGGTTAAGAATTCTCTTAGGGTACATTCACAATTGTTGGTCTGGTTCACTGATCAATTGAACCTGCTAAGGTTCACTTTGGACAAAATGCTTTGTGGAAGTGAAACCACCAACAATTGAACAAGTGCCCATTTGTCACTCAAATCCGTTTACATGTTTTTGCTTATATTACATTGCTTGTTTTACATTGCTTGTATTAAATTGCTTGTATAAAATCCTATTCTAATCCATTGTAGCTACCATTCTACAGTGTACATAAAATATGGTGAAATGTTCCAACAACATGTCAAAAAACTTATTGTTGTACTTTCTTATGCAATATTTTCTCTGTGTCTTTTACTTTTTGACAGCATACGCACATCCAGATGCATTTTAGGTTTTTGTTTTTCCTGCAGGCGGGAACTTGCGAGGCGTGTTTGGTTTGGCTCTTGTCCAGGGCGAGTGGAAGGTGTACGTTAGTGGGATCCTGGACCGAGAGCAGCAGGACCAGTACCTGCTCAACGTCACAGCGAGCGATGGACTCTACGTGAGCCGGACCGCAGTGGAAGTCACAGTCATGGACGCCAATGACAACAGCCCCATCTGCAACCAGGTCTGGAGCCGCGCTCATCGAGCAGAAGGCAAACACAGAGCAGATGTGCAAACAGAGAGACAGACAGCTGGATCAAGAGACAGAAACTCTATGGTTTATTAACTGAGCATTAACTAGTCATTGGACATGAAACTTTTATTATTCACCACAAACACCATTGTTATAAGACTATGATAAAAGCTTCCTGGTGATGGATTTTGTTTATACAATTCAATTAAACATCGACTCTCTTTTAGTGTTAAAACCTTTCCAATTGCCATAGAAAATTATACAGATTCTGCTTGTTTTTCATAATGTTTCTTGAAAAACATATCATTAGCTTGTATAGCTGGAATTTTTCATCATATGACTTTATCCATGTAAAGTTATAACTGCAAAGATGCTCACAATAAGAATTGGGTTTTTTAAAGCCAGTAAAATGCATGTCATTATAATAGTATTGGGCATAGTATCTCCTCACATTATTAATCGGCTGGGAAAATGTAATAACATCCAAATTATCAGGGCCATTATTTTTACAAAACGCAATATAGGTATGAGCCAGCAGTTCAACTTTCCAAATTGAAAATTATTATTACATTTGACTTTGCGCCTCTCGATCTATGGCCGAAAAAAGATAATTGAGTCTTGCAGCCCTGGAGGAGCATAACGCTAAACTACTATTCCTCAAATTCAAATAATTAGTGGAAGAAATCTCTCACGTTTTATTAAACTTTTACCAATTCTGTTTGAAATCCTTCATCGTTCTCTTTCATGATTCCCTCTGTTCTGACACACCAGTGGAATTAAAAGATACTTTAACTAACCCTCAAATCACAGAGGAGGAATACATTTGAACTGCTTATAGCAGCACTATCATTTATGAAGTAAAGTAAAACTCATGAATGTAGTTTTGGGATTTGGGAAATCACCGTCTAGTGGTACAACTACAGCTTTTGTGGATTTTCTCTGGTTTAAAGTGATCCAATGAAAAAACTGTGCAAAGTGTGCAGAGAATATTGATTTGAAGAGATAATTGCTGTTCATCCACTTTATCCGGTTTATCCACATACACACTTTCTCCAGCTCATCCAGGAGAATCCTGAGGTGTTCCCAGGCAACGAGGAGACATAGGGCACATAAACATTGGTTCACATTAATAGGAGCAATGCTGGTTCACTTTAGTTAAAATGTTTTTTGGACCATCTAACCCATAGAACCATGTGATGCAATGCTTTGGACCTTTGGAGGGGGTTTCTTTGTTTTTTGTATATTCTCCCTCTGCATTGTAAATTAAGTACACCTACAAGTTTTTCCACACTAAGTTTAAAAACATAAATTTTAACACTAATCAGGTTATTTGCTTTGAAACAAATCTGTGAAGAAGATAGATTTTCAGTTTGATCTTGGAGCATATTGTTTTGTCTGTTCTAAATACATAGGTACAAATCTGTTATTGTGGTTACAGAGCACACCACAGCAGCTTAAACATCGTTGACAACAATCCTGTAGTGTGTTACAGGCCTAACTCTACAATTACCTGCTTTAGACGAACCATTGAAGCTTTCTGTTGTATTTTTGGTCGAGATACTAAGGTCAGTGCGGCCATTTCCTGAATCACAAACTGACACAAGTGGACTCTGAAAGGGCACTTAACTGTACTTGATATTTTGTTTGTGAAAATAATGGGCATTGGGCTCACAGCAGTATAGTATATGTCTTTGTTGTTGAAACATCTTATTGTCTTGTCTTATTTGAGTCTCACTGTTCATATCTTTTATATTTGATACCAGGCGGTCTACACTGCATCTTTTCCGGAGGACATGCCCACTAACAAGGGCATTCTGACGGTGGGAGCAACAGATGCCGACTCAGGATCAAGTGCAGAGATCCAATATTCACTGTTTGGTATTGGTGTGGAGGATTTCTACATGGATGCAAACACAGGTAGTTTTCTATTGTCTTAAGAAAACAATGCTGCCGGAACATAAGGTGAGCTTCGAGGGTTAGGTTTCTCACATGCTTGAAACACTTTTAACTACATAATAGTCAATCTTTTGCTCTACTTTACAGACATAGCACATAAACACAGCACACTGTGTTTATGTGCTATGTCTCAATTTCAGTTGAGCCTGCTAATACGATCTGACTAAAACCCTGAAAAACTAACTTTTATAGCAGTGTTAATTCCTCGCTTTGTCACACATTCCAGTCAACCAAATTATTGCATCGACTTTCAACAACTGTTGAAGCCCAGATTGATGTCGACTGACATAAAGCTAACAAGAGCAAGGCACTTTTGGACTCTCATCTCATCTCATCGTTCTTAATGCAGTTTAAAGGAAAAAATGCATATATCTGATCCTACTCAAACTTCGTAAATGGAATAAGGTCGGACAAGAAAGATATGAACAGACAATTTTGTTTTTGCTCCCATTTTTTATGGGTTCAACCTTAAAATATGAACTTCAAAAATGTATTTCAGTGAGCACTAATGCTTTTTTGAGACACTCATCTCACAGGTGTGGCACCTCAAGATTCTGAATTGACATAGATACTGCACACATGCTTTAGGATGACCACAATAAAAGGCCACTCATGATGTTCAGTTGTATGATGTATGATGTTTTCAGCTGTATTGTGTACAGTTCCTTGAAACATAAGGTTATGTGCATGGCAGCATACTCACAGAACATGTGACCTATTGAGTACAATTGAAATGCTCTGGATCGCCATTCATGACTATGTTCAATGACAATGTTTCTGCCAATATCCTGTAACTTTGCACAGCCTTTGTAAAGGATACATCTGTAAAGAGGCAAATGGGGGTCACACCAGTTGCTGACCCCCCAGATCCCCCAAAAAGGGCAAAGACTGAACATCTTCAAATGGCTTTTTATTTTGGTCAACCTAAGGCAAATCTGTGCAGTATTCATCTTGTTGTGCCACATCTGTGAAGTGGGATGCTCACTGACACTTTTTTAAGACATATTTGTGAATAATATCTGATAGAGATGTGTCTATTTAGCAGAGTGTTATATTTTTAAGTAAAAAATGGGAGAAAAAACAAAAGTGCAAGATAGTAATAGAAATTGTATTATCCATTACTATTTCCTCTTAAACATTTGCCGTTAAATGCTTTAGAACATAGAAAGTTAATGAAAAAATATGTTCAAATGCTCAAAAAAAGATTTTGTTTAATGCCTACTTTAACAGTTTGGACACCAAGTGTTTAACCACTAACAGTGTCATAATAGTAACTCACTAGTTTTTTCTGGTTGTTCATCCTTCTGTTGGAATAACATTATGAAATAATCCTTTTCTATCGTTCTTCGTAGGCGAGCTCCGTACAGCCACCACGATGGACCGCGAGATGACACCCAGCTACCGACTCATCGCCCAGGCGACAGATGGAGGGGGCCTGTTTTGCCGCTCTGACATTTCCCTGAAGGTGTTGGACGTGAATGACAATGCGCCGTCTTTCTCCTCCTCTCATTACATGTCGAGCGTGTTTGAGAGCGCGGCGCCCAAAGCTCTGCTCACACGCCTTCAAGCCAGTGACCCAGACGAAGGTGAGGCTGGGGAATTCTTAATCTGACAAATACTTTTGTCTGAGCAAAGTCGTCTGTGTCTGTCCAAGTAAGCGAAAGGGTCAAAAGCAAAAGGTGCATAGTCTATAGATAGTGAAAAATATCTAGAAGCTACATTGTTGGAATTTAAAAGTTTTGTGTCTGCAACAAACTTTAAAATGATTTTTGGCTTGGAGTTGGAAATATGTTTAGTTTGTAAGAGATTCAAATTCAAATTGTCTGATGAAAAGTTCAATTTATTTTGTCATTTCTGAGGATAAAACAGTTTGAACACAGAAAAGGCAGTCATGACAAACACATAGGAGCCATTGGTCTATAGAGGAACGACCTATGGTTCATTAATGGTTAATGAATGTCCATAAATGCAACCAACTTTCCATTAAAGTTTTGATTTATCGACAAGTCATTTCCCAGTTTTAGAATAGATGAGGATGAAGCAATGGATGTTTTTTTTTTTTTTTTACCATTTTGACTGACAAAAAGATCAATGATGTAAGCCCCAGACATTGCATTGAATCTAAAATAACGAAGGTGCGGCCATTGCCATCTTGAGACCTTTGCAACACATTATTAAGTTAAAGGCGCACCATGTGGTTTTCTTGTCAATGCCTTTCTAATGCCACTGTGACATTCTCATTAATCCTCATGGGTTTCAGAATGTGGAAACATGAGGACTTTTGCCGTAGTGTTTTAAAAATCAAAACAAAAGGGTATATTTCTATGATATGAGAAGCAAACTAATGAATAGACTGCAAATGAGCTTATATACATTCCAGACACACGCGGGTGGAAAAGTCAATGTTCGAAAATTGTCTCAACTTCAAACTCCACAAAAGTACAACACAAGTACCCCATACAAATACACTGGCTGTATCGTAAACTATCCATAAATATGTGATTCAAATATTCCAACTCCCACTGTAGGCTATCAGCATCAGCATCATGGGGGCAGCATATTGTAAATAAAAGACACAACATTAATACATGTTTCATTCGTCTTTGTCAACGCCCAGGTTTCAACCGCACAATCGTCTACTCCTTGGTGGATTCTGGCAATAGCTTTTTCTCTATTGACCCTTTATCTGGAGTGGTTATTCTTGAGAGACCTCTTGACAGAGAAAGCCAGGACTCTTACCGTCTCCGAGTACAAGCAACTGACCAGGCAGGACAACAGGGGGCGTTGTCCTCTCAGGTAAGTGGCAAAAGATACATTCTGCATTGTGCTCACATAGTCCCTTTTGTCTAGTCATCTAATCACATCAACATGCTCATGATGTTTGCACCTTATAAAGGTAGATTATGCAGATAGCAATGCATCTTCTTGGCTATTTGCAGTCTGTTTTTCAGTCCTTACGCATGACTAGAACACAAACCAATGAATAAAAACATGTTTGTTGACTGCCCAAATCAGATTAGAAAAACTGAGATTTTAATTTAGATTAGACCTCAACAAAACAGGATGGGCCGCATAGGGGAAGGTGACAGCTATAGAGACGGCAATAGAGCTATTGAAGAAACTTAAAAAGGAGATAAAAGCACAAGATTAAACTGGCCTCCATATAAGTCATATCATGGCTTTATGACTGGATAAATCTTTCAGGGTTTTGTTTTTGTACGCTATGACATTGCTAACTTTGTCCAATATACAAGCCGTGCATAAGCAATAATCAGTATCATAAAAAAAGTCTTTCTTTCAGCGCCCTGCATGCCTGTTGTTTTATTTCACCAAAGACAAGCCGTAATATGTAATTAAAATATGAAGCATAAAAGTGTCTCAAAGGCACTCGTGTAGCTGTTGTAAAATAAAAAACATGTAAGAATAATTAATCATGTTGAAGGAATAGCATATAACATTTTTGTTCTGTTTTTATTTGATGTTGACCTTCCATTTAGTGTTGTTATGGTTGTTAGGAGTCTTTACGGCTGACTTGGGACATCGAAGGAGTCTAGTGCATCGTTTGCTCACACAGACAGAAACACACACAAAGTGTTCACAAACTGCACTATATCTAGAAACTTGCATCTAAGGTTTAAGCCTTTCATTGTCGATTGGCAAAATATCACGCTATCTTACATTGCACATGAACTTGCATTAGTAAGTAAGTAGTAATGTTTATTTACTATATCCATCCATCCATTTTCTTCCCCTTAATCATTTCTGGGTCGGGGGGTGGCAGTCAGAGCTGCACCCAATTCACATTACACCAGCCCCTCACTGATCCTCCTGCCGGTGGTGAGGCCACAGGAGCTTTGATATTTTAGTAGGGGCCGTACATACTGGCGCTTCAAAGCCTCCAACCAACACCATCCACTCACTCACTCGCGCATTACATTCATACCTATTGTGCATTTTTTTTTAGTGGTAGGGGAAACCGGAACACTCGGAGGAAACTTACGCAGACACGGGGAGAATATGCAAACTCCACTCAGGACCTTGTTGCTGAGAAGCGAGAGTGCTATCCACTCAGCCACCGGGCCGCCCGCATTATTCTTGTCTATTTACACTTGGGTCCTGGGTTTGATTCCACCTCCAGACAGGACCTTTCTGTGTGGAGTTTGCATGTTCTCCCTGTGTCTGCGTTTCCTTTCCCGTAGCACTAAAAACATGTACAATAGTTAAGGGTAAATGAGAGTGTGTTGATGAGAGTGTGAGTGTGGCTGTGGGACGACAGATGCAAAGGAACCCAAGGCTACAATCTAGAGATGTGTACTCATTCACTGTGCCAGCCAAATAAAGAGTAAATTGTAAATGATTCATTGTTTTATTAACTAACCATTCTGCCACTTTGAGCTTTGAGTTCATTGTGAGTGTAGCAAAATAACATCATTTCCCATATGTCATCATAAAAGTGGAAATGGAAAACAAAAAATCCTCATGCTGTGAGGCAGGCCTCTCCTGACCCTGGACAAATGCAAAATACAAAAACCCATTTTGTTCACTTGAATATACGGCAGGTTTTTAGCTGCACTCTGTTTAAAACAAACATATTGGATTGGCTTTGCTTAATTTAATGCATCCATTCTTTTTATGTAATTTGTGTATGCATTGTGCTCTCCAATTAAACATTCCTTGCCTTAAAATATGTACTGAATAAAACCATTCATATAGCGAGCTGTGCAAACACAAATAGATTTGTGATAAAAAAAGATCCCAGTGGGCTTTTAAATCACATTGATTATCTCAAATAAAGGGCCGACAGTAAATCTAACAAAGTGTCTGTGAGTTATTATCTCTTTTATGTTGTCACTGTTGTCTTGGCCACAATCACAGTGTGCTCTTTCTCTCCTATGATGAATTGAGTGGATGGTGCTGCGGCTCTTTTGGCTCATGGGGTTTCCTTGGACACATCACTCAATTGATCCGCAGTCCTTCATCTTGTTAGCAAAGTGTTTAGTAGTTGTATTAATGTTTATAGCCCTTCTGTCTCCCTGACACTACTGCCCCATATACAGTAGCCCCGCAGCGCCGACAGCAGATAGTAAGAAACTCAATCTCTTCGTTTTTTTTATATCCCCCCAGGTGGATTTGACCATTTTAGTACTGGATGTGAATGACAATGCCCCGGTCTTTCAAAGAAGAGATTATTCAGTCACAGTTCCCGAAGATGTTGCCGTGGGGACTGCAGTAATTCGTGTCCTCGCTACCAGCGCCGACATTGGTCCAAACGCAGAGATCACATACAGCATACGGTCCGGGAATGAGCTGGGAAAGTTCTCCATAGATAGACGATTAGGTGAGTGCTATAAGGAGACTGTGGCTATTTCAAGCTTCAGCTGCAAAATGACACTGGCAATAAATTCATTAAATATTCAGTGTGACGCCATAACATTGTGACCACTGATGGGGAAAAGTGAATGTTATTATCCTATTATCTTTCCCATTTCCTGCAGAAAGAATATATTGAGAGCATGTTGTCCTTGAATGACTTTTTGGGGGGGGAAATAATGTAGAAAGATATCTCTGATCGTTTTACCTTTTACCTGTGCACTATGCAAGGTTTCTGAAGAATGGTCTGTCACATGTTTGTTTTTTAAGAATGTAAATTATTTTTGCACTGGAAGGTATATACTTTCACTGTGGCTTTTTAAGGTAAAACACCTCCCAGAACAACAGATATGGTCCAATTTGCTCACATTGTATTTTACTGTTATAAAATCGTGCATTCTTCCCACAGTTTTTCTTCTCACAAGAGTCATAACATAACTTGTACAGGGGCAAAACTTTTGCAACTTTTGTCTTGTTTACGACCATAAACAAAACGGTGAAGCAAAAGCTATCTTTAGAAGAAAAAAAAACAGTGGGGTTAGATATTATTATTAGATATTGTCCTTATATGACAGCAATCTAACAGGTCATCTATCACCCACAGCTTTCTTAAATGCTGCACAATTTGTATAATGTAGTAACACCAGGTTTTATATTTGTAAAGGTAACATGTGATTTTGTAGAGTTATAATTTAGTTACAGGGCAGGTGGCAGTACAACGCTGTAGGGCTTTTGGGTGCAGAACAAAAAGGTTGGGAACTACATTTATCCCAACAGCTGTGAAGCACCTTAACAACACACAGCACTTTATACAAACTTTTGCACTTTACAGCATATTTTCATTAAAACTAGCTTTGTCACATGTTCTCTTCCTCGCTTGTTCTTGTTATCTTCAATGTTGTAATTTTACTGTGAATGCATGTTTTTAGATGATTGTTTGCTGCAAAAACAATTTCCCCTTGTGGGACAACAAAGATAAAGATAGCTCTGATTACAACAGGAGCCACAAACCTGCCTTTCCATGTTTGAAAATATTGTCACCACTTCTTTCTCATCTTTATGAGAAAACAGTTCAACCATAAATGAGATGTGCTGACAAAGATGTGAAACTTTGTGACAGGACAGATTTTGTTGCAGGTGGATTTGCCCGGGAATTACAGATAACTTAGATAGCTCTAAACTAAGACAAGAATTTAGATAGATAAATAGATAGATAACTTTATTGCAGACACAGACAATAAAAATGACAAGAAAATGTATATATATGAGAATTTCTATGATCCCTATTGTTACCAGCTGCCCTCCACCACAGTGTTAAACATTAATAAACTCTTTGGAAGGTTGTGATTTCACATGAACGCCAGCTTTTGTACTTAACTCTTCGTAATCTCATAGGCTCTATCTTTGTGGCTGACGACTTGGATTTCGAGGTGTGTAAGGACTTCTACCTGACAGTGGAGGCCGGGGACAATGGGAACCCCCCTCTGAGCACGGCCATCATAGTGACCATCGAACTCATGGACGTCAACGACAACGCTCCTGCTTTCAGCCAGGACATTTACAACGTTCTAGTGAGCGAGGACGCAGCTGTGGGACAAACGGTCACCAGGGTAAAGCACAAACCGTAAACACAAATCACACTTATGACCACATGCAGATGGGGCACTGATGGGTGCTTTCAAAGTAGCATTCACAAGTTTCATAAAGAGCACAGGGCAATAACAGAGCTGATGTAAAGCATTTAAGATAATTTACAATGGAGTTTGCATCTAGTGTTTTTCATTGTTTTTTCTTAATGTGATGATTGAATGCACTGTGCTTGATTGAATATCTTGTGCTTGTCCAAGTTTTGTTGATTGTCTAGTTTTAGTTTTGACTCTGTATGTACAGTATGTTCATGTATTTTCACTCCCATTTGGATCAATCACCCACATTCACTGTCTAAGTAATATTGCTGTAACTTCATCTTTTGTTTATTCTATACAAATAATTGATTGTATTTGGGACCTATTACCCGCTTGTTGTCTTGGAGATGTTCTTTCGTTGTTTGCTATGTAAAATAAACCATGCACATTATGGTAAAAAAATAAATAATATTCTTACATTAGGTTGACTCTTGTCTCTGCAGATAAACAGGTGAAACTTTGAAAATTAGAATATTATTCAAAAGTCCATTTACTTGCTGTAATGGCAATGGTAGTTCAACTTACTACGTGAAACCAATAGATGGCAGACTCGGTGCACCTAAAGTGAGATCTATCAAGCTTTATTTGGTATAATGTCGATACAGTATATCGTTGGGTCACAGCTTGTAAAAACACCAAATAAAACATGTCATAAAATGTTAATGTTTTGAATATGGATTTTAAGTCATAATCATCAACATTATAACAAAAACAAACCCTTGACATATATCACTTTGCATTTAAGGAGTATATCCTTTATTGGGTTCACTTTCTATGTTGAATTACAGAAATATGTGAACTTCTGAATAGTTCAAATGTTCCAAGTCTCACCTGTGACTAGAGGAGTTTCTATTCTCCAATGTAGATGAGAAAATCACAGACGTACTGTGGAACATTTCAGACCAAAAGCAACAGATTGTAGATGACCCCCAGCAAGAAGCAAACCCTTGTGCAATGCACCCTGAAAAACCTAGTATTAATTTTTAACCTTGAGGAACATATAAGCCCTGAGAAAGTATAAACTGTTAGATAATGTGAATTGCAAAATCAGTGATAGACAATGATTCTAATGTCATTCCTGTTCTGTGGCCATAATCCAGACCTCTCCACTTCCTCATTTACTCATTTATTCCAATGTTATGTTTTTCAGTTGTTGGCTGAGGATCTGGACAGTCAGGTTAACGGGCGAATCACCTACTCCATAATGAAAGGAGACCGCAGTAACCACTTCTGGATTGACCCCGTGACAGGCCTGCTCAAAGTCAATAAGCGCCTTGACAGGGAACTAGTAAGGATAAATCTCCTTCTGCACTATCTCATAAACAATCAATAGCAATTTACTGCTTCATGAGCTCAAGCTAAAGTGCTCAAGGTCACACTCCCAGCACTCTCCCGTATTATGCAACTGTGATTGTATTTCTTATTGCTAACTGCGATGGATAATCTTTCTTTTTTGCTGGTCTAGACGTCGAGGTACAGTCTCTCGGTGCAGGCCTTCGACAGCGGCTCCCCTGCCATGTCGTCCACCGTCACAATCAATATCGATGTCGCTGATGTAAATGACAACGCTCCAGTTTTTACGCCTCCCAACTCGACGGCCATTATACAGGTGACGTCCTACGCAGTTTACCACTCAACAAATCCATAATAGGCTAAAGGCAACACTTGTGAACACTTAGTGCGAGATGTTTGAGTGTGTGGGGTTTTGTAATGACAGGGTCTGCTCTTGTGGAGGTTGTAGAGTTCTGCCCTTTGCTCATGTGTCTGAAGCATGTTTCATCATTGTCCTGCATGAACCTGTGTGAACCAAAGCTTGTTTTATGGTACTTACAAGGGCAATGAAAAGAAAAAATACAATGGTTTTCCACAATTCTAAATGAAAATAACATGTGTAGGTACATTCAAGATTTCTTTGAGAACATATACTTTGATGATTTATAGCCGTGGTTCCCACAGTCCAGAGCACAAGGATAGTATTTACTAAATTCTTATGCAACATTGAATTCATACAAAGCAGTTACGCATGTTACTATGCATTATTTGTAGAATCGCTGTTATAGACAACCTGTGAGTTCCACCTGCTGAGCCTCTGAGTTCCCATCAATTTTAGAAAGAATCATCTGTATCAAAGGTTGTATGGGAAATTGTACTTTATTTCCATAGTTTTAGGTATATAATAGGATTTCCTACTTCTGGGTGGATCATCAAGACTATTGTTCCTCCGAATTGTGTATCATTCTGGTGATTGATACGTGCTCATCAAAGAGGACCACAGAGTTTAGTTCAATAAGTGGAGAGGGCAGCTCTTTCCGAAAATTTGTGAAAATCCTCCTATATACTTTTAATATATGTATTATATAATCAAGGCTGAATAGTTAACTCATGAAAAAGATTTGAAAAAAATCATTTTCATCTTTCAGTCTACTTCACATGTCTTTCATATTTATCAATAACATAATTATACTGAAATATCTTATTTTACAAAGCAAAATAATAGTAGTATGGTTAAGTGTTAGTTTTATAAAAGCTATATATTTGCGGTGGGTGAATCAGTAGCTGAGCACAACACAGCATTTTAAATAACCACAGATTTCACCCTAAATAAGTGACAACAAATGACAGAAAATTGGGCTGTACGGAATGACTCCTCAATTGCAAAGTCTGTAGTGGTGACACGGGAGAATAATGAACAGTTTGGCGGAGCAAACAAAAACAAATCAGTGAGTGTGATGGGACCAATAATAGTATACACTTTCTGTTTGTACATCATAATTGGTTTTGATATCTTTGATAAATATAACATACAAACTGATGATGTATTTTCCCGGTATCAAGATTCTGGGATTTAGTAAAAGGGGGAAATATATAAATGAACTTATTAGGGTCTTTGTAAATAATGGTAAAATAACGTTAGTATGAATTCTGAAATTATGCTTAATGTTTAAAATCTTTCTATCCAGCTGTCCACCATATAATTCAATCTTTGAGTTTTATTTTTGCTTGAGGAATACAAGGGATTAAATATGTATTCATTTTTTATTCCTAAACGCTGGTTAATTTGCTCATCCATTTGAACCAGTTATAGTTTTTAAGCTAGGTACTATGACAAGGAACTGTGTTATACAATCCTTCTAGTCTGTTCAGTTTTATCACTAGTTCAGGCATGTATTTTTGGCTTTTTCAGAGAGAAAAGTGCAAGAGTGGACCGCCCTCAATCAATCTCAGCCCAAAGCATATTTTAGTGACTCACACGGCTCTTTCTTACAAGCTAAAGATAACACGTTTTCAATTCAGATGAGGACAACGTGTTGCCTCAGACAATTACTAACTAACTAACTTGTCACAGATGAAAATGTATTCTAAGTTATATAAGTCTTTCATGGAGACTGTTGTTGTTATTTTTGGGTGTATAGATATAAATTGATTTGTTCAACTTGAGTTTTCCATCCAAATAAACAGAATATTGTGTCTGCAGTTAAACCAGCCCGCAGGCTCTGTTCTCCAGAGAGTGTCCGTGAGTGATAAGGACTCTCCCAGGAACGGTCCTCCCTTTGAGTTCCGCATCGTCTCTGGGAACGAGGCCAACTTCTTCACCTTGGACCAGAGCGGCACGCTAAGGTCCAGCCGCGTGCTTGGAGCTGATTCACCCAGAGAATTCACCTTAGAAATACAGGTTAGGCTGAAATGATTATCCTGAAAACGGGAAGCAATCCATTTGTCGGTTTGTTTTGGTTACACACCGCTATTAATAAGTCTTGGTGGTTTTATGAACGTTGTTAAATTTGTTTAAAGCAGTCGAAAGGTTAATTATATGGTCTCGAATAATTCTATTGGACTATTGGAAGTGGAAAGAAGGCTTGTTCTTTTGGTTTTATTGCTTTTTGCCTCAGGGCATAATTTTATCAGGACTGTTGTTTGTCCTATCTGTCTGCACCACTTCCAGTCTTCAGCACTATTATTGGATATTTTCAAGACATAAAATGTGCAGACTCTTTGTAGCGTATTTTGTTATTGGAAAGGCATAAAAGGTTTGGCGTTATCGCTTGAACTGTAATTTAATACAAGTTTTATTCAACCACCATCATTATGCTGAAAGCGGAATATTATTGGATATGCTACTTTTAAACTAATTCAAATGGAATTGAAAATTAATTTCTTATTATATGTTGTTAGAAAGTTTGTCCTCTTGCTTTCATTGCTATTTCTCTAAAGACATGAGTTTTATTAGGATTTTTTATGAGTTTGGTTACTTTTGTGTTCTCGTTTTAATGAGTCTGCAATGAAAACTAATAGGGGATTTTTCATCTTGCTGTAATTTGTTTCTGACTATAGTGAGAATATAGTGAGTGAGTTTAAGGTCAGATTAATCCAGTATCTTTATGTGGGTATTTCTTGTCATGTGAGACTTTTATTTTACGTTACATCCATCAACGTTTTATTTGTGTCCCCGGAAAAAATATCAAAATGTAGCAATTATATTTGGCCTGATCTTATGTTGATTCTGAGTCTTTATCACAAAAGCTATGGATGTGAGGACATTATTTATGCTATCTTTTCATATTCTCAAACTGATTATCTTGTCGGAGAGCAGAATTATTTTTTCATATGTCTGTCATTTGGGTTTCTTTTGGTAACATTCAGCTGGTTTGGTATCCCACTGTGTGTCCGCTCTACATGTACACAAGACACAAAAGTATAAATTGTACTTGTCGTAACCTGAACCAGAAAAAAAAGTACATATAGTTCTATTAGTCCTTTAGGGATTGTATGTAGAATGCACTCTTACATGTGTCATAAAATGAAAGTCTAAACATACAGTGAGTCTGCTGACAATACGTCTTTGATAGAGTCTAAGCAAGAAACAAAATCCAAACATAATTTATATCTTGTTTTTAGGCATCTGATTCCGGTAAACCTCGCCTCACTACCTCATCCTGGCTCTTCCTGAGGGTCATTGGGAACAGCCAGTACAAACCCACCGTCTCGCCCCTGGAAATCTATATTGTGATGGGGACTGACACTTTCCAAGGTGGTCCCATCGGCCAAATCTATGCCACTGACCGGGACCCCAGCGACGTCCTCTCGTTCACCCAGAAGTCTCCTCCCAAAAGCATGTTCAGCTTAAACAGACAAGACGGAAGCATCTTAGCTCTCCCAGGACTAGAGCCAGGCAGGTACGTAGCAGAAATGTACCTCGTAAAAACCTGCATCATGTGATTTCTTACTTACAATTTTTTGTCTATGTGTCCTGTTTTAAATGTGAATAGATTTTTGTTAAATATAATGGAAGTTTGCTCTACTTTATAATATTGCTTGAGTTAACGTGTTTCAGTACAACCAATATGAGAATTACAATGCTAACATCTACCCATTGAAGTAGTCTACAACTGTCACATATTTCTAACAATTTAAAGCTGGGGTTACTAACCTTTGTGTTTCATAATTGATACATGTTGTTTCCCCCAAGTATAAGAGTGTTGTAAAAAACAATATCTCTAAAAACAGACTTGAGAGCGAGGACTTCAGTAATCATGCACAATAGTATAAGTAATTGTTAATTGAAAATGTACTGTTCTATGTACTGACATTTTATATTAACGTCTTATGTACATTTAACTTTAGATAATAAACAGTCAACTCTACTCATTTACATGTTGCGTTGTATTGACAGGTACCAGATGAATGCAACTGTGAGTGACGGTCGCTTTGCGGTGATCGCTGACGTGTCGGTGGTGGTGGAGCAGATCACAGATGTGCTGTTACGCAGTGCATTGACTCTGCGCTTTAGGACTCTCTCCCCTGAGGACTTACTCAGCCGATACCTGGCTCAGATCAAACTAATGTTGCGTGGAATCGCTGGCTGGAAGTGGTCCCCAGGACAGGCCGACCCGCTGCACATCCTGAGCATACAGCCAGTGATTGGGACGCCCGAAGTGGATTTGCTTTGGTCCTTGGAGAAGCCGGAGTCAGCAGGTAGCAGAAATAAAACTTACACATTGTCATATTTGGGGTGTTGGCCGTTTGCTGCTGTGATTTATTACCATTTAAATGCAAAAAATGTCCTTGTTTGTGTGTATGAATTTCCTTTATGTTGTCAGACCACTATGGTAATTAACAACTGTTGAGATTTGTTGATACAAAAATAACTATCCTGTTCCAAAAGACACTGTAAACAAATTTTGTTTTAACCCTGTAATAGTTTCCTCAACTCTTTGGTGGATACTTTTTTGAGTTACTACTTGAGGCTTAGAACTGAAATCTACCTCATTGGGACATCTATATCACTTGGTTATAGGCAAGACTAGGAGTTATAAACTAGAAAAGAAAAAAACCCTAAAAATGAATTGTTAGTGCTACCGGTACTTACTCGAGCGTACAAACTTTGTTTCAAAACCAATACTCTGTATCGCACTGACCTTGGGGTAAGTGTGGTGTGTGTGGAGATTAAAATCCACCAGGGTCTCGACACCGCCGCAATCTGGACCAGTTTTCAGATCATTTGACAGATATTCTCATGTGACCTTACCTGAACCATTGCCAACCTCCACGGCTTTGATCAAAAACTCAGGAGTTGTTATAAAAGGCTGCCAGCAACGATTACGCTCAAAATGTAACAAACCTGCCTTGATTTCTATGTAATAATAATCTTTATTTTTTTTATTACACCTGGTATTCAGGTCCCAAGTAGTTCAGGAAACGTGGATAATAGTTAGTTTGTTAATTGTTTTTATTTCAAACCTGCACAAACACAATTTCACAATACAACTTAACAGACACAGATTGAAGTTTAAGAAAGATGAGAAAATGACCCCCTTCAGTGGGTCGATTTCATCAGATGCTCATCAAGATCAGCAGTGAACAAATTGTTGCCAGTCAGTGAACAAAACCCTGGCTCCATGTGAGAAATTAAGAAATCCGAGGCACTCTTGATAGTAAAGACAATCCTTTAATAAAACAGGGACTTTTCGGCCACATCTGGCCTTCTTCAGGACTTAAAACAGATATAGCACAGTAAAGACACAGATACATAGTAGGTACATCTTTACAACAATAGAACTTTATCATAGTTTTGAGCATAAATAACTATTTTTTTTGCACAATTTTCAGGCAGTGGGTTTTTCTCACAGCCAGAGATGTCTGTCAAACTTGAGGAAGCGTCATTGAAGGGACAGTTGCGAGGAGTGCTGTCGGGAGCTGTGCTTTTGAGCAACGCATGTTCTGGAGATCTGGACTGCGGAGACAAAGTGTGCGAGCCAAGTCTGGTGATCGACACGGCGTCTCTGATGACCTACAGCACGGAGAGGATCAGCCTGGTGGCGCCGAGATTTGGACGCACAGAGACTTGCACTTGTCCTGGTAAGATTGTACTGTATATATTACAGTAAGTATGTAAGTAATGTTTATTTATATAGTGCATTTTTACAGGCCAAGGTCACCCAAAGTGCTTTACAATGATCAGAGTTCAGATATTTTTCCAATCTCACCACACGCAGTGATGACAGTGATAAAACATATATCAAAATATAATGAAAAAAAAACAAAACATTGGTTAATGGGGATATCTGCAACTTCAATTGTATTTGATTTTTTTGAAAAGAATGCATTTTCTTTTAGTCAAAAAAATAACTTTTTTCATAATTATTTCATTTAAATCAGTCCCTTGTCTTTGATTACCGGTAAAATGGAGAATAGTTAGGCTCATTTCTCACTTGTGGGGATGGATCAAACTGGTGCTTGCGTTCTAAAAACCTTTCTCCATCTCCACAATATGAAAAGTATCTGACCATAACTTACACATACCATCGTGTGACAAAATAATTTCAATGTCGCATTATCTTATAATCAGATGTTTGTCGTTTTAAATGTCTACAAATCATTGTCTACAAATATTCCAGTTGTCAGTAGTATTCATGTTCTTAATTTCTACTTTTTAATATTGCAGAGTCTTAATTAAATGCCAGTGTTTAATTGGTTGATCTTGCCCTTTAGCTTTTAAATTTGTTAAGTGTTAATTGGTTGTTTTTCTGTCTCAAGTGTTTTGTTGTGTATTGTTAACACTGGGTATTATTGCAAAAATATTCTGATGTGGTTTTAAACTGCTAATGGGGAAATAAGTAATTAAAAGTTTTATTGTTTAGTACTATTGCAGAACTGTGTAGTAATAGGAACACTTGGTTTAATTGACAGGAGGGATGTGTCGTGCTCCACTAGAGCTGTGTGAAGGCCAGTCTTGTCCTTCAGACATGCAGTGTGTCCGCTCTGGTCCCACAGCGCCATCTGTCTGCCAGTGTCTGCCTGAAAGACTGGACAACTGTGCAGGTAGGTCACACATATTGAAAAGCCAGCTACTGTTTTATGAATGTAATATCTCTTCACTATAATCGTATATTCGTAGGTCAAACCTCCTTAAGTTTTTCTGGAAACAGTTACATCAAGTACAGAGTGACGGAGAGCGATCAGAGCGGAGAAATGAAACTGGGGCTGAGGATACGGACGCTTCAGAGACGAGGGGTTATCATGTTCACGCGGGTCAATCCCTGTACAATGCTTAAGGTATCAATAACTTCATTTTACTCAGTGTTGGAGAGAATAGAGAAAATTTAGACTAACTTTTAACTTTGTAAAGTCCTCTGATGACTGGTGATACTGTATATATAAATACATTGAATTGAAATGTGATTCAGGGAGCTCATATAGCTTTTTTGCTAGTTTGGGGCGTAAAGTTATATCTGTAATGTTGCTTGTTTGAGTCTGTTTTGTTATCTGAACTGATTGCTAATCTAATTTTGCTTAAAGTATAGGTTTATTAGTCAAAAGAATGTATTAAATTCTTAACAAATGAATTGACACTTTTTTATTGTACATAATTATATCTTGAAAAGACCTTAACCTTAACATGTTGCACTTCCGTCTTTTTGGATAATCTGAGTGATTCTTTCTATGCCAAATGTGACATGTACATTTCTCCATTGTGAGATCAATAAAGTTTAACTTATCTTATCTTAAAAAGAGTCCTGTGATGTTAACATTGCTTCTAAAACTCCAAATAAAATTACCAAAAGTTCTATTAATTCAATTATAGTAACATTAGTATTGTAGTGGATTACCTTCCACCTCTTTTTTTTTACTCACTCTCATTTATGTTTATAGAAAACAAACCTTTTCTCCTGCCTTGACAGATTGAAGGGGGTCGCTTGTGGTTCCAGTTGGATTGTGACAACACTCTCGGCATTATGGGTATTTCTGGACGACCCATAAACGATGGTCAGTGGCACGCCGTTTCGCTTGAGTTGACGAGAAACTACACACTCCTGTCTTTGGACGACAGCTACGTGGAGCGACGGCGAGCTGCCAGAGCCCCTGTCCGACTATGGCCTTTGGCTCCAGACTCCTCCTTTTTCTTCGGGGCCCAAGTAAGACCTCCAAACGGCCCTGGAGAAAGGCCAAGTCCTGGACCAAGCCTAGGTGAAGGTGGCGATCGTGTGACAAGGGGTCCTCCGAGAGCCCAGGACGGTTTTCAGGGCTGTCTCGGTTCGCTGACGCTGAATGGGAACGAGCTGCCACTGCAAAACAAGAGGAGCAGATACGCGGAGATCGCAGGAGTGAGCGAGGTCAAACTGGGCTGTGTCCTGTACCCGGATCCATGCGTCAGTCAGCCCTGTCTCAACGGGGCCCTCTGCAGCAGCCTGCCCTCTGGAGGTGTGTTCTAAAAGCATCTTTAAGCCCCACTGGGTTACTGTTTCTGACAAAAAAGCTGACCAAAACGAACTTGTACTTGGAGAGAGCATACCCCGCCATGGCCACGGAACAACCCAAAATCTAGAATAATACATCTCATCTCTGTACCACATTTTGGCTCAATCCATCTAGTTTTTTTCCCAGTAATGCCCTAGAGACACTGAGTTGATAGTCTAAATTGAGTTTATTCATGGTGTTTTTATGACACAGTAAAAAGTATATAATGTACGAGGGGATTGTTTCTCCACAGACCTGAATTATACTTGTCCCCAACTATGTGATTATAACTTTTTTTAAATTAAATTATTCTAGTTTAACCACCTCCAAAGTATAGTGACGTATAAAGGTGCTAAATGAATCAATATTCATTTATATTTCCTAATTCTATTGCATAAACACCATGTGCACTTGTATATTGTAAATAGTAAATGTAACTCTATTTTAAATTTAAATTTATTCTTTAGAAGTGTTTTTTATTCTTATTTTTATTATCTCTTCCTGACTGTTGCACTGAGCCAAAGCAATTTCCAAGTCTGTGACCTTCTGTTACTTACGTGGCAATAAAAATGATTCTGATTCTGATTCTGATTCTGATAAACCTAATACGAGAAAGGAACTGTTTCATGTTAAGTTAGTTACTGCATCCCTAGATTCTTTCTTTTTTTCTCCTCTTCCTTAGGCTTCATGTGCAGTTGCAGTGCAGGCTTCACTGGGGGGCGCTGCGAAGTTGAGCTGACGTCCTGCATGCCAAACCCGTGCCAGAACAACGGCGAATGTAAGCCTTTGGGCAACGCATTCTTCTGCTCCTGTCCCAAAGGACTCGGGGGTCTTATGTAAGCACAAACACACACACACACACACACACTGATGCTTTCGGCTTTAATTACTCACTATTCACTTGCTACAGATGACACATGGAGATGCACCCTTGTCTTGTGTTATTTATTTGGAGCATGACTCAATAAAACACATTCATCCACAGAAATTAGCTGTTGCCCCCAGCCGTGTCTTTGTCTCTATTCTTTCATGAAGTAAATTAGTGTTTCAAATTTAATTTCAAATAATTCAAATGCGGAATAATTGGCTTGTTTCTGTGTCCTAATTACACTGCTAATTGTCAGGTTAACTCTAGTTCTGTTGCTATTGGCAACAGTCTCCACAAGGGGGCAGGTTTTCATTGCCTGTTAAACGGCTGCATGCTTTTGTTGGTGTAATTGTATATACAAAAAATACAGAACGAACCAAATGTGAATTTTTGACTACAAGCCGTTTCACAATAAAATATCCTTATCAAGCTGCTAAAATTATGTTACCAGATAAAAAAATGGCTTGTATTATTGCCAAAAAGGTTATTCCACATTTGCAATACATAGTACATAGTAATACATGTTGAAATACTTACAAATAATACATGTTCAAATACTTACAAATACATGTTCAAATACTTACAAATAATACATGTTCAATTACGTAAAGAATAATTTTGCACAATGTTACTAATACTAATTTGGGCGGCACGGTGGCTGAGTGGATAGCACTCTCGCCTCTCAGCAAGAAGGTCCTGGGTTCGAATCCCGGTCGGACCAGGGCCTTTCTGAGTGGAGTTTGCATGTTCTCCCCGTGTCTGCGTAGGTTTCCTCCGGGTACTCCGGTTTCCCCTACCACTAAAAATATGTCCAATAGTTCTGGCATGCGCTTCCTGTACTGGCGACCCTGCTCCCATCTCTGTGTGGAGTGAGAGACAAATGCCCAAAAATTAACAATTGTAAACCGCTTTGAGACTCAGATCTGCAGTGAAAAGGCGGTATATAAATAAAAACTTACTAACTTACTTACTTACTAATTTGAAGCATAAAAATACTATAATGCCATGCACTAGGTTTCTCTAAGATATGCATTTCAGATGTATGTGCCTAATGTGGCTGTAAGTGTACCCTAAAGGCCAAAGTCACTCATTCTACAATCATCACCATCATCATTTCTTTATTCAGACTCTCGGTCCACACAAACAAACACAGACAGACACCAAAGGAGACGACTTACATAAAACAAAAATACAGACAGCTAGAACAGTGTTTCCACTTGTATATATTGCAATGCTTAAGGAAAGGAAATGGTTTAAAATGACTCCATGTATGTGAAATATGTATTCATGAGACTTCAACATAGGCCAACAATCCCCCTCGCTCAAGTCCTCCTACATAACAACAGCCACACTATCGCTGTAGGGGCTTTTCGGCTCGTATAGCGCGTTTACCACCCTTTGAATACGATGCCTTGAAACGATAATTGAAAAGCAACACAAGCATTTTGTATGTCCCAGCGGGGTGCCCTAAATGAAATATGGACAAGCGTGATGTGAAAGTAAAATCCTGATCCAGAAGGGAAGCGCATGTCTCAAAAGCAAAAGGTTGTTCTGAGGTTGTCAAAGAAAGTGCACTCAAACATGACTAATTACTGAAAAACAACAGCAATGCCATTATAATTATCTTTTAAATATGATTGTAGATGTGGCACCAAAGCACTTTTGTGAAGATAAAAGAAAGAAAATAAAGTGGCAATATTACAGTATTTATAAACAAGTAACTACATCCTTTCTATTTGTTACTCTTCACCCACCACTTAAAGAATCTGTGCTTATTGTTCATACTGAGAAAATGGTTATTACATTTATTGGGCTGTCATCATGGTATCTAAATTGAGTTTATTCATTATTATTATTATTATAATAAAAGTTGTCCGATGCCTGTAAGTCTCTCTAATTAGGAACATCGTAAAACTGTAGCAATAAAACGCTGCCTCCTTGAATTTAATATTGTCAATTAGTCTCTAAATGCTTATCCCTGTTCGCCTCTAGTAATTGCTGATGTCCCTCTTGTTTCCATTTATCTGTCTGTACTTGCCTGCAGATGTGATGAAGATGTTAATGAATGTGAGGAGGAAGAGTGCAGTAATAACGGATATTGTATCAACACGTTCGGGTCGTTTTTCTGCAACTGCTCCGAGGGTTTTGAGGGCGAGGACTGCAGCGACGAGGCCCCGGGAGAGCTGCTGGATGACACACAGGTACGACACTTCAAGCTGATGTCGTTTGCCCCAACAAAGTCATGTAAAAGTAAAATGTTGTGGACAAATTGGACCACATCATGCTGTTTATACCTTACTAGAAAACAGGTTCTGCATACTTGTAAGAAGAAGCACTGTCACTATTATATGGTTGAGAGCTGAGTGAGCCTTATTTCTGACTTATTTCAGTTTGAAATAGGTCAAAGCGGCTTTTTAAATATTGCTCTAACATTGGTTTTGAAATGATAATATCCCCATTTGAAATTGTCGTTCCCTAACCCTAACCCTAACCCTTTCACAGTAAGTAGTTTGCAATACAACTTAATGAACATGTATCTATGTTTTTTATTTGTCACTATGGGATGAATAAAGGATCTCTTAATCTAATCTTAATCTATTTGAACGGGACAGTGTGTATTAATGAACAGACGAGGCTGTAAAAATTCAAGATTATTGCTCATTTCCATTCATCACAAACACACTTAGTCACCCTGAACTATTTTACTATTTGTAGTGGTAGGCAAAACCGCATCACCTCGGGGGGAAAACACAGGAAGAACATGCAAACTCCACACAGAAAAAGCAATATTTGGAAGAAAAATTGAACCCAGGACGTCATGCTGTGAGGCACATGTGCTAAACACTGTGCCACCATCGGCATCATTGCAGAGATTAAAGAAACAGACAGATCTTGCAATTATCTCCCAAGTCAAAAATCCTGAAGAGTCCAACTCATCCATGTACAAATGTGTGTATTGTGGATTTATTTCAAAATGTGACCTGATATTTATGAAAACCTTGTGTGCCTGGAGGTGTTTGTTCAATCAAGTAATCATTTTCTCGAGACATGCAATTCCATGCATTCTTATATAGCCCTAAATCACAACAGTGTTTATCTTGGATGGACTTAACACAACTGTGGAATTCGCCAGCACGGATCAGAGAATCAAACACAAGACACATAAATGTGTATAGATGTCCATAAATGTTGTTGTTGAATGTCCTGGATCTTCACCACTGTTCTAGACCCTCCTGCATTGGCAAGGAAAAACTAATGAATTATCTAGCTTCAATTAGGTAAGTGTTTATCGCCCTATTGAACCGTTATTGAGTTGTAATTGACACTGCACTTACACACACTGCTCATTATTCCATGTCATTCATTAGTAAGGCCCTATATTCAGGGGTGCACATTACTTTTTCAGTGAGGTACTCAGATGAGTACCAGGACATGGTGTTTGGTACTCACTCCATTTGTCGCGCGGTTCGTAATTGATATTATATACTTGATTCTTTTTAATGCTAAAGTTTAGATCAGCTCAGATAACTTAATCCAAGTCAACTAACCCAATAAGGCCTGACACACCTGATAAAACAGACCTGTAAAACCTATGGGCGACTTTAGAACCACCCTCCAAAAGTTTTCCTGAAATTCAACGTCTACAGAATGATTGATATCTCGGCCTCTGTAGCAGATAGAAACATAATTTCAAAAGAATTTGAGAGCTGTCACTTGTCAATAAAAATGCAGTGTATGATTATAATCCTTCAGTAGAATAATAAAAATATACAACTTCCACACAGGAAAGGTTATAAAACAACCAATAATAAATTGGGACTAGCACATCTTTCTCAATACCATAAGTCATTTTCAATGCAAGCAAAAATGTAGGTACCTGAGCTTTAATCCAATGAGTTTTGGCTGCGCTTCGTGTGGCGACTTGGGGGAGACGTGGTAGAGGCATGGGGGAGAGGGGGGAGAGACGGGGGAGACAGGCAAGACCCACACTTGCAACCACCTGGGGACGGTCCTGATCGCAAGTGTGTGGTTCTGTACATGTGTCTATGGTCCGCGCTCGGTACATGACCACGCACGTTCGCTGAGCTGTCAGAGCGGCCACAGTTTCTCCCGGGGTCAGAACGGAGGATGTTATTGCATCGTGCCCCACTATTTGAGGAGGACTGGTTTATGTGAAGTACACAAATGCGCTTACTAACTCAAGTGATGGTACGCATTTCTGATATTTGCCGCGCATGCGTACCTGCGTACCACTTATGTGCACCCCTGCCCATATTACATTGTATTGAGATATGGGGCAACACTTATGAAACTATACTAAACCAATTTTCATATTGCAAAAAAAGGCAGTAAGAGCGATTACATTATTAGCCTACAATGAGCCAACAAATGCACTGTTTATAAATCTCCAAATATTAAAATTATATGATTTAGTCAACCTTTACAGTTTGATATTTATGTTCAAGATAAAAAATTACCTTCTGTCTGAACTGCTACAGAAACTGTTCACAATCAGAGACAGTCATTATGAGTTGAGAGGAACAGACATGGTCGTAAAACAAACATTGTAATGTAATGAAATGTTGTGAGAGGGGTTGATCGGAATGGATGCACAGATCTACTTAAGTCATGCAATTCCCTTCACCACATTAAAAGGATGTTTAAAACTATTATTTTGGATGGCTACCTGAACTCAGATTTTGGATGTTGATGAAGTTGCTCATTTAAATGCTATTGTTTACATTCACTTATACTGATGACACTTACTGTAAGCTTAAACTAGGCAATTTAAGCATTAGCTTCAACCTACTCCTTTTCGGTCTTTCTTTTTGCTGTAATTTACTGTCCTGTGACAATGAGTAAAATGTTCAAAAGACCAAAATAAACCTCATTTCATGTATCCATTATACAGAAACACTTGGGATACAGTATATGCCTAAAATGCCATAATACTTCATCATGAAGAGACACAGAGCATACTACTTTAATTCCCTTTACTCTCTACTTCGGAATTCCCCTTTTCTCTCTTTTTGTAATTATTCTACACAACATACAGCTACTACATGAAATGCCTGCCCTCCTTTGCTTGCCTCTCGTGCATTATGCTTTCTCCTAATTGAACTTGGCACAGTGGGAAAGGCTGAGGAGAATTTTGAGTGAGCCGTGGCCTCCCAAAAGGACTACACAAACTTGGCCTCTGTTTCTGCAAAGGTTTAATGAGCGAGAGGAAATAGGAAATCATAGTTTATTTTTTAGGTTTTTATGCAGTTGTTGACTTAATAATGAACTGTACACATGGGGACTGAGAGAGGAATACAGTACATTGTACAAGACATGCATGTTTGATTTTCAGTAGAGAGCTGTTTCATTTATCAAATAAAAATACTGTACAAAAACAATGTGTTTACATTAAAAAGTTAAATATTTTCCTCTTACGAATGAACTAATTAATTATGTGTATCTCACGTTGCTGCTGGTTTGATTGAAAACCAAACTAAATCCTGCAATCTTGAAGGGAACATAGTCTGATTTGTATTTATTTATGCCAAAGCAATTCTTCTTTTATAACATTGATCGAATATCCTTATTTCAAACATGTAGCATGCACATTCAACAACAAAAAACAGGAAACAAATGTACAGAATTACCCAGTCAAAAAAGATTTGTGTGTCTAAAACTGAACGTTTTATTGTCTGAAACCAGTTGTTCTACTGCTCTGGTCGCATTCACTTTGGTTGAGTGGTTTGGGTTCACTTCAGAAGTCCTCATGATGTCACTGATCTGTCTGACTGAGGTTCAAGTGAATCAGGGTGCCCTTGCTTGGTGCTTTTACATTTCCATTATTGAAGCGTAATTATCTTTGATCCATTTCTTTATTTATTTGATATTTCCATACAATTAACATAATTAACATACATGGTTGAATATTTTGACGACATGCCAGATACATGCCAAAGGAGACATCTGTGCATCTGCTCATTTTAAGCCCTGAGAGAACCAGAGTTAAGGTGTGAATACACCTGTCAATAATTACCATGTGAAGAGGATGTGTGAGGAAGGGAAGTAGTTTGAGCTGCTGAACTGTGTTTAGAAATATACATATACATAGGTGAGCAGGGTCACCTCTCTACTTATCTCCTTCAACTTGACCCTTAAAGTATTATTTCCTGTTTTCTAGATCTGTTTACTGCTGAAGCGTTGAACATTTTCAAATATCTGATCTTGTTTTTTATTAGTTCGATTTGCACCCACCAAATTTATTCTACTAATTAACAATAATTGTCCAATAACATGATTACTCTCTGAACCAACCCTGTGCTTAAAAGTCCAAATGTTCCTCTTGAACACTGTGTAATGTATTGTAAGAAAAGAACCTTTATCCTTTGATAGAAGAGATTCAGCAGCTGTCCGTGTGTGTGTATGTTTCCCATGGTTTCCTTGATAATATAAAATCAATATGCTCTCGTAGAAATTGATTGCACAAAAGAGTAACAATCAGCGAAGAAGGGCAATTTGTTGAGTCAATTTTCAGACAAATGATTCCTTAATGGCACCACGTAGTCCAGGAGATTTGCTTTGGTGGTGATGACACATTCTTTACCAATGTAAAGTGCATATTACTGCAAAAAGTCTTCACAATCTGACTGAAAAAATATTATGGTTATGAAAGCATAACAAAATATGTAATCCAAACTGTCTTTCTGTTTTACAGGCCGAGCCTCTGTCCTACGTGGGGCCCGGAGAATTAATTGGCATTGGCGTGCTTGCTTTTGTCCTCCTTCTCCTCATCGTTCTCTTTGTCATATTTCGCAAAAAGATCAAATTCAGGAAAGACTCCGACTCAGGGCCTTCACATAGCATCTTGGGGGTCTCGACCATCTCCACTGAAACAAGCTACATGCTGCACAAGACCGGGATGGGCGCAGAGGGCATTGAGTTCAAAGCAGTTCGTGTGTCTGGGTCTCCTGGCACCAGTACGTATGGAGAGGTTGGAGGGAGCACTGGGGGTCCTCCTCAGCTCATGGTCCGTCCCAATGCCCACTCGCCCCTGTCCGGGTCTCTTGGAGGAGCCAGTATGAGAGGAGAGAAGACTGCATCAAGTGAAGGGAGTCAGGTATGCACGGTATACTGTTGCCTGATTAACATGTGTATCAATTGTGCCTAAGTTAGTTGTTTAAAATAGTTCCTTCTTCGCCTTTTGACTTTGCGTATGACCATCAGTTCATCCATCTGTCCATTTTCTTCCCCTTAATCCATTTCCGGGTCCGGGTCTGGCCATAGCTGCCACCCAGTGCATTGAATATAAAATACACACAAATATTATACCCAGCTCTAAACTCATGAATTGTGTTGCTTATAACATAAAAAAAAGTCTCAAATCATACTTGAAGTAAGAAAGTAAGTCCTTTTATTTTAAAATGTTCAGAGTTCAGATATGTTTCCATTCTCTTCACACACAGGGATGTCGGAAGCGAGACGCCAAACACACTGGCGCATCAAAGCCCCCAATCCATTCACTCACTCGTTACATTCATTGTACATGTTTTCATTGGTAGGGGAAACCACAGCACCCGGAGGAAACCTACGCTGACAGCTGATTTAATGTGACAGAGGCCAAATGAATGTAAAACAATGACTCTTCTGGGGTACGAAAATGTACGTACCCCAGCTTTAATTTAGCGAGTTTAGTTGCACTTTGGGAAGAGACACAAGGAAGACGCGGACTGTTTCTTGCAGAGCTGTATTTTTTCCATGAACCGGTTACACAAAGACACGCACAAGCACAGTATGGTCCTGTGCGTGTATAAGGTCTCGGGTACATGGCAACGTTACGGTTGCGCGCTCCCGTGTTGTTGTCAAAGCAGCTCACAGGCAACCGCTGGACGCGGAACCACTGTCCAAAGTGGCCGCAGCTGCTCCAAAAGGCTGCGGAGGATGTGGAATCCCGTTCGAGTTCATAAAGCAATCAACAGCAAGAGCCCCGCAGTAGAACATTTCTTAACAGAATTACACATTTCTCAAAAATATCTTTTTGTATGAGGCTCACAGGCCGGCCCAAATATGGGCATCGGCCCTTCTGGCATTGCCCGGTACGCCCGATGGCCAGTCCATCCCTGGGCAGAGGATATTGTTCACTGAGATGCAGGACAGCTCTTTCCACAAGCTGTTATCAGTTTAAATAGAGCACTTTAAATGATCTTGACTTTGTACTGAAACTGTTTCAGTCGATCGATTTCACAGTGTCAATTGCTTACTGTTTTGTTTGTTTTAGTTCTGTACTTTTAACCTTGTTTTATTTATGTACTTGTCTTGTGCACACTGAGGACTTTGCACCTGCAATCCAACGTGGTTTTACCACAAATGGCAAATAAATGAATCTGAATCTGAAAACAGGTGATAGAACCAAACTTTTTTTTGAGAGAAAAACAAAACATGGATTACCGTGGTTGGAAAGTGCCCCAGTTTTAACTACCTAGACCTTTCTGCTGCTCATATCCAACCAGAAAGAATCAATATAGACTTCAATGAATTTGCTAAGAAAGATGAAACTAGACAAATGTCAAAACTAGGGCAATCTTTCCTGTCATATACGCTTAAAGAACAAACAGACTATCTTGACAACATCGTGTGTGTCGATTTTGTTTGCAGATGAGCAGTTTCCTGTCAGACATGTCTAACATCAGTAGAGTGGCGACAAGGCGGGGCATCGCGGTCTGCAGTGTGGCCCCAAACCTGCCCCTGTCCTCACCACGCCACCCGGATCTCAGCACGCCTCATAAAGTGTCCTGGGAGGTGCCCCAGCAGCAGCATAGTCCAGTGTCCGACCCTCCAGACCGAGACCACCGAGAGGAGCTGTGGGGCCAGAGAGCCTTTGAGATGGAGCGGACACAAAGAGAAACCAGTCCACCGGGTAAGACAAACAACTGCAGGGCCTTAACCAAAAAAACAAAATGTGTTAAACAGCTTTGGTGTTGTTTGATTCTGATAGAGCAAAATGATATAAGCCACTATTCTTTTAGCCACTATTAATGCCACATTTAATTTTGAAACAATGTATTTTACACAATTCTTTGATGTCAAAAATGTCATGTATTAATATCTATTGTGCATCATTATTATACTGGAAACATAATCAAAAGAATCAGATCAGAATCATTTTTTCATTCAGCCACGTAAGTAACAGGAGGTCACAGACTTGGAAATTGCTTTGGCTCAGTGCAACAGTCAAAAAGAGATAATAAAAATAAGAATAAAAAACACTTCTAAAGAATAAATTTAAATTTAAAATAGAGTTACAGTTACTATCTACAATATACAAGTGCACATGGTGCACACAATGTAAGGTGACAGCAGTACAGTGAAGTAAAGTGACGTATGATGGGCAGTAAAGTGACTTTATAAAGGGCGGGGGGACAGGTTAAGAAGTGTTCAAGAGTCCAACAGCAGAGGGGAAGAAACTGTTCTTGTGAACGAAAGGCCATTCTGATACCCAATTCTAACGTTTTACTGTAGCAGTGTCCTCGTGTAAACAGCCTCTAAGTGTTGTTGTTTTTCCTGGATATTACACCTTATAATTGTAAACAAAACAGCACTAAAATATCCATTATTGGGGTGATAGATACATAGTTTGAAGGATTCTTGCTGCTGATAAAAAAAAAGAAAGAAAAGTCAAGTCACTTCTTGCTGCGGGGCCACATGTGCTAACCACTGCATTACTATATTGTTTTACTTTTATCCAAACATATGATATTATTATTACTTTATTGTAAAATAGCAGTCTTGAAAATGTACCAGAATTAAACTTTCATTACCAAAGAAACTGTTCTTTGTAGCAGTCATTTTAGTATTTGTAATCTTTTAAACCCACTATTCTATCCCCATGCACCGGACCGTGTGCTTTCAAACTTCAGATCATAAAAGGCAGAGAGTACAGAGGCTGAGCAGTCATAGTGCTCCACCACCACCCTTCACTGTGAGCCTATTTCACACTGATCTATGCTTTTTGATCACATACATCAAAGGCAATGGCCTCAAGTAAGAAGCAACTGTCATTAAAACGCCCTATTTTTATTTTCCTTTTCATTTCAAATTTCTCTACTTACCTCTTAGAAAGCACTCAAATTTCTTAAGCAGCGACAAAATTGCCAATTATGTCCCTGGCGTCTTCCACAGTGAGTTTTTAAACATTCTGCACTTCTGTCTGAATGGTCAGGGTAATCAGCCAGCACTGATGTCCTATGTTCTTGCCCTACTTCTTTCCGCCCTTTCAGAAAAGTTATAAAAATCAAAGTAGTTCAAACTTGTCCACTTACAGAAGTCTTTTGCACTGCTCTTCCCCAACAACAAACAGATGGTCTTTGAAAATAGTGCAAGTGGGCACAAGATGATGCAACCATTTTTCTCTTTTATCGTTTCAGGAAAAAGGTTTGACCTTTGTGCCAAAATATTTATTTTCTGCCCTTGTGTATCTCGTCTTCACCTGTGAATGGTCACTAGCCATAAACTCACATATTTTCTTTATATATTGGCAACATTTTGCACTTTATTGTGTATCATTCTTCAGGTAAACATATATAATTAAATAGGGTGGCCTGGGAATTTTCCAGTGGGGACGGGTCCCAGCTCAAAAATGGCCAAAATGACGTGGGCTGACATGCTTGCAATACCACCCCGGGCCGATGGGGGTGGACCCGGAAGAAGAATTAGCCAATGCTAATATATAGCATCTTCTTACCTCTCGAAAGCACCTTTACAGGATGGACCAAAAGTTGGCTCTTGGCCCAAAGCTCCGTTCCACATGTGTGTCAATGCTGAGGGGAGTGAATTTTCTTGGCCCACTCTAGTTTACTCGCTGTGAATTTTTCAAGTCACTCATTTAAATGAATTCATGTTTGATTTAATATAAAGAGTTACTCCAATATTGTATATGTTGGATACATCGAAATACCAGTTTATTTCATCAATACACAAAAGAAAGACTCTTGTTGAAGTGACATTTTGGGAACAGACCACGTCTTTACCATTTTTAGTACTGAGAGCTGTGTGGTTAGTCCTCTTCTTCACTGAAAAAGCGTATCTCAAGATTTGACACAGTCCAAAAATACATTTGAAAACAAGTGACAGAACCAAACGGTTTTGAGAGCAAGAAACTATACATAGATTTTTGTTGTTTGAAAGTACAGTACCCCAGTTTCAACTACCTCGACCCTTCTGTTGTTAGTTGACCACAATACTTGCTGGACTATAAGCTGCTATTGTGCGGTTTGTAGGTGTGCTTTATAGTATTGTATTGTACATAGTTACTGTATCTGTTTGTGGTTTCAAAGTTAGGTACCCGGATTTTTTTTTTAAAGGAAATATTAACTTGTTTTTCCTGCATAACTTTTTATGACCTTTTAAAGTGTGTTTTTCAAATAATCATGTGTCCAATATTGAGCAAGTAAGCTTCCATTGTTTTATTAATGAATCCTGATTGACCGGTGGACTGAATCAATGCTAAGCCCTGATTCATCCCAGACATAAACAAGTGTATTATTAATTACAGATGCAAACAGACCTGGATATGCGTCAGTCGTTATTCTGTCACTACCTACTGCAGCATGAATAAATCAAACACTCTGAATAATTAAGTGTGTGGAAAACACTTTATAAGTAAATCGGGTTGGCATGTCGTTGTGTTTTTGGGAACAGTGCGGTGTAAAAAATAGGTTAACCTCGAATTAAAACTGGTGGTGTTAATGCCAAGGATTAAATCTGATTATTGGAACAAAAAGTAGAATAAGGATTGTCCCACATTCAAAAACCATGAATGCTTCGTTTCTGCTAAATACTTCTCAAATAACTAGAAATATGTCCGCATCTTTATAAATTTACAAAACTTGGAAAGATGCTTTTTGAGACACTTTTTACTTTTAAACTTTTGCTAAGTTGGACACTATAAAACTTTGGTTTTAGAAATGTATAAACATAACTATACCTGTTTTTAACTGTGTTGTGTTGAAAAAGAAAGCTTTCATTGAGCCCTCCCTGACTAAATAAAGATAAATAAAATAAATGGGTAACTCTCCGGTTGTTACTTCTCAGTATTGACCAGAACATGTCTCACTTTCCACAGACCACAGACTAAAGTTATATAAATACAACTGTTGTAATATCATAGATTCTTGCATCAATATTTGGAGTAACATTTGACCTGTGACAAGAAACTTTACAACATTCTTCAAGGAGACAAGCAGTAAAGTTTCCATGTGTACTTCTGATTGGATTAGATTCCTTGGATTAAATATTTCTTTAACGCATGAAGTCTCTTTGTTGCCAAGACACCACAGACGTTTTTCTATGTTCTGCTGCAGTTCTCATGTCAGACTAAACGCAGACAAAACTGAAATGATTCTCTTTGGTCCCCAGAAACAAAGAGAGAGCGTCATCTGTCATCTACTGTCTCTCCTTAAAACCTTCAAACAAGGTCAGAAATGTAGGGGTAAATTAATCTAGACTTAAATTTTAATAGCCACATCAAATCAGTAACATCAGCAGCTTTTTACCATCTAAAAAACATTGCCAGGATCAAAAACATAGTGTCTAAAGCAGACCTGGATGCATTTGTCTCCAGTAGGTTAGACTACTGCAATGGCCTGCTCACAGGTCTGTCCAAACAGGCTGTAAAACAGCTGCAGCACATTCAAAATGCAGCAGCTCGAGTCCTGACTAGAACCAGGAAGTACGACCACATTAGTCCAGTTCTCAGGTCTCTGCACTGGCTTCCTGTGGCTCAGAGAATAGACTTTAAAACAACTCTGCTTGTGTACAAGCAGAGCAAGTACAAATATATTAGTGACATGTTAGTACCATATGAACCAGCCCGGACTCTGAGGAGAACAGGGACTGGACTCCTGTTAGTGCCCAGAGTCAGAACTAAACATGGGGAGGCTGCATTTCAGATTCATGCTGCTAAAATCTGGAACAGTCTTCCTGAAGATGTGAGACAGTCTGTCACGTGGGTGAAAAACAAATGAGGCCCAAAAGGCAAAAACTGCAAAATGATGGATTTAATGAAAGTAATACAAATCAAAACCTACCAAAAACACAGGGAACGGACAGAACTGAAACAGACTAGGAAAGACAATGACGGAACACGGAGTGAAGGAACACACAGGGCTAAATACAAGACTAACGAGACACAGGTGAGACAGATGAGGGCAGGGCAGGTAATCAGACAACAGGAAGTACAACCAAAGAAGACACAGGAATAACACATTTCAAAATAAAACAGGAAATAAACTTAAACCATGACAGTACCCTCTCCTCAAGGGACGGATCCCAGACGTCCCAAAAACAAAACCAGGGAGGGAGGAGGGGGACCGTAGGAAGGACCGGGGGGGTGTAACCGGCACGTGAAGCCGGGGCCGGCGGGACGTGAAGCCGGGGCCGGGACGTGAAGCCGGGGCCGGGACGTGAAGCCGGGGCCGGGACGTGAAGCCGGGGCCGGGACGTGAAGCCGGGGCCGGGACGTGAAGCCGGGGCCGGGACGTGAAGCCGGGGCCGGGACGTGAAGCCGGGGCCGGGACGTGAAGCCGGGGCGTGAAGCCGGGGCGTGAAGCCGGGGCCGGGACGTGAAGCCGGGGCCGGGACGTGAAGCCGGGGCCGGGACGTGAAGCCGGGGCCGGGACGTGAAGCCGGGGCCGGGACGTGAAGCCGGGGCCGGGACGTGGAGCCGGGGCCGGGACGTGGAGCCGGGGCCGGGACGTGGAGCCGGGGCCGGGACGTGGAGCCGGGGCCGGGACGTGGAGCCGGGGCCGGGACGTGGAGCCGGGGCGGGACGGGACGTGGAGCCGGGCGGCGTGGAGCCGGGCCGGGACGTGGAGCCGGGGCCGGGACGTGGAGCCGGGGCCGGGACGTGGAGCCGGGGCCAGGACGTGGAGCCGGGGCGTGGAGCCGAAGAGCTGGAGCGGAAGAGCTGGAGCAGGAACTGGAGCCAGGACTGGAGCCAAACGGGTACAGAAGGCCCCCTGGATGGAGAACAATATCCAGCGGAGCCAGGTCAGGAACGGAAGCCTGCAACCACCCAGGACGGAGCTAAGTGTCCTGCAGTGGTCCAGGACACAGACAGACAGACAGGGAATGCGTCCAGCTCCTGCAGCAACTGTCAAGACCAGTCGGGGACAAAGATGGGCCAGAGATGACCAAAAATAAAAAACAAAAATAAAGCAGTCTGCTTGGGCCTTGAGTGGTTCCGTCATTCTGTCACGTGGGTGAAAAACAAATGAGGCCCAAAAGGCAAAAACTGCAAAATGATGGATTTAATGAAAGTAATACAAATCAAAACCTACCAAAAACACAGGGAACGGACAGAACTGAAACAGACTAGGAAAGACAATGACAGAACAGGGAGTGAAGGAACACACAGGGCTAAATACAAGACTAACGAGACACAGGTGAGACAGATGAGGGCAGGGCAGCTAATCAGACAACAGGAAGTACAACCAAAGAAGACACAGGAATAACACATTTCAAAATAAAACAGGAAATAAACTTAAACCATGACACAGGCCTCCTCAATGACAATGTTTAAAACCAGGTCAAAGACAGTTCTGTTTAGCTGTGCATACAACTGAGGGATTTTATATTTTTATCTTTCTTTTTAATGTTCTGTGGATATTTATGATTTTAATGCTTTCTTGTTTTGTTCAGCCCTTTGAATTGCCTTGTGTATGAATTGTGCTATATAAATAAACTTGCCTTGCCTTGCCTCAGACATTTTAGTTTGTGGTTGGACCCCAGGATTACACTTTAAAAAAATGTCTGGTCTGTCACAGACATAATTTACCAGTGAGTTACAATTGTGTAACTTTTGTTCAGAAATTTTAAATCTGTTATTGTGCTCGAACAAACCATTTTTACAAAATGGCTTTTTATGCTTTTTAAATCATAATGATATAATACTTAGACTCAAGTCAACACAAACTGGTTTGAATGGTTCAAGAGATCCTTCACAATGGCTTCAACCAACAGCTGTGTGGTGGAATAATGTACAGTGTGTCCATGATATGAGCAGAGGTGCCAGAATATTAAACCCATATGAAGAGGTTTTACATGTATATGAAATAAAGGCATTAATAAACCATGCTCTTTTTGAATACTTATTTAACCGAATACAGTAGAAGTATTCAAAGTACAAGTTTTCTCTTTTAAACTTTCCAGAAGGAGATCTATATAAGATCTTCCCCCCTTGTGAATGTATCCATTGTGAGATCAATAAAGTTTGTCTTATCTTATCTTAGTTCAGCAGGGATATTAGAATTTCAATATTGGATTTACTGCCCCTAAATATTGTTATTGTTTTCATTTAAATGTCTTGCCCTACACTGTTTTACAGCAGTACGAAAAAAGGTCTTGTTATGATTCTCAAATCATCAATGACAAAACAAGGATGCCTTTTTCTATTCCCTTTCTTTTGACTTGTTTGCACCGAGAGCCAAAGCAATTTCCGAGTTTGTGACTTCCTACTTACATGGCAATAACAATTATTCTGATTCTGATTCTGAATATTTACAGTGAGTGCAGTACCACTTTTGGCCAGATTTTTACATATTGCTCCTTTAAAGGGAAAAATATGGTAATCGCATAAGTTCTTGTTCTTGACTATTCATTGGACAAAACAACAGTGTCAGAAAACAGAACAAATCAAACATTTTAGTTTATTGTTCATTTAAAGTTGCACTTTAAAGTACATATATCAAAAAGTACAAGTTCGATAAAGGGCCTGACCTGCCAGAACCGCCTGCTTTCACAACAGTTGTGACATTTTTTTCTTTACAGATGTCAATAATACTTGGCCACTGCCTGCTGTGTCCTCAGCTTGGACTTGTGAAATTGCCTTCAACCTTTGTGTGTCTGAATCTACAGTGGTTTATACACAGCCAGAACCAAAATAATTACTCAACTTTTGTAGGTCACATTGTTTCGATTTGCTCAAAATGCTGCAATAATATTGAAAGTATAGTTTCCAGGATGGATTAAATAAAGAATAATGTGTATTATTTTGGGTGTTTTGAATAACAAAGTGAATGTCTACAGCCATTAGAGCTGTAATTTATAAGGACAAACCCACATTAATATCAGCGGCCATTGGCATAAATAAACATTAAGGCAAAGGTGTTCAGCAAAAGTTATTTCTTTTGAAAACATGACTTTACAAGATGTGCTGAATGAATAAGAGGTGATGACCAAAACATACATCAATAAATGTATCCTCTTTCACAAATGAGCAGAATAATTTATTCATTAATTTCATCGAGGAAAAAAACAGTCCAGACCTTATGCACCTCAGCTCTGTGTGCTGGCATGGCAGAACAGTCTATGGGCAGTTTCACTTTTTATATGACTCTGTGATGTTTGTATGATTTGCACATCTTTTAATTATGGAAAAAAAAGTGACATTGTAATAATTGTGTAATAGTGTAATAATGCTGTAAAAGCAGTTATTTCACTATGATCTTTATAATGATGAGTCATCACATTACTTTTGGTACTTCAATTAATTTAAAATTAACATTACATACTTTAGTGTCCATTGTTAAACAGAATATAGGCCTGAAATGAAAGTGTTAGTTATACAATTCAAACAAACCTAACACAATGCTTCTACATTTGTTTTACATGCTTTTCCATATACAATTTGACATAATATATTACTATGAACTTTGTGTAGGATTTGATTGTTAAAGCATCATCTTTGATATTAAAACAAATCTTCTAAAATGTTTAAACATTTCCATGTATAATTTTGAGTGTACAATCTTTCTATGGCCTTTGTACGTTAGATGACTGTGAATAATGTGTTATTTAAACATTTCATGTCCTATAAAACTTTAATAAGATATTTGCACATCTTTTCCATATGGATTGGCAGATCCAAAACTGGCTTCTGTTTTCTCCTTTGGATTCTGATTGGATTCTGAATGATACATACCTATAATCCAATAATCACATCAGAATCTGAATCAGATTCCAAACAATCATGATAATCCAATCAGTTTTGGAACTCGGCTCTCTCGATATTGGACAGCGGCCTTCTCTTAGCTCTGGTCCGGAAGCTGATCTTTACAAATACTGGACTTCCAATGGAAATGACACTGTTTCTGATCATATTAGATAATACAATAGCACAATAGATGGTTAAGGCAAGATAACATATTTTTATATATATATATCAGTACTTTCCATTATTGCTTATATGATCTGACTTTATCTCCAATAGTTTGATCTAAATGAAAGAAAATAATTGGCTTCAGTGCAGTAATTGGCCGTGTGTAATTGGAGATATATATTTAGATATAGTTACGTATTTCGAAAGCCTCTCAAAAGAAGACATCAGCGCAGTTCCACATGAGCAGACTGACAAGAGCAACTGACAGCAAGTGATAGATGAGTAAAAGAAGGACAGACAGTGACCGCTCTGCAACAGCAGAATCTTAAAAGGGCTGAAAAACCACTTTAACTACAAGCACTTTTGATTAGAACGTTTATGAGGCCGTGATTTACAGCGACAGAGCATTGTTGTCTTCCCCCAGTGGTTCAAGGAGAAGACGAGTCAAAAGATTAATGACCGTTTAATTTGGCAACACTTTTAAGATTACAAAAGCTCTTTCCTGAGCGACAGTCACCTACTTGAACATACTTTCTATTTGTAATAACTTAGATTCATTTACTGCATTTGTTGCTTTGAACTATACATCACATGAAACCAATCGTAATCACAACTACATTTTATGGAAATGGTGCTGTCCAGTTTTGGGACACTGCTATTATGACATGATATTAAAGGTTGATGTATGCAACTTAAATTGTATTTCAGTTTAAAACTAATATGCTTTTGACCATATGTATCTGTAGTATCATATAGATTAAATCATTTTCTTAATAACATATTTAAAACAGTCCCTCCATGTGGAATAATCATCACCAGTAAGATTTTCTGGAGGAGAAAAGTTAAACATGTCTCCATAGTAAGAGGGCCACTTTAGCTCTCCATACTAGTCCAGGGGCCGATAACACGGATTGAAAAACTGTCTTGACTGGCATCAGGCTGAAGTTGGCTGAATGACACAGGCTTACCATCTCACCAGCTACAGTAGCATGATTAACAGAAGTTTGTGACATACATACACGTCAGAAAACATGTCAGTACTAATATAGTCAACGTCTGAATTTTGTACTTGGCTTTAGAACAATTTACAACATGTCTATTTTGGCTGAGCTGAAGTTGGATGGATGACACAGTGAACTTGTGTTTTTTTTCTCCAAGACTACTTTGGGTTAGCAAGGCAGAGAGCCACATAAAAAGACACTGAGGGCCGCAAATGGCCCCCGGGCCTGAGTTTGGACATGCCTTCTTTAAGGAAGTACGATATTTGTTTTATAGCAGTTTGAGAATGTAAACTTTCGGGCTAATGAAATGACCAGATAACAAAATCATTATAAAAAGCAAAGTTAACTGCACTACTTTTCCTTCACTTTCAAACCCAAAGGCTCCTGAGCTTGTCCCAAACTAACTTTTAATCACATTAGCCAATCTGCCAATCCTTTTTACAAGCGCTTTTATTTTCACAGATAATAGGGTTTTGGTTCCCCATAAGAAACTCATGCTTGAGGGATTAAAAAAGTATGTTTTGAGATTGTTTATAGTACTTATTTGAAGAAGTTCACTATAGTTTACTCTGGTCCATGTTAGCTCAGCACTTTCCTTCTCATTCCACTGTCCATCTGTCCTGCATGAGGGGTGAGTGTAGGTTTGGGCCCTGTGTGACCGCTCCAGCTGCTGAATCTTGCACATCTTTAAGTGGGAGGAATGGGATCATCTCACAATTCTGAACCTACGGTCTAAAAGAGACCTACATTTAGCATATTGCAGCTTAAAAGTTTCAGCTTAATTATAAAGTGAAAGTGAGTCATTTATTGAGTGTCCATAAATCTCCATGATTTTTGTCCCTTTCACTTAACAATCCATTGTTTGTTACCTCTAGCAGAAACTGTTATTGGCAGGTGTGATTTCAGAAAGATAGTGTTATTTACTGTCAATGTGACGGCCCTTGGCCTCCATCTTCCTTCCATTCACGTTAAGCCAAGCAAATTCACAAGCGTCGCTCAACATTATACAAATGACCAGTTCAGCTGCAGCAGTTCCTCAAGTGTGTCCTGAACATCTGTGACACCTGCTGTAACACCTTTAACACAGGTTATTCTCCTCACATGTGATTTCTCCTCTATCCCCACGGGAGTACCTGGCCCTCTGTAGACGCGACTAAAATCAGGGACCATTTACTCTTCTGTTTCTATTCTCAAAGGTATGAGTGTATATAAGTGCAGTGGCCATTTTCATGTGAAAGCCAGATCTTATCAGACCTCTGAAGCTGTGCAGGGTAAAGCCTGGTTTTCACTGTGATGGGAGACCTCTGGGAACACCAGGTGCCACAGTGGGGCGACTACGGCTGTAAAGTGCCAAATTCAAGTGCCAGGTCGTTGTGTCCTTAGGCAAGACACTTCACCCACATTGCCTAGAATGAGTCTGGTCTGTGTGTGAATTGTTGGTGGTGATTCAAGAGTTCGATGGAACATACTGCTTGCCTTACTTCTGTCAGTTTGCCTCAGGGCAGCTGTGGCTACAATAGTGTATAGAGTGAATGAATAATGACACAAGAGGCGTCTTTTAAGAGCGCTATTAATCCAACCCATCATTATTATTATTATTATTATTAGATGTTCCACCCATCCTTGCCTCATCTCACTCTCACTTGTGAATTCTACAGTAACCACAGTATTCAACTCTATGGCCACTCTTATATGAAGACTAGAAAGTTCTTAATTATGATTTTCAATGCTGAAGGCACTGCTATCTTGAATACTGATTGTTCACACATGCAGTGCCATTATTTACAGAGAGTTGTGTTTCCGTCTGTTACAGATATGCCAGAGTTGGTGAGAGAAGGAACTGGTCTCTCAGACTCCACCTCAGAGGAGCAATCGCTCAGCTCATACACATCTGAGTCCTTTGACGACAACGGTAAGATCTCAAAATGTATGTTGTTGAGAGAAATGGCAATATTCAAACCAACAATAATGAACACATTATTGAACTTATTGCAGTCGTTGCTATAATTGTTGGGAGTGTTGGGAGTGACGAAATACATGTATCAGTGATACATGTGTTTTTGTGTGTGCGTTGGCTCGTGCGTGCGTTCTTAATAATACATGTGGTTTGGGGTGGGTCTGTTGGGTGGTTGGGAGGGGGGTCACGGGCAGGATTGTTTTTTAACCAAACTGTAAAGCACTTTTTGTTGCATCTTCTGTATGAAAAGTTCTTTATAAATAAAATGTGATTGATTGATTGATTGATACCAGTAATACATATTCAGAATATTATAGTTGAGTAACTGTGTTCGGAATACAGTGAGTTTTTAAAAATTGAAGGAATGCATTTCGGTATTTGATCAAACAATTCCTATTCAGAATGCAGTTCTTCGGGACCATGCAACAACATCTAATCACGCGATGCATTTTAAAGCGGACATGCAGTATTTTGTAGCTAAATGTATTTTAGAGTGATCGCCCCAACACTGTATAATGGAATCCAATCCACCCTCCACATCCAGGCCCAGTGAACACACACATTTGTATTCAGATAGTGTTTATTTCAACTCCTTTCCCAATTAATTCTGCTGGTTTACCCCCTTATCACTCTCTTGCATTGATCTTTGGCTAAATATAACAACTTTGTGTCACATAGTAATGAGCACATGTGGGTGCGTGTCATGAGATGAGGCTCCTATGTTGTTTCCTTTTCCGTTATAATTGCTGTGTGCAGAGAAGGCTGGTGTCCTCGCTGTCGGTTTCACATATGCACCTTTCCAGCTACATAGGTCCTATATGACAGAGATGGCAGTCGGATATATACAGGTTGTTTCTCTGTGTGCAGGGTGCATACATATACTCCATGTTCTACAGCAGCAAAAAAATAAATATGAATTGTGGCAAATACAACCAGTTATAATTACAGTAAAGAAGGGAGTTAGTAAAAGATCGGTTTTACTCTCTAAGTTAAGTACAAGTAATTGGGTTTAGAGTAAAAAGCTCACAGGCAAGAAAAGACAGGACTGTTAATATAAAACAGTTGTTTGGGCAATAGAAATCAACTTGACTGATAATTCAACAATTGTTTTTTAACAACTTACCTTCAACCCCTCCTCCTGTATAAGATGCACACTTATAATCTGGCCACAAAAATGGGTGATATTATTTTTTGTGTGCACGTTATCTATCCTTATGATAATCCTGAGATAAAAACTATTTGATAACCAGGTTCTGTGAAAATTATTCCCACAAAGACATACAGTACATTTTTTTTGCTGCGTTTTCCACCTCCAGAAGATTCTGTTGAGACTAACTGGCATCTTTCTCATGCGTAGTAGCCAGGATCTATGTTATTCACCCATTCAGGTTTTCTTCCTGATCTCCACTCATGCAGTCGTGGATTAAACTATTATCACATGGAGCGGAGGCAGCACCTGCACAGTGGTGTCTTGTTTGCGCGCACTCAGAGTTGGCCTAATTATGAGATTGTGGAAAATTCAGCTGCTCATAGATTTGTGTGGGTGCTCCGGTCCCGCTGTACACATGCACTCAGCGCCAATGCTTCAGTTAATTCCCAACTGAACTACATGGAGCCTGGACACTTGGAAACATCATCAATATAGCCATTTTGGTTCATAATGGCCCAATTTGTGATGACCTCTATTCTGTAGCAGATACTAAACCTTTTAACATAGAAGATCCATGTTTTATCACCTGTGTTGAAATGCCGTTGATTTTTTTAAATTATATTTGTACCTTAGACTCCCCTTTCTCAATGCGGGAGGGTCTAAGGACAGTGATGATCGGGGACATTTAAGGACATTTAAGGACATTTAAGGACATTTATGGATATTTATGGATATTTATGGACATTGGTTATCCCGCCCCCTATGCATTCCCTGATTTGTTGTTACCAAATCGACATCTTTGTAAAGTCCTCCAAGACGCCTGCTGTCATGATTTAGGGCTGTATAAAAGTACATTGAATTGATTTGTTCAAGAGATGAAAGTTTAACAAATAATACATTATTTTTGCTGCATCATTAGACTAGAGTCAAGTCTTATAGTCTTCTCTTCACTAATCTCTTTTTCTGCTCTCAGCCTCCATAGTAACAGTCATACGTCTCGTCAATGATGCCGTCAACAATATTGAAAGTGAAGGTGACTATGAAAACTTCATTCTGAACACATTTCATTCAAGATTGTACACGTTCTTTTCCTCCAATATGTTGTCAGTATTCATGACAATAGATACGTCAGCGCATCCGTTCTTTCTCCTTTTTCCTTCTGCTGTTTTGTACTGCCTCCGTCTAAAGCTCTTCTCTTTCTCGCTTCCTTTGTAGTGTCAAACATGGACAAAGAACCACAGAGGAACAGCCCTGGTGAGTGTGACACAGGCCTGACAAAAAAAAAACATTTATTAACCATCCATCCCTTTTGCCTTTATTCTCCAAGCCAAAAGCCTCTGAACCTTTTGTATGCTCCAGTTTTGTGACACTTTATCACTGGCCATGCAGACGAGATTGCCAATTGTGCCACAATTATTTTTTTTAATATAAATGTCCAGCTTCTGATTGTTTTCATGCACTTCTTACTACTCCCAAAGGACAAGCACTTTCTATTGAGCGTTATTGAGCTAGCATGATAGCATTGTCCATTTTTATAAGTCTATGCTTGGCTCTCACTTACTGGATGTGGAAACGGTTTTTACACAATTTCTCTGTATTAATTTCCCATTAATAATGTACTAGTTAATCCTTTATGTGATTTTCTCTGTTACAATAATATGGACTTTAAGAAATATAGTGACAATAGGCTTCTTTTTCTACCTTACTCTGTCATGTTGGATTTAATTAAGTTTAGGAATATTGCCACAATGATTTGAATTGATTAATTTACTATGTGGAAAAGGTTGCTTAACTTAAGGTTGCTTAACTATCAATTAAATCCAACACATTCATTCTTTTTGTGTGTGTGCGAGAACGTGTGTTTGTGTGCGTATATATATAGATATATAGATATATATGGGCGACAGTAGCTCAGATGGTAGAGCATCGGCCTTTAAGCCTGAAGGTTGTAGGTTCGAATCCACCTCGAGACCTACTTCACGACTCCCACTGATGACTGCTGTCGTTATGTCCTTGGGCAAGACACTTAACCCCACTTTGCCGAAAGCCCCCACTGAAAGATCTCAACTCCTGTGGACTCACCACCTGCAGGAGGATCAGTGAAGGGCTGGTGCTATGTGTACTGGGTGCAGCTCTGACTGCCACCCCCTGACCCAAAAATGGATTAAGGGAAGAAAATGGATGGATCTATATATCTTAGTTCCTTGTATTTGGTACATTATGCTAAAGCTCCCCTGGAAGATTATATGACTTGAAACAATTATTAAATGTTGCTTACACAAGCAAGCATCTAAATTGTTAATATGGTTTATTTAAATACCACTAAGATTAAGGGGCCTGGTCAAGTGGGCTGTAGCAATGGAGAAGAAGAGCTTTCAGCAGCGTGCACTGTCTCTCTGGGGTTCAGGCCAATTTGAGACGCTCCCAGGATGCACCGAATGGCATAAATGAATGCAGTTCTCTGATGTCATAACACAGAGAGAATCAGGATGCACAAAGCGTTTGGATAGTAGTCTCATGTCTGTGTGTACAAACATGACAAACATTATAGACTGCAGTCATTAGCATGTAATTAGTAACTCTTTGTTCAAAGTGAGGGTAATTTGATTTGCACCCCAGTGTTTTCTTTACATAATTTTACCTTGTAGAGCTATAAAAAACAAGAACATGCACATCATCCATTTTTCTTTCAATGAAACATTTCAGAATTGGCTCTTGAAAATAATGTAAAATCACCCATTCACATGCAGGTTTTGGGTCAGGTTTCATTGATGCTTCAAATGATTTCTCACAAATAAATGACCCTATGTTTGTCATTTTGGCATTTTGTAACGTGTTAACCCCTTCCTTCCCGCTAAAACAAATGAAAAACTCTTGAGTCCTAGTGAAGGTGTAGTTTCAGCCTTTAATGACTCATTTACTTCGTTATGAGCAGGAACAATCTCAAAGTCCAAAGTCTGCCTACATTCTATTGCTGTCTTTTTCTGGAGTGAATATTACTGAAATTGAAATTTTTGGAAACTCTCTAATCAGAATATACGTAAAATCCTGTTTAAAAGTAATACCTGTTTTTTTTCACAAATTAAAATCAACCTCAAACTGGTTAAGAATCATTCCAGAATGTTTGACTTGACGGAAAATAAGGCATACATTTTTTGGCAGGTCTTTTTAACGCGAGGATAGCACAAGGGTTAAAAGTGTCTGCATTCCCGACTGACTGTATTTATCTAAATATACAGTATATTCTCTTCCCCAGTGTCATTCTTCACTGTATTCATTGTATCGTCTGTCAGTCTGGAAAGCATTTCATCATCAAAGCTTTGGTTTTGTTTTCTTTTGCACTTTGCTGACAGTGAGACGCCACCAGCCAAGCAACGATGAGATTTGCTTAGAGTTCGTCAAAGAGTACCTTGTGGATTGTAAGCAAATGCTTCTCTGTATTGCCCCCCTCAAACCTCCTTGTGAGTGGAACCAGGACCAGGCTTGTTCCAGCCGCTCTGCATGTGCTCTCTGATGTTGTGTTGGATCGTTGGCAGTCGCTGTGAGGCACACGTCTTCTTTGGCACAAAAATGCATTATACATGTTTTACCAAGAGCTGGCAAGGCTAATAAAGAGCATGCACCATCCCACACAGGGCAACCCTCTTTGCCTCATTAATTGGAGTTTTTTTCACTCCATGCATTTATTCAAGCATGAATTATTCCACCTGCAGTGGCTTGTCAAGTAGTAGATTAACAGCGTACAATGACTAAAATTCATCCTTTCTTTTTGGTTTGCACCGTTTAAATGTTTTTTTAAAATGTTCAATTACGCAACATTAAGTTGTCCCGCAGATGCAGTACTACTGTAAATATTGACACAGAAAGCAGAGATCATTATGAGCTTGTTTTCACACAAGGCATAAATTATACTTCAGAATTTTTGAAGTAGGGTTATGTGAGGTTCTCATTCATATTTAACGTTTGATCACATTGTAAATGCGAAGGGGATGTTTCTAGAGGTCAGAAGCCCGTTCCCACTGACCTTCTCTGGTCAGTGGTACAATCTCATCACTTGTTTGGGGGCTGGTATCTTACTCACATCAGTGTGCAGTCTGCAGCGGGTGTAAATTAAATCCACCAGCACTCTTGCACTGCATCAGTCCCGAGATTCAGCTCACACAGGCAACATGCCAGTTCCAGGCAGTCATCAAATCGCAAAGATGAGAAAAAAATATTGGCTCCAAGGATTTTGTGGAGGGGGGGGCTAATCCTGAGAAGAGGTATGTAATGTGTTGAGTACACCGACATTTCCTATCTAGAAAGAGTGAAACCCTCACTTTTTAGTAGCTTGTACTTTTTGATGATTATTAATTATTATTATTCACTTATCAATTATCAATAAGATCTGTTCCTGTGCCTGTTGACACTCTAGGAACCACCAGGAGTCTGCCGTTTTGCGAGCGCAGGGTTCTGCTTTCTTGGGGTACTTTACTAATGTGTCTTGAAGGTAGAACTAAAGGAGCCATGCCATTGATGTCCTAGTATACATTTATGTCAACGATTTGACTGTTTTATTGCTAGGCTGGAAATTGTCCAGTTAATTCCAATGTATTCACAAAAAAAACTGTGAATTGCACTTTGTTTGGGAATTAAAGTGTCAGTAATTCCCATTAAACAATTTCCATTTTTGAAAATTTCCAGAATTGAGTTTACCATCATCTATGTTTTTTTTAGATGACTGGAACTCAGTTTTTCAAAATCATTTGTCTGGTTTGGTTTCGTAAACAGGTAAAGTTGTGTGTTACTATGTAACAGCAATAACTCCCAACAATAACATGTGGAACTCTGAAAAAGGTCTAATGATAAGAAATAACAAAGATATGTATTTAAAGGTTTGTGGAAAAAATTATATTCAAATTCATTCCGAACATTCACCAAGAAAACAGATCTCTTGGGGTAAAAGAGAAGCCAAAAAAGTTAACAAACAAAAATTCTTACCAACATGACAACCTTTTGAGTCATTATTATATTTTTTTATATTATTTTATCATTCATTTTAAATCTTGTTTTTACATAAAAAAAAATAAAAAAACACAAATCTATCCTTTTACATATGTCCCAGATTTAATCATTACTACGTGCTGATTTCACATGCTATGACTATTACGTCCCCAAAAGACCGGAGACTATTACTGCTACCATCCACTCAGCCATTACATCTGGAACAGTTTTCCAGGATAACCAGAATCCTCACGGTGGTCAAGAGGAGTGGTGCTCCTTTAGATCACATGAATCATTTATCCTCAAAAACCTGATTTGAACATGTTCTGCTCGAGCACAACTGTTCATTCGAGGTCACAGTTAACCAAGACACAGGTGCGTGTTCATTCACTGGGTATTATACTGGCATAAAGACTTTTCATTCCTTTCACCAAACTCTTTCAGAAGGTTTAAAAGGAGGTGCTTTGGAGCAGAGCCGGGATATGTCACAGATTGGAGTCTTTGAACCTTTCCCTCTGTGTCATGTGAGCAATTTCCATCTTAATAAATTGGTGACTGTGGTGATGCTGCTGTTGTTTCAGAGCCATTTCGATTTATTGACACCTACTAATGGGACATAATGCAGTTACTGGCTGACAGTGCGCAAACCCAGTTCATGGCACAAGACACATATTGAGTTATACAGTAGATTCATGGAGTTGTTTGGCAGGTTTCATATTCCTATAAATTTGTCAAAAAAAAAAAAAGGACAAAGATTTAAATGCCTAATAATAACAAGTTGGATTGTTTTGTGTCTCATTAGCGTCCCACTGGGAGTCATCCAGCCAGTCTGCGAGTTGGTTATCGCCCTCACGACTGCGGCCACCCGAAACAACGTCTCCCTACAACTTGGACGACACCCAGAGTATTAAAAGAGGTGGAAGCACAAGGTCCCTTCAACTGGATTATAGAGTCATGAGTTTTGGGAGCGGTGGAGATAGAGGAAGAACCAGAGGAAGTGGTAAGATCAGGTTTGGCCAGTTGTGGCATTATTTGTTTTGTTTTTGGTTTGATTTCTGCTTTACTTGTTGCTAAATGACTGTTTGGTCATGATGTCATGGAGTGAATGGTCTTTCATTCACATTTACACATGGGTGAGGAGAGTTTATGGGAACTGTTATCAAACTGGCATCTGTGGTTTGATTTGTGCAACCGATCATGTTGCACCAGCAAGGACCATGCCACAACAATAGAATTCCATTGAGATACGTTTATAGATAGTAGTTTCTGTCTCCGGTGATCAGGCAGAACATTTGGAACACCCTCAAATCTGCTGGCCAATCACCTGAGAGCAAGACAAACTATATGGCCTGAATCCCTGAACTGATTTTAATGTTGTGAAATAACAATAATAGTTCCAGATTTTGTAAACCCGGCAAGTTTAATAAATAATAATAATAATAATAATAATAAATACAAAATCAGTGCAATTAACAGAGCTTAACTGAAAACATGCAATATTCCCTTACAATTTCCTTTATTTAAGAATGGTGAAGCCAAACTCATGTTGTGATAACATTACTCTCCATCCATCCATTTTCTTCCGCTTTATCCGTTGCCGGGTCGCGGGGGCAGCAGTCTAAGCAGAGACGCCCAGACTTCCCTATCCACACACACTTCCTCTAGCTCGTCCGGGGGGACCCCAAGGCGTTCCCAGGCCAGCTGAGAGACATAGTCCCTCCAGCGTGTCCTAGGTCTTCCGCGGGGCCTCCTCCCGGTGGGACGTGCCCGGAACACCTCCCCAGGGAGGCGTCCAGGAGGCATCCGGAACAGATGCCCGAGCCACCTCAACTGGTTCCTCTCGACGTGGAGAAGCACCGGCTCTACTCCGAGCTCCTCCCGTGTGACTGAGCTCCTCACCCTATCTCTAAGGGAGCGCCCAGCCACTCTGCGGAGGAAACTCATTTCGACCGCTTGTATCCGCGATCTCGTTCTTTCGGTCATTACCCAAAGCTCATGACCATAGGTGAGGGAGGGAACGAAGATTGACCGGTAAATCGAGAGCTTTGCCTTTCGGCTCAACTCCCTCTTTACCACAACGGTCCGATACAGCGACCGCATCACTGCGCACGCTGCACCGATCCGCCTGTCAATCTCACGCTCCATTCTTCCCTCATTCGTGAACAAGACCCCGAGATACTTGAACTCCTCCACTTGAGGAAGGACCTCTCCACCCACCTGCAGAGGGCAAGGCACCTTTTTCCGGTCGAGCACCATGGCCTCAGATTTGGAGGTGCTGATTCTCATCCCAGCCGCTTCACACTCGGCTGCAAACCGCCCCAGTGCATGCTGCAGGTCCTGGTTCGTTGGAGCCAACAGGACAACATCGTCCGCAAACAGCAAAGATGAAATCCTGTGGTCTCCGAACCGGACCCCCTCCGACCCCTGGCTGCGCCTAGATATTCTGTCCATAAATACAGTGAACAGAACCGGTGACAAAGGGCAGCCCTGTCGGAGGCCAACATTCACCGGGAACAGGTCTGACTTACTGCCGGCAATGCGAACACAGCTCTGGCTCCGGTCATACAGGGATCGGATGGCCCTCAGCAGAGGACCTCCGACCCCGTACTCCCGGAGAATCCCCCAAAGGACACCCCGGGGAACACAGTCGAACGCCTTCTCCAAATCCACAAAGCACATGTGGACAGGTTGGGCGAACTCCCATGAACCCTCGAGTATCCGATGGAGAGTATAGAGCTGGTCCAGTGTTCCGGGACGAAAACCACACTGCTCCTCCTGGATCCGAGATTCGACCATCGGCCGTAACCTCCTCTCCAGTACCTTGGAGTAGACCTTACCGGGGAGGCTGAGGAGTGTGATCCCACGATAATTGGAACACACCCTCCGGTCCCCCTTCTTGTAGAGAGGGACCACCACCCCGGTCTGCCACTCCATTGGCACTGCCCCCAATCGCCACGCGATGTTGCAGAGACGTGTCAGCCAAGACAGTCCTACAACATCCAGAGACTTAAGATAATCAGGGCGGATCTCATCCACACCCGGAGCCTTGCCACCATGGAGGCTACCAACCACCTTGGTGACCTCAGCCAGGGAAATGGATGTATCCGCCCCAACATCCTCAGCCTCTGCCTCTGTAACAGAGGACGTGACGGGGGGATTGAGGAGAACCTCAAAGTATTCCTTCCACCGCCCGACAATATCCCCAGTCGAGGTCAGCAGCTCTCCACCCGCACCGTACATGGTGTTGGCAAAGAACTGCTTCCCCCTCCTGATGCGCCGGATGGTTTGCCAGAATCTCTTCGAGGCCGACCGATAGTCATGCTCCATGGACTCTCCGAACTCCTCCCAGTCCCGGGTTTTTGCCTCTGCAACAGCCCGGGCCGCGGCACGCTTGGCCTGCCGGTACTGGACAGCTGCCTCAGGAGTCCCCCGAACCATCATGGCTCGATAGGACTCCTTCTTCAGCCTGACAGCATCCCTTACTGCCGGTGTCCACCACCGGGTTCGGGGGTTGCCGCCAGGACCAGCACCAGAGACCTTGCGACCACAGCTACGAGCCGCCGCATTGGCGATTGAGGCAGAGAACATGGTCCACTCGGACTCCATGTCCCCCTCCTCCGCCGGGACCTGGGAGAAACTCTCCCGGAGGTGTGAGTTGAAAGTCCGTCTGACAGGGGGCTCAGCGAGACGTTCCCAGCAGACCCTCACTATACGCTGGGGTCTGCCAGGTCTGACCGGCTTCTTCCCCTGCCAGCGGATCCAACTCACGACCAGGTGATGATCGGTTGACAGCTCCGCCCCTCTCTTTACCCGAGTGTCCGAGACACGCGGTCGAAGGTCAGATGATACGACAACAAAGTCGATCATCGACCTCCGGCCTAGGGTGTCCTGGTGCCACGTGCACTGGTGGACACCCTTGTGCTTGAACATGGTGTTCGTGATGGACAAACTGTGACTGGCACAGAAGTCCAACAACTGAACACCGCTCGGGTTCAGATCAGGGGGGGCGTTCTTCCCGATCAACCCTCTCCAAGTGTCACTGGCGTTTCCCACATGGGCGTTGAAGTCCCCCAGGAGAATAATGGAGTCCCCGGGCGGTGCACCGTCCAGTACCCCTCCCAAGGACTCCAAGAAGGCCGGGTACTCTGCACTGCTTTTAGGCCCGTAGGCCGTCACAACAATGAGAGACTTGTCCCCCACCCGGAGGCGGAGGGACGCGACCCTCTCATTCACCGGGGAGAACTCCAACACGTGGCGGCTGAGATGGGGGGCCATGAGAATGGCCACCCCAGCTCGCCGCCTCTCCCCGCGGGAAACTCCAGAAAAGTGGAGCGTCCAACCCCTCTCAAGGAGTTGGGTTCCAGAGCCCAAGCTGTGTGTGGAGGTGAGGCCAACTATCTCTAGTCGGTATCGCTCAACCTCCCCCACTAGCTCGGGCTCCTTCCCCCCCAGTGAGGTGACGTTCCACGTCCCAAGAGCCAGATGTTGTGTGTGCGGACTGGGTCGCCGAGGTCTCCGCCTTCGACTGCCGCCCAGTCCTCTCAGCACCGCGCCACCACGGACCCCTCTGCAGGTGGTGGGCCCACAGGAGGGACTGCCCACGTCATCCCTTCGGGCTGAGCCCGGCCGGGCCCCGTGGGCTAAGGCCCGGCAACCAGGCGCTCGCATACGAGCCCCGACCCCAGGCCTGGCTCCAGGGCAGTAAGGGCAGGCTCCTTTTGTGGCACCGGCACCTGCCACAGCTGATTAGTGGCATGTACACGACAAATGGCGTGTAAAGCGACATGTGGACAACAAGTGGCGTTTAAAACGGCATGTGGGGAATAAATGGCGTGTAAAGCGGCATGTGGGCAATGAATGCCGTTTAAAACGGCATGTGGACAACAAGTGGCGTTTAAAACGGCATGTGGGGAATAAATGGCGTGTAAAGCGGCATGTGGGCAATGAATGCCGTTTAAAACGGCATGTGGACAACAAGTGGCGTTTAAAACGGCATGTGGGGAATAAATGGCGTGTAAAGCGGCATGTGGACAACAAGTGGCGTTTAAAACGGCATGTGGGCAATAAATGGCGTTTACAACGGCATGTGGGGAATAAATGGCGTGTAAAGTGGCATGTGGACAACAAATGGTGTTTAAAACGGCATGTGGACAACAAGTGGCGTTTAAAACGGCATGTGGACAACAAGTGGCGTTTAAAACGGCATGTGGGGGGACTTCCGCTGACGTCATGCCTGCAGCTGCAGCTTGAAGAGGGAGCTCTCGTCCAAAAGTTTTAAGTTTGAGTATACAGTGTTACGGCCCGGCTCGTGAGACCATAACATGAGAGGGAGGACACGACAAAAAGAGAAATTTAAACCCTCTGTGGGGCATTTATTTAAACAATAATAAAGGAATCTGTATGAGGTCAGGGTAAGTGAATGGTATGCTGTGGGTTGCAAGGTGTTGTATATGAAAGTCAGTAGGACAACCGTTGTAGTGCAAATATTGTGTTGTAGTGCGTGTAAATGAAAAGACAAACTGGCGTGGCGGCTGGTCCAACAGGGCCCAGAATGGTAGCGGCAGTCCGGGCACGCCGGCAGGTGCCCAGAAGCCAGGTGAGAGAGCGAGAGAGAGGGGAAGCTGCTTTTTGAAGCATCCGGGAGGTCACATGACTTCCCAGCTGCCTCCCATCATCTCAGAATGTCATGAACACTGCCACCACAGGCCCAGCAGAGGGGGCCGTCACACCCCCGCCCTTAAAATGCAGGTTCCCCCAAAGGAACCCTGCAACGAGACGCCAAAAGAAAGAACGGCCACCAGCGCGTCCTCCAACTCCTCCGTCCCAGTCCACTCCTCCGTCCCAGTCCACTCCTCCGTCCAGCAACTGGTGCACACAGAAACCTGGATACAAGGAGAGTGAGAAAGAAGAGAGGAACATACAATGGCAACACTATCACAACGGAGCGCGCGACAAAGCGTCAGCTACCACATTATCGGATCCTTTAATGTAGCGGATGTC